GAATTCTTTGTCTTCTATTCTGCTGTCCCTGGTATTGCCACATACATTATCCACACCTTCTTCTTTTCAGTTGCAGTTAAATCTGGCGTGTTATTAGCCAAGACATTATCTGCTTGTATTTGCAATATTTTAATATGCTTATTCCTAACTTCCTTTTCAACTCATACGTTCTCACCAATTGTTTATTACTGGCATATGTGATAATTTTTACAGATTTTTCCAATGAATCGTTTTGGAGACTATGTGATGTCATTGTTTATTATCTCTGTGATTTTCTTGCATGAGCTGAATGTACAATCTACTGTTTCTTCTGCATTTTTGCACAATCTGCACGTTTTAATATTATTTTTACAGTTGGTCACACAGCCAGCCAAATATTTAGACTGAATTTGGCAATTTTGTCCACCTATTGCCGTGATGGCGAATTTATGGCACACGTGCCACAGGTGGCACACAGAGCCATTTCTGCGGGCACACGAGCCGTTGCCCTAGGCCAGCTCCACTGCGCATGTGTGCATGCCTCCCGCCGGCCAGCTGATTTTCAGGTTTCTGTTGCAGACGCGTGTGGAGGCCCATGCCACCGTGCCGCTCCCAGGAGTCTCCATGTGGCCCATTTTGGATGCCAGGTAAGTACAGGGCTCACACGGAGGCTCTGGGAGGGCAAAAAACAGGCCTACTGGAAGTCCAGAAACAGGCCAGTTTCCAGGATGTCTCTGGCCTCCGGAGGCTTCAGGAAGGCCTGCTAGGCTCAAAACAGGGTGTGGAGGGGGGGTCACACGCACCTGCACAGGGGGGAGGGGCAGTGCAGGGGGGTTGTGTGCGCATGCACGGGGGGCATGGCGTGCATGGGGGGAATTACATTATGGGGGTGGGCATGTGCACACGCTTTTGGCACCCAAGGAAAAAAAGGTTAGGCATCACTGACCTATTGAGTCCTTCCCAAGTATCTGAGATAGGCAGATGTGGTTGTTTGATGATCTTAAAGGAACCATTGCAGAATGTAAGCTGTTCGAAATGAAACTGCATCTATAAAGTATATTTATTATTATTATTTATTGTGCATTTATTGCTACAGCTGCTGTGCTACTCCATTGCCAAAGACACATAACTCTTGGTACAATTTTCGATGCACATAATGCACTAGTATTCAGGGGTAGCATGATCTCCCTTCTCCCAAAATACCCTTTGGTGAAGAGCCCTGTTTCTGTGGTTCTCCCAAAAATGTAGTAAGGGGGTGGGATACAGGATGCGTTGACAGGGAAAAATGAGGAGAAGCCGAGAGCTGGCAGGCCAGGACCCTCACCTGTGCCGTTGGGACCTGTTTTGGGGGCCCTGGAAGATGGTGAAAATTGTTCCTGCTTGCAACTTGAAGACTGTTCATTCTGCCCTCCAGACAGGACAGCACAGAGGGATGAGTTCCTGCAAGGAAGGTTCTGCTCACCAACATCTCCCAGCTTCTTCCACAAATAAGTTTTGGGGGAGAAGCCTCACCTGATTTCCGGAGCCTCTTACACACAGAACTTCCCAAGCAGCAACGGGGCAGCGTCAAGAAGGGCACTGTAAGGAATCCATTTAGATTTCAGCTTTCCTAAAATTTAAAAATTGATAGCTGTAACTGAGGCTAGTTTTGTTTCTTATGACATCACCAGCCAAGGTAGCTGTAAGATGGTGGAGACATCGAGAGTGCAAATTGGTCTTCCAAAGAAACGGATCAGACTCTGAGAGGCTAATTAACCCCAGAAGCCATTTACTGCTTATTGTCAAGGGCAAGTTAGCCTAAGGTTCAACCTCCGAGGCAAGCCTTGCGCTGGACTGGTTCCCCACATCTGACCAGTGCTAAGTGCGGGACTGGCGCCCCTCCCTCGCACCAGGATCTTGTGCTTGCTGCTTCGGGGAGGGGGCTTGCAGTGGGGGGTGCAAACGGTTGCTTGGAAGCGGAACCTCGGAGCAACTCAACAGCCTTGTTTCCGCCAGAGAAATGCCAAACCAAGAGCTGGAAAGTGGGGGAGGAATGGCACTGTCTTCCGCAGGAGTTTGGGGCAGGGGCTGATGGGCTCTGGGGCTCCCAGGGCCCGGGAGGAAGGAAGGGAGGGAGGCGCGAGCACCAGACGGTCCGGACTGGGGAGACGCCAAGGCGGCGGCGGGGCAGCGCCTTTGCCTTGGCGTTGCGCTGCGCTGCGCTCCCCGGGAAGGGCGGCGCCTGTCCTAACCGCGCCTTCGCCCTGGTTGTCAGCCCGGCCGTCGAGAGGGGCGCGCGGGGGTCGCCCGGAGCGCTCCAGGAAAGGCTCGGAGCCGCCAACGCTCAGCCGCCGCCGCTCCGCCTCCCAAACGTGCCCGCTCGAGGAGAGGCAGCGGCGGAACCGGGGCGCCTGGAGCGCGAAGCGGCGTCTCCCCCGGCGGCGCCGGAACCCCCGGCCAGCCCGCGAAGGAGCGGATGGACGGGCTCCAGAGCGTCGGCGAAGCCGCGCAGCTGCATCTGGTGAGAGCGCAGGGCTCTGCGCGGAAGGCAGCGCGTGGCGGGATCCAGGCGGGCGAAAGCGGGCTGCCCCCCAAGCCCCGCAGCGGGCCCGAGCGGGGAGGGGCTCCCACCCGGCCCCCGTGGCTGCCCAGACCGCGCGCAACGGAGAGTCTCGGGCGCAGCCAGGTTGGCAAGCGGCGGCTCCGCGCCCGACTCTCCGACCGGCTGCAGAAGCGGCGAGCCCGGTGGAGGCGGCGGGGAACGGGGGGCGGCTTCCCTCCCTCTCCCGCCCGGAACTTTCAGGCGGCGGCCGAAGGGCGCCCCACGCTCCGCTCTCCCCGAAGTGCCGAGCTCGTAGCAGGCTGGGCGGCGGGCGCAGCGGCTGCAAGGGAGGCGGCAGGTGGCTGGGCTCCTCGTCTCAGGGTTGCGGCAGAGGCGACTCCGGGCGGGCGTCAGCGCCCATCCGAGGCCAGGTGGCTGTGCTGTGGGCTGGTAGCACCGGGATTGGGTTCCGGCAATGAGGAGGTTCCGGACAGGGAGCCCTGAACTCTTCGGGTCCTGCGTTGGCCAAAGGCAGCACATTGGGGTCACCCTACAGCCCCAAGACTGAAGCCCCCGCGCATGTGGTGATGCCCAGGCGCCTGGAGGGAGGCGGGCATCTCAAAAGAGCTGAAAGGCTCTCCAGAAGCAGCCCAGGGTCTGCCCGGAAGTTGTCCGGGTGTTATTTGGTTGTGTGGAAGGATTCTTGTCTGGAGAAAGAGGCTGGTGTGGGAATGGCGCTCCTGAGGGCTCTGAGATGGAGAAGCTGCCTTTCTATGTGGGCCCAGTTTGGTCACTACAGGAGCAGCGAAGGCAGAGGAACTCACTCAGCAAAGATCGTTTGGTTTTAACCTTGGTTGGGGCCTTTCCTGTGTTGGCTGAGCCCAGCCGGTTTGCTTAGATGAGAAGTCCTCATACTTTGGAAACACCAAACCTGGATTAATTCAGTGCTCATAGCTCGTGTGTTGTGGAAACTCAGCTCCAAAGTCTAGTTCATAACTTGCTTTCCTGCACCCATCCTTAGTAAGTCTTAACCTGTTTTGGGCAATTAAAATGCCACATATGGGGAGGTGCTACTTTGGCACATGCATGATCACGAATGTGCTGGTGGATGCTTTGATGATGTCACTTTGTGGGACTCAGCAAAAGAACCATCCAGTTTCTTTCCCAATGTGTGGAACACACTGTCCACAATTCCCAGGAAGGCCAGAGGGGCGAAGGGACATGTGAGGAAGACAGTCGTCCACCCAGAGCCCCCGACAAGGCCAGGCACCAATTAGAGAAAGAGCCCCCTGCCCTTCTACCCGGGGACCCCCTCCCCTTCCTGAAACTGCCATGCTTACTGTGCCAGAAGTGCCCTCCAAAGGCCTCTTGTCAAAGGGATCTCCCATCAGTCCATGCCCAGACCGCTTGCAGCCCTCCACGGGAAGGAGCCGGGATCCTTCCACGAGGCCCTCCTCATCCTCAGGTCAGAATGGGCCAGGCGGCAATCAGGTAGAGAAGTGTGGAGATAAGGAGAATTAGGGTTGTTGTAGAGTCCAGCTGGGGGCTGCTCATGGTGGGTTCCGGGCTTGGCTTCTGGCCTTCGGGGCAAGCCCTGGGCATCGCCAGCTCTCAGTTTTGTTCCACCTGAGCAGTGGGGTTCCCTGCCATGTCTCCCTCTCAGCAGCCACGTCCTGTTTCAAGAGCAAGGCACATAGACCCCCCTCTTGGGCTTAGGTTATCCAGAGACAAGGGAGAAAAGGGGGCAGGGAGAGGAAGGCAGCCACCACTGCAGTTGCTCTTCAGCCTTTCCAAGGTGGGGGGTGGGGGGCAAGGCACACTGTCCTGACCCAAGAAGGACTGCCTGTCTACCCTGGACAAACCTGACAAGCTACTGACCAGCAGCACATCGAAGTGTGTGCATTGGCCATGGCATCGAAGTCTTTGGGTTTTGCCATTCCTGTGAAGGGCGGAAATGTCAGGATTCTGGCTACATTTGGATGGGGGGGAAGGATTCTTGTCCCTTTTGCTGAGGAGCAGCTGAAGGTTAGCAGGATCTGACACTTCCGTTCTACCGTTTCTGGCACAATCCGGGCTCTCGATTAGCCAGACCAGCTTCTATAGGCAGCTTCTTTGCCCGGGTGCCCAGTGGGTGGCAGGATGCAGTCACTGGGTCACCCCCCAAAGCACAGTTGTGTGTTGAGGGCGACTGCAAGGTCTTGGGCTGCACCTTCATTTCCCTGTGTTTCTTCTGGTACCTGCAGGCCAGTCTTCCTTTTTTTTTTCCTTTCAGGTTCTCTTCCTGGCCAGGTCGGATCTTCCACGAAAGAGCAGGGAGGCTCCGTGGGAAGCTGCTTCCTCTCCAGAGGCAGCGCACGTGGGCGTCTCAGCGTGGTAGGCCCCTCTTCTGCTTGTTCCGCCGAGGGGGAAGCCTCGCAACCCAGGAAGCCTGCAGGCACGAGCAGCTTCTGCTGTTGGGGAAGTGAAAGGGGGGTCCCTCCTTTCCCCGTCTTCACTTCTTTGGAAGCCAGAAGATCGAGGGGTCCCCACCCACAGACCCAATTTGTAGAGAAGCCAGGCACAGTTGCACCCAGGTGTCAGCAGCAACGGAGCTGAGTGGGAGCAACATCAGGGAAAGGAAGAAGAAGAAGAAGAAGAAGCACCGCTCTTTCATTGGCTCTGAGAAAACCTCTTCATTAGCCTCATTTGGCAACGCCCCAGCAGGCACCAGCACAGACCGAGGAAGCGGGCATTTGGCACTTGGGAATGCTCTGAGCCGCCAGCCACTGAGCATCATCAGGCTCCGCTGCTGCCAGCCCCACCGCTCGCTCACTCAGTGGACTCGGGCCGGGCCTCAGTCGCCTGCCGTGCAGCCAGCTCTCCCCAGGCTCCAGCCCCGCTCCCAGCCAGAATGAACGAAATCCTAGACCCGGCGTCCCAGGCCAACCTGGGGGTGGTCTCGGCCACCTGCGTCTCCAAGGTGGAGCTCCGCGTCTGCTGCAAGCACCTCCTTGACCGGGACACCCTCAACAAGTCGGACCCCTGCGTCGTCCTCCTCATGCAGTCCCAAGGACAGTGGGTCGAGGTAGGTGGGGAGCGGCTGCAGGGAGGGTGGAAGGGAAGCAGGGGGGCGGCTTGAGATGGTCCAGAAGGAGGGCAAGCTGGGCAGGACCATCAAGGGGAGATCCCTGCTGCTAAAGTCCCAGCAGCGGCTCTCTGTCCTTCTGGGCTCCCCCGTCTTCCCTCTGTCCTTTCAAGCAGCTTCCCAGCTCAGGACCCTTCCAATCTGGCCGACAGAAGTTCTCGTCATTCCAAGCTGCTCAAAGGCTGTGCCCGGCCTTTTAGCAGGTCAGGAAGGCCTGCTCCGGGCCCCCTTTCTCTGCACAAATGAGGGGCAGGTTTGTTGCATTCCGATTGACCAGCCCTGCCCCCCCCCCCTGGTGAAGGACTCTTCCTAGCAAGGCCTTGGAGATGGTCACCCTGCCTTTTAGAGACCCCTGCGGGAGACTTTCTAAAATCCAAGCCTCTTCTAGGGTTAGGCTGAGTCTGAGAGTCTCTTTTTCGGGGCCAGGCTTTAAGTTCAGCCAAAGGACTCGGCTGCCTTTTGTTCGGATGTTGGGTTGAATTTCTGGTCTCGTGTGTGAGGATGCTGGTTTGTTTCCTCCTTTAAAGGAAGACCTGAGAACTGGTGTCCGTAAGACTCAAGAGATCTCAGGGTGGTGGATACCCTGTGGGCAAGAGCAGATCTAGGGCCCGAGGGGCAGAGAAGGAGAACTGGGCACAGACCAACTGCCTGCTTCCACCAAAGAGCACAGAGAAGGGTCTTTTCAGGAGGATGCGTAACGCCTTCACACTTAGTAGCACATGCATAAAAGTATTTAAGGGATCTGCCCAACTCACTTCCTGCGATCTGTTCCTCTTAATGGGCTAAGCCAGCTGAGCTTTGCAACTTGACTAGCTGGTCTGAGAGTTCTGCCTTTCTCCCTGAAGGCGGATTGGCTCCCGTCTTGGGGTCACCGGGAGGGATTAGCTGCTAAGGGCTGGTTGCTGTGTAATAGGCTGGAGCGCCAAAGCTGAAGCCCCAAAGGGTCAGACGCAGAGGGGGCTCTACCTGGCCGAGCAGGAGCTCCTGGGGCTTTCCAGCTTCCCATTCTCTGGTTCCTCCAACCACAGTGGAAGCCATAGTTAGCTTGAGACCCACATGCAACGCTCTCAAGCCTGTTTGGCCCTCGCGAGGCCGCAAAGTAGGGCCGTCCCGGATGAAATGCACCACAGCAATGCAGCAATTCCTTGAGGCTGATGGGGCAGAAGGCTTCCTTGGAATCTCTCCATCTCTGCACTTATGAGAGGTGGACTCTCGTTTCTGCTGCTGTTGCTGGCTGCGAACTGGATGGGGTTGCCCCCCCCCCCAGCCCCCTCGCTAAAGCTCCTTCCCAAAGGCTGGAGAATCCTGCATAAAACCCAGCTTCCTACACCAGAGACTTGGGTGGAAGCAAAAGTTCTTGCCACAAGCTCAGAGCCCCCATTGCTTCCCTTTGTTTCCGGGATGATCCCCAGGTGCTCATATTCTGCCTGGGCCTTGAGTTCCTCTCACCTGCAGGGGGCCAAATCAATCATTTGAACCAGGGTTTCTGCAGGGCAAGCGCACCTGCGGTGTCCTCTTCCTCCTCCAGTCCCAGCGTGGCTGAATTTGCCTGGCAATTCAACTCAAAGAGGGGGAAACTGGCTCCCTGGCCTTGGGGCCTTATGGCAGGAAGAACATTCCTTGCTTAGTGGCAGACTGGCTTACTTGTAAGATCTCTATCCAGGTTCAGCTCATCAAGTCAAAACAGACAATCCAAGAACCAAGCCAGCACAGCAGTCACTGGAAAGGAGGCTTAGCTATCATCAGATACCACTCAAATCCTAGTTTGATGAGCCACACCGGAGACACCTATGTGCCCTGCAGAGGCAGCTAAAGGCCTGGCAGCCTGTGGGGGCCGTGGGCATTTCTCGCCTGGAAGTGAACGGGGGCTTCTTAATGACATCAAAGTTTGCCAACGGAAACTCCCTGGTGCACAAAAGCCCCATTCCCATCAGCTGTCCAAGCAAGAGCTGGTATTGCTGTAAATAATTTTGGGTGGGGGGAAAGACCCAAATCAAGCTGCAAATTCCAGTCAGCAGGAATGGACAGAGGCCCATTCACAGCACAAAGTGGCCTGATCCAGCCACTGGGTACATGCTGCCTTGGCACTGCTCCCGAAGTGAGCTCCCTAAGCCATGGCAATCGCCCCCTAAATCAGGGCACCCCCCTTGTCCCGTTGGCCTCGTTGCTCCACCCTGTCCAGAGCCCCCTGCCTTTGTACGTGTGGCAGCAGCAGGAGGGCTCTGCCAGGCCTGCTGGTTGCCCCAGTCTGCCCGTGATTCTCCTCTCGCTTTCTGGCACGTGGCTCCTTTTCCAGCCTTCGGGGTCAATTGCCTGCAGCCTCAAACACCCCTTAGATCCGAAGGTTTCCCTCCCCCTCTGCTTGAGGCTCCCAGACCACAGGTACTGGCAACCTGTGCTAAGCTGGGAGGGCCAGGAGACAAGTCGAAAAGCCTCTCCCCACCACCCCAGCTGGGTCTGTCCTTTCTGTGGGGCAGAAGGAGCCTGGCTCCCCATCCGAAGGGTCCGGCAGAGGCCAGGCAGGCAGGCAGGCAGGACCTTTGTCTCTTGGTGACAGTGCGGAGCGCAGAGCCAGCAACGGCGCTTGTGGCACCCATGAAATGTAAAAGGGGGCGTTTTCAGGGCTGCTGCGGGGCAGAGGCTGAGCAGGGCCAGGCCACCATTTCAGCTCCTTGTTGGGGCACAGTTTCCTCTGCCTTCCCCTGGGGGACCAGCGAGCCCTGTCGCTCGGATGCTTCTTGCCAGCGTGGGGAAAGGGACTTCCAAATGTGCTTCAAGGGAACCCAAAAGTAAACCGCCTTTTGTGGCTGCTCTGGCACTGAAGCCAAAGCCCAGCAGAGCAAACCTGCCTGCATCACTTGAGAAGTTGGCAGAAGCTCCAACAGGTGATGCACACACCGTCTTCCTTTGCAGGGTTGCGGTGAAATGTATGGTGATGTAGGTGAATGGCTGAAACAGCCAAAATGGCTGCCTGAACATTAATGACCTGCTCTTGTTGTTTGGCTTTTAATTGTAAGGCCCCAGGTGAGCTTTGAGGCTGATGAGCTTCTTGAAGGGCCGCCGCTGCCCCCCCTCCAGGTTCCATGCTCCTCCCAAGATTGAGCTCCGGAATCCTCTGCCTCCCCCTCCCCATTCAGCCGTTATTGCTCAGGCCTCTGATTTAGTTCCATTTCTGCTCCCTCCTCTGAGTTTCTTAACCCTCTTTGAACCACCTGTCCAGACTGTGTCCTGGGGACAGAGTGCCCCCCTCCATGTGGCGAAAGGAAAGATGGATCCCAAAGCACTGAGCCCTCTGGCATCCAGGTTGAGCCTCACAGAGACCCGGAGGGGAGCCCAGATTTCTGGCATTCAACACCCCCGAAAGGGAAAGAGTCTCTCTTGCCTGTCTGTAGGCATTCAGACTAAAGTTTCCACAAAAGACGGCCGTATTTCTTTAGCACTGCCAATCTTGGTGAGCAGCTCATCCCTAAATCCCAGGTCCCACCAGATCCTCGGGCCCTTGAGTAGATATGACATGTACCCATTTAATTGGCAGCAAGGCTTTGCACGATCCTTCTCTTTCATCTAGCCAGCTCTCCTCTGAAGCAAGCACTGATTGCCTGTTGCTTTGTTCGGAAACCACAGTGAAGCCGAGATGAAGTGGAGGCAGGGCCGGTTGGGTGTTGAAAAACAAGACAGACAGATGGCCTTCCAAGGAGCCTCTGGGGAGGGGGGAGCAGCACCTCCCTTGGCCTGCAGAGAGAGCCCAGCTCCCCCCTCCAGCTGCAGACTTCAGAGCCTCCAGAGAAACCCTGCTACAGGCCAACAAGATAATCGGGGGGGGGGCGGGTCCCAAGGGGGGGGGGGGGCGTTTAAACCATCCTGCCCGGGGCAGATCCAGGTTGCCTTGCAGGTGGATCAGTCGGCTTAAGACTGCTTTGTGAAAGGGATGGAGAAGAAGGCTCGGAGCGTGGAGCAAAAAATCAATACTGAAATATTGCTCTGTTTTCAGGGGAGCCAGCTGTCTTTGCCCATGTTAACAGCCACGGAAAATCACTTTGGCTGATGTCCCAAAGGGCTGCGTGGCCTGACATTGATAAAGTTACCATTTCATGCTCGGCATTATTTAGAAATCAGGAGAACCCAGAGCGACGGGGCAATAGGTCCGAGTCGCTGGAAAGGGATGCAGCTGCAGTGAGCAGGGAGGCCTCTGCAGCTCAGTGCCTGTGGCTCTCTTGGAGATTGGGAATGTTTCTGGCCTTGTTCAGCTGCTGGGGGGGGGAGGGTGCCCTGGGCAGCCAAATCTTTGGTCACCTGCGTCTTTGTCAATACCTGTAAAGAGCCCAGAGCTGCTCTTGGTGAAAGGGGCAGTTACACACATTTGACTGATCCATTAATCCATCAGTCAGTCATCTCAGAGGCTCAGCCCAAGCAAGGAGGCTTCCTCCCTGCAACAATCCCAGCACAGGACATGGTCCTTCCAGCGCCTGACAGTCCCTGAAATCATGCCACACAGGCTCCTCGCCCCCCCCCCCATCTGAGCTTCGATCCACCCACTGAAGGCTTCCCAAGGGAGCTGACTGTCCCTTCCGGATCGCAATTTGCTGCATCCAACATATGGGTCATGATGAGATGGATTAAGCCTCCGCTGAAGATGAGCTCCACAGCTTACTTTGAGAAGATTATCTCTTGACAGTGGATCTAATTAACAAACCTCCCACTCCTTGGGAAGATGTTTGGGGAGGGATAAAGGGGCTTTGGGGGAATCGATTGCAATGACGTGCCCCCCCCTTCTTTGCTTGGCACACCAGTCCCCAAACTGACCAGGAGAAGCAAATGGACAGCTCTGCTTTGTTACCCGCAGGGGCAGTGGAAGCTTGGCACGGCCCATCTTGTGGCCTGATGCAGATAGAGAGTGAGGGTACCTATGTGGGGTGGGGGAGACACCCCTCCTGCCAGAAAATGGGTATCCTTAGCCTGGAGAGAACTTTTGCCTTAGCCCAAGAAAGCTGCCCAGATGCAGAGGGAAAAGCAGAAGGAAAGAGCCAGGAAAGATCATGGCGTGTGTGTGTGTGTGTGTGTGTGTGTGTGTGTGTGCTTGCGCTGCACTATGAAAAAGAAAAAAAAGGCTGGACACTCTCTGGCTCTTGAGAAAAGATTCTTCTACCTGCTCAGCTTCCCCAGGCTTTTAGCAGCAAAAGGCTCCTTGGCCTCCAGCATCTTAACAATTAACACATTTCCTTTAGCCACAATTTTTCTGGCGCCGAGCCAAGGCATCTCCTGCCAGGGCAAATTGGCCTGTATTTAAGATGCAGACAGACTCTTTGTAGCTTCTGTAGTTCTCCTGCTCTGAGAGTGAGAAGGCATGGATAATTTTCCAGGACCAGTTAGGGATGAATGAGCTGACCTGGGTGCTGATGAGAGGGAGCTGGCATTCCGTCTGATACAACAGATGGGCAGGAAATAGAAAACCAGGCAGCTCCAGGCACTGAAACTTCATAAAAGTATATCTGATTTCCTTTCTGAAAAGCAGCACGACTGATGACTTGCTAGGTGAGAACAATTCCAGGAAGCGAACATGGCCTTTGGCAGAAGCTGCTACCTGAGCCAGGAGCTATGTGGTCCCTCAGAAGGCAGCTTCTCCCCTGAAGAGCCAGGAAAAGGGGAGGCAGGTTGGGTTTGACTCTCTGCCACCCGCTGACAGGGCAAAGGGCCGTGGCATTGCAGGAACTGGAGGGCGCCCAGTTGCTGTCCCTGACAGGCCTTGCAGATCCCTGGCCCAGAGCACTGCTAGAGGCTCCTCCGGCTGCAGGTCCAGGAGAGACTCACCTGTCCTCCAATCGGTCTCCTTCCACATGAAAGGCCCAATCCTGCCCCAGCTGCTCCTGGATAAGCAGGCCTGAATTCCCACCAGAGTGGCCCTGGCTGGTGCCCTCGGAGGCCCCCGGAGAGGGGGGAGGTGGCCAAAGATCCAAGCAGCATTTTCAGCTGCCTCTGGAGAGAGGGAGGGGTGGCCAGAGGCCTGGATGCTCATCTTCAGCCACCCTCCCCACCCCGCTAAGTCACCGGTGTGGACAGGTGAGCGAGAGCAGCAGCCCCACGCCTGCCTCCCCCTCCCCAGCTTCCCTTCCCTAATGAGCCCGGGAGGCGCTCATTAGCATCTCGGTTGCATTCCGCTCGCCCGGACCGCTCTGTTCCCCGAAAGTTTAGGCAAAGTTTTCCTTCTTTCCCAGCAGGGGGTCACGGGATGGCCGAGCCCGCTTTCGGGCGGGACACGAAGGGAGGCGTGATGAGGGCCCGTCCGAAGAAGCGAGAGCCGAAGCGGAGGTGGGGGGGGGGGGGGGGCAAAGGCGCCGCGCTCCAGCCAAGCTGACTTGGGAAGAGCGCACGCTCCGTGCCGGCTTCTTGGCTTCTCATCAGGTGCAGCCGAGGCTCCTTCCTATGGCTGCGTGGGAGCCCCGCACTCCGTGTGTTTTTCCCTCTAGAGCGCACCGGGGCAGCCAACAGGCCAAGGGCCCCGCCGGGAGCCCCTGCCCTGGCTCGGAGGGCGCAGCCGAGATGCGCCCCTTTGGGGCAAAGCGGGCTGAGCGTTCCGGACGCGCAACCGGAGGTTGAAATCATCTGGGCCCGGGGGCCCCGCCCTGGGCAAACCCAGGCGCAGCGCCCCTTCCCGGGGTCTTCTTTCGGGACGCTCCCCTGCCCAGGATCAGCTGGACCGGGCTGGGCCGCCCACCCCGCCCGCTCTGCTTCCCTCGGGGGAGGAAAGCGCAGAAGACGGCGGGGCCCCCGAGCCCTCCATTTGCCAGGGCAGCGGGGAAGGGTCGGCGCTCTGCATTTTCTCCATCTCCCTGCCAGGCGAAGCCTTCTGGGCTCGGTGGTCTCGGGGTGACGCCGCCTCTCTCTGCCTCCAGGTGGACCGGTCCGAGGTCATCAGAAGCAACCTGAACCCCGTTTTCGCCAAGGTGTTCATGGTGGACTATTACTTTGAGGAGGTGCAGAAGCTGCGCTTCGAAGTCTACGACATCCACGGGCACGGCGGCGTGGGCACCCACGATGACGACTTCCTGGGAGGCATGGAGTGCACGGTGGGACAGGTAAGGGGGCCCGGACGCTGAACGCCAAGGCCTCACCGGTTAGCGCAGCGGATGGGGGCCTAATCTGCGAAGCAGCCCCTGGGAAGAGACCGCCCCGTCCTACCGCCCGCTGCGCCTCGAGGAGGGCGTGACTGGGCGTCCCTGGCAGGCAGCGGGCTGGCCGGCAGGAGAGACCCCTGCCCCCACCGCAAGGCTTAGGGCGCCCCTTTCTCCGCCGGGCAGGGGGCCAGGCTTGCTAGCTCCGAGCAGCGGCTGCGGGGAAAGGCGGTGGGCCCAGCCCCGCCACCCCAAGAAGGCGCCCCTCCGCCCACCTTTCCGCTCCTCCTTGCAGATCGTGGCTCAAAAGCGGGTGAGCAAGCCGCTCTTTCTCAAGTACGGGAAACCCGCCGGCAAGTCCACCGTCACAGTGAGTGCCCCCCTCCGGCCCCCACCCTGCGGCAGGTTGGAAGCGGAGGCTGGGAGGCCCCCCTGACCCACCGGCTTCTCGTGACCCTCTTCACAGGTGACCTCGGAAGAGATTTCTGGAGACAACGGCTTTGTGGAGCTCTTCTTTCGGGCAAAGAAGCTGGATGACAAGGTGGGGGAGGGGCGGGGGGCTGGGCTCTTCTCCTTTGGGAGAGACCATCCTGGGGAGGGTCGATGTGGCCACACTGGGCTTGAGAGGGGCAGGCAAGGGGGGAGAGGAGTTGGGATGCTGCAGGAGGGCAGGCCATTCAGACAGGGGATGGGGGATAAAGTGGTCTGGACAGGTAAGTGCCAGTGTAGCCCCCACACCCACCCCAGCACCAGAATCCAGTCCCCCCCCCCAGAGCAGGAAGGGCCCAGTTTGAGGAGGAGACCGAAACAGCTGCTCAGCCCCCTGCCTTCCACCAGCTGCTCAGGAGCTGAAGGGGAAAAGGTGCAGGTTGAGCAGCCGTTTTTATTAGGAATGAAAAACTGAGGACATGAGCGAACATCATGGGCAAATGGGCGCTGTGTGTGTGTGTGTGTGTGTGTGTGTGTGTGCCTGTAATCAGAGCCATCCATGCAAATTCGTCATCTTACGTGACAGAGATAAATCAGGCTGGCATCAAAGCTGTGAAATTGAATATGAATGCCTTTTTTAAAAAATGAAAAAGGATATTTAAAAGTTGAACAGATGGAGCAGGAAAGGAGAGGAAGGAATGCTGGAGAACTTGCTGGATGGGGTCTGTCAGTGGGGAAGGGGCTTCTGCGTCCCCCGTGAGGCTGGGGTTCACTCTTCTCTCCCAGCCAGCCTGCATGCAAGACAAAGTGCTGCCCCTTTCCTTCCAGAGGGTGGAGTTTAGGGGACCCCACTCCCACTCACCCCCTTCATTTTCCCAACCATCCAATGAAGTGGGGAGTGGTCTTCAGATGCCCAAGGAAGAACAGATCCAGGTGGGATTGAGCAAAACTCCCCAGGTTTGGCCACCTCTCACCCCTGCAACAAGCCTTCAGGCCAATAAAACGATGGCACCGTCACACAAGGACACAACTGGGATGGACCTTGCCATAGGCAGCATCATGTCGTTTGCACACCCCAGAACCCCAGGAAGAGCAGGAGGAGAGCCACCCATTGATAACAGGTTAACCCTGTCTCCCCTAGGATCTTTTCAGTAAATCAGATCCCTTTCTGGAGATCTACCGGATCAATGATGATGGAAGTGAGCAGCTGGTACACCGGACTGAGGTAAGACTCCCCTCCTAGGATCCAAAGGATAAATTCCCAGCACCCCTGGTCAGAGAGACCTGCTCCAGCGCAGTGCAACAATTCCCTTGGGGTTGCCGGGCCTCCTGTCCCCTCACTCCTCACTGCCCCCCTTCAGATCAGCCCGAGGGGTTCAAGGAGCAGAGGAGAGAGGCATTTGTTGGGCTCTGACTAGGAAAGCTTCAGGCCCTTGTGGACAAGGACCCCCTTCTGCCCCCCACAAAGGCTGCCTTTTGAGACGCTGTCCCTGTGCTTCGCAGTTTGTCAAGAACAACCTGAGCCCCATTTGGGAGCCCTTCAAAGTGTCCCTGAACTCCCTCTGCAGCTGTGAAGAGAAGCGGAAGCTGAGGGTGAGGTTTTTTGGGGGGGGCGAAGGGCCACCCGTTGATGCCCTCAGCCAACCCCAGCTGCTCGGGCTGCAATTTCAGCAGCGCCCCCAGCAGGCTACAAAAAAGGCTTGTGGAGAGCGGAGGTCTCCGAGATGTTGCCTCCCATACCCACTTCCGAGACCAGCCGGGCATTGCTGCCGTGGGGCCCTGAGGGAGGATGCCAGGCCAGCACCCTCTGGTCCTGGGGGAGGGGGAGGGATGAGGAGGCCTGGGCAGAAAGGGCCCCATCCCGAGGGGTCCTGAAGGACTGTCTCTTGTGTGCAGTGTGTCATCTTCGACTATGACTCCCGAGGGAAGCACGACTTCATCGGGGAGTTTTACACCACTTTCGAGGAGATGCAGAAAGCCACAGGCGGCAACAAGGTTGGAGCGCAGGGAGGAAGCCAAGCAGCCCCCCGGGGAGCTCCACAGCTGGGGAGGGGGCTTCCTGGAGAGAAAGCAGCCATCCACAGGGGCTGGATGGGGCTGGTCTCTGTCCAGACCTGAATTGCCCAGCAAGAATAAAAAGAGATCCCTTTCGCCTCTCCCCCCATCAGATCCAGTGGGACTGCATGAATCCCAAGTACAAACTGAAGAAGCGGAACTACCGAAATTCGGGTGTGGTCATTCTCCTGGACCTGAAGGTAAGTGGCCAGTCCATGGGCCAGCCTCTCATCATCAGTGGGGGTGCATTGGGGCTGAGCAAGGGGGAATCTGGGGAGCAGAGGGGTGGGTTATGGGTCTGCTGTGAATATTGGTAATCCAAACAGGCTTTTGCCCCCTTCATCCCACCTGCTGTGGGTGGCAGCAGGCCTGGCCCACTCCTTGTAATTCTGCCTACCGGGCTGCAGATCTGTTGCCCTGTGTTGGGCACAGAGTTGAGCTGGCAGGGTGTAGCTTTCATCCTGCTCTGCTTCTGGCTGATGCCCAGATTCTCTGGAAGATCCACAGGGTTTACTCCTTCCTGGACTACATCATGGGCGGCTGCCAGATCCACTTCACGGTGAGTAGCTCCACCCAGCCGCCTCGGTTGGTTCAGAGCAGGCCAAGGGTCTCCGGAGCCAGGGCCAGGCAGGGGCGCCCCTTCTGCTCCAGCGAGGGGCACCTCTTTGGGTCTGGGGGCTTGTTTAACCCTTTCGCTGCCTAGATATGGGCACGCCGTCCGTTCTTATCCTGGCAAGGGAGAGGCTAAGCATCGGGGGAGGGGCTGGAGACTTTGGAAAAGTGGGCTTTGTCTTGGGCTGGCCCTCCAGGCGGGCTGGGACCCCACCAGCTCCTTGGTCACCTCAGCTTCTGGCCATGGCGGTTGGAGCGCCCCGTTGGTAGCTCCGCACAGATTTCTTTCTTTCAAAACAAGAAGCAGGCAGCAGATTGCGTTTTGAAAGAGCATCTCCTTCCTGGAGTGAGTCAGTTCCAGAACATGGCAAGGAACAGATTGCTGGCTCCGGGCCCACTTTGCTGGCGAGGGCATGCGACGGGCAGCATCCCAGGAACGAGAGCCCCTCACACGCAGGGTGGGTGGGTGGGTGGAGAGGGAGGGGGAGAGAGAGACGGCGGCGATTCCTGCTTCGCTGCGACTTCAGGCCTGAGGGGCTAAAATGGGCCCTGCCTGATTATTCCTGTTCAATGTCGGTTTCTCTTCACTTGGGGCAGGAACCAGACTGAGGACGTTCTCATCTGCCTTTCCAGATGTTATGCCTCTCAAGGGTGGCTGGGTTCTGTGCCCCTCATCTCAGACCCCGTGGCAAAAGACGGGGAATCCAGGGTCTGCCCCCCCCTTGATTTAGCCTCAAAGCTGGGGAGACCAGCCTGCTGGCTCCCTCCCTCTGACCCCCTCTGCCTCTCCTTCCCCCCAGGTGGCCATTGACTTCACAGCCTCCAATGGGGACCCCCGAAACAGCTGCTCCCTGCACTACATCAACCCTTACCAACCCAACGAATACCTGAAGGCCCTGGTGGCCGTGGGGGAGATTTGCCAAGACTACGACAGGTGACATGGGGGGGGCAGGGGGCATCTAGGTGTTGACAGGCTCTGAAGGGACGTTGCACTCAAGGGGGGAGCGCTCTCTAACCTGGGCAGTTCGAGTCTTCATCCCCATGGGGATAAGCAGCCACTTTGGAGGCATCTCCCCCCTCCCCCATGGTGAAGTCAGGGGCTTTGGGGAAAGCAAAGAGGAGGGGCTTGGGTGAGGGGCTTCCAAGCCCTTTGCAGCCAGAGTGACCAGTTTCTGCCTCTCCACAGTGACAAGAAATTCTCTGCCTTGGGCTTTGGAGCAAGGATCCCCCCCAACTATGAAGTAAGTCAAGGGACCTGCGTGAAACAGGACCAGTGGGGGCAGAAGCAGTGGCTGGGGGGTGGTCAGTAGAGCAGAGGCATCCTGGTCCCCAAGGCGGCTGGCCCCATTGGAGAGGAGCTTGGCCAGTGTTCCTGTAGGAGGCTGGCCCTGCAGCTGGGTGAGCTGCCATCACACCATCGCAGCTGCCTCTTGCCCTACCTCCAGCCCTGGCATTTCCTTTTATTTGCCTTGATAAGAACACCAGGACTCTGGAGGCATCTTTCGGAGGCCTTGAAGGGTCTGCTCAGCCAAGCTGTTCAGCCTCAGGGTCCCACAAGTTTCTCAGCTGCTTTGCTGCCATGAACTTAGCCCTTGGCTGACCAGCCTTTCTGGGTGTTGGTGTGCCCCTCAAGCAGCAGTGAAGCAGGGCAGATTGACACTTGTGCCATCTCTGCATCCAGCCCCAGCCTCCTGCCACCGCCAGGACCTCCCTCCACCTTCTCTTGCCAACCGGCTGAGTGATTGGATCCCCCTGGCACTTTGAGAGCTCTGAGTCCTCCAGGATACCAGAGCAGCTGCCACGGCTTCCATCCACCAAGCGATGCCAACAGGGCAGCCTCTGAAACAGGGGCTGGAGGGGGCTCCACAATTAACCAACTTTCCTTCCCTCGTTCCTCCCTCCCTCCCTCCTTTAGGTCTCCCATGATTTTGCCATTAACTTCAGTACCGAGGATGATGAGTGTGAAGGTGAGGGCACAGTCAGCTTCTGCTCCTTCTGCCTTTTTGGTTGGCACTTTCCCTGGTGCTTCTCCTGCCCCTGCCAGGCCAAAAGGCCACTGGGACACGTGGTGGATTAGCACATCTTCTCTCCGCCCCCCCCCCCCCAGAACAGCCCAAACCCTCCTGGATTCAGGAAAGGAGAAGCCTTTGCAGAAGTGCCTCTAATTTCTGCCTGGGGGCTCCTTGGGAGGAGCAGGAAGGTTTTTTCCTCTGCTCCTGGCTTCTTCAAACTTTCTCTTCACTTGGGAAGACGCGCCCCCTCCCCCTGCCTCACCTGTGCTTCCCCAAAGGGCCCTCTGAATCCTCCCCTCTCCTCCCTAGGCATCCAGGGGGTGGTGGAGTCTTACCAGAGTTGCTTGCCCAAGATCCAGCTCTACGGCCCAACCAACGTGGCACCCATCATCTCCAAAGTGGCCAAAGTAGCTGCAAATGAAGAAAAGACCCAGGAAGCTTCGGTGAGCATGTGGGAATCAGCAGAAACATTCTGGGTGACAGTTGGGGGTTGAGTCTCCTCTGACCTCGGGGCCCCACATTTGCTGGAGTTTAAGCTCTGTTGCCAAACTTCCAACCAGCAAGCTGTCCCTCCGCTTGATCGAAAAGTAGAGCCCCAGGTAGGCAGGGTTGTTGTGGTGGATTGGTCTCCTTGCCTGCAGGCGTGAAAGCATTGGATGGACTGGGAAGCTTTAACAAAACTGAGGCTTCCTTGGTGCTCTCTGAGCTTCCTTCCTTTCTTGCAGATGTTTCATGACCCAAACTGGGTAACAGAACTGATGAAGTTTCCTAATTTGGGTCCTGAAACGTCTGCAAGAAAACAAGCCGGCTCAGAGAGCACCAGGGGCCCCTCTCTTCAACCCTGAGCTACAGAGATTCTCCTTCATTGGTTGGAACAAATTTTCCCCTCCATTATTGACATATGCCAAGTGGGCGAGGACCCAGGCAAGACTTTGCTCATCCTGGTCTTGACAGCTCTTGGCAGGCTCACTAAGTGGCTGAAAGCTTTGCTGCCAGTCCTATCAATTAATGGCGGCAACTGACGCGTCCGTCCGCACAGCCTGGGGTGGGAGTGGGTGGTGGGCGGGAGGGAGGGAGGCTGGGCTCCCGGCAGAGCAGAGAAGGAAGGCCGGGGAGCCCGAGGGAGGAAGCGAATCTGCTCCAGCCTTCTTGGACTTGTCCGTCAACGTTGGCATTTTTAATCAGGTCAATTTGATTAAGGAAAGCAAATGGAATTAAAAAACAAAAACAGAACACGTGAACTACTTGATCGATGCGGTGGCATTTAATACGACAATTGGTTTTCAATTCCTGAACTGATTTCAAATCGGAGTGAATTGCTTTCCCATGGAATCCCTGAATGGAGGCCGGGATTTCTGGAGGACCTCCAGCCACCCAAACTCTGGGCCCTGCGATGGGTCAGGGGTTGTCAGAAGCCTCTCGGGCCTTTGCAGAGCCCCCGTGGAGGGCAGCATATCTCCAGAGTTAGGCCCACTGCCCACTCTGGCTGGTGCCAACTGGCACTGTGCCTCTGCTGCTCTCACGGGATTGTAGCCCTTGACACATGCACAGGAAGCCTGCAGCTATGCCAGAGAAGACCCAGAGAGAGAGAGATTTGTCCTTTGCCCTCCCCTCACTCTTTTGAAGGAGGAAGCCCTGGGGGGAGGGGCTGTTGTCTTGTAGGGGGCTGCAGTGCTGCCCCTTCTGTGTGCCAACAAGATTGGTTGGTGGCCATTGGCTGCGAGGCTCATCAAAGAGGAAGAATTTGGGGGAGTTTTGTCTGCACCCCTGACTGTCCCCTGCGAAATTTCTTCTGTCCCCGTCCTGCTAATTTCCTGCCCGCTCCTGACCTGCCTCCTCTTCTCACAGCAATACTTCATCCTGCTGATCCTAACCGACGGGGTGGTGACCGACATGGCGGACACGCGGGAAGCCATCGTCCGGGCCTCCTATTTGCCCATGTCCATCATCATTGTGGGGGTGGGCAACGCCGATTTTACCGACATGCAGATCTTGGACGGGGACGATGGGATCCTTCGCTCCCCCAGAGGCGAGCCTGTCATGCGGGACATCGTGCAGTTCGTCCCCTTCCGAGAGTTCAAGAATGTAAGTCCCCCTCCCTCAGGCAGGACGCCCCCCCATCTGGCTGCAGCTATGGGCACCTCCAGCATGGAGAAAGGTTGCCTTGGAGCCACTGGGTTGCAGGTTCCCCGGGGATCCATTTGGGAACAGTTTCGCCTGCTCTGCTCTTCCCTTCTCTCCTGATGCTGCCCAGATGGTGCCAGGACCCTGACTCCAGCCGCCCCCCAGGGCTACCCTGCCCCCCCCCCGAGCAGAGCTGAGCAGGGACCCCTTGATGAGAGTTCCTAGCTGAATGGGATCCAGGCAGCCTGGAAGGGCTTTAGGGGGAGTTTGGCTCGGCCCGCCCAAAGGGTCTGGAAAACACGGGATGCCCGAACTGCTCTCCACAGGGTTTCCAGCTGCTGCTCACCCTCCAGAAAAAGAGCACCCTTGCGCTTCAGATGTGCACCTGACAGGCCACTATGTATCCTAGGATCCCCCTGTGGGGGTTTTCCTGCTTTGATTGGCAGTTGAGAGCTCTTGCCTTCTTGCAGTCCTTTTGCTGAGTGAAGCTGCTAGAATAAACACCAGGCCCTGCAGCGGGATGGCAGGTGCCAGCTGACCTCTCGGCCTTCTTTGTCTTCCAGGCTTCGCCCACCGCCCTGGCCAAGTGTGTGCTGGCAGAGGTGCCCAAGCAGGTGGTGGAATATTACAGCTCCAAGGCCTTACCCCCCCGTGGCCCCAAAGGGAGCACCCCTGGCTCTGCTTTGAACTCACCGCAGTGAACCCGCAGTGACCCCACCCGTCCACCTGCGTCCGTCTCCCCTCCTTGTGCTCGTCCTCCAGAAAGCAAGACCCACCGAGAGCTTCTCTTTCCACTGCGCAGAGCAGGACGTCTCCTGCGCCCCCCTGGCTGTTTGAGCACCAGGACAGCGAAGTTATGCAAGAGGCCAGCAAGTCCAGGAAAGGCCCTGAGATGAGGGAGGGCAGATGGGGATAGAGAGGGGGCAGTAGGACAGCAGGCACTCCAAGCTGGGCAATGCCAAAGGGGCAGCAGGATTGCAAAGGAAAGAGAGAGGAAGGTACAGAGGAAGAAGCAGGCCGAGAGGGGAAGTGGGTGCCCTTTGCCCCTCATCACTGTCGCTCAGATACATCCACACGGGCCAAGAAAGCTCCTCTTCGCCCTTCCTTTGGTGTCTCCCAGGCAGGGAAATAAACCTCTGTATATTTAACAGCACACACGCCCCTTGAAACTGCTCAAGGGAACAGCAGCGCCCCTTCTCTTTGCAATGGGGCACCCTGGAAACAAAGGAGTAAATAAAGCAGGGGCATTCTGGGCAGGGGGGCAGAAAACAGAGGCACCCCAAGGAGCTGAACTTCACAGAGTGGGTTGGGAAGGCCCTCAGGATGGGCCCTGAGCCTGCCTTCCGCAGAGGAGCCCAGGACCATCCCTGGAGGGTTCCAACTCTTGGAGCCACAGCACCGGCAGCTGTTCCCACACCAGCCCCTTGGCAAGGTGGAGTGCGGCAGAGAGACCCTTGCCACCACTGGGTTGTCTTGGCCCCCTCCCCTCTGTGTGCAGAGAGGGCTCCGATGGTGATGAGGCCGCCTCTTGGCGTGGCACAGGGGCACAGCCAGGTCAAAGTTCCCGGTCCGTGTTGCGAAGGCACTTTGGTCCATTTCACAGCCGCCTCCTGTGCATGAAGCGGTTCGGGTCTGGGGGCCCTTTTCCCCCTGTGTGTTCCGTGGTTGTCTTTTGCTGTGATGTGTCATTTGCTGATGGTTGCATGAGAAATCCTAAATGTATCCAGGAAGACGGCCAAATAAAAAGAGATTAAAAAAGAGATTCTGATCCCTCTTGTCCTTTTGGGGGGAAAGTAAAATCGACCCTTATAAACATCTTGAAACAATCACGGACTGCAAACTCGAGCCAGGTTTAAACAGAAGGCCATTTCTGACTGGAGCCCAGCGTGCCGTGTGAGCTGTGGCACCACTTGGTTTATGTCACAGTCGGGACAAAACGGGCACTTTGGTCCTTTGTGACCAGCTCTGGAGTGACAAACCGCCTGTACGGAAACAGGCAGACTTCAGGCGGCTTGGCTTCTCTAGGGGTCTTTTGCGGAATTTAAGAATTGGCAAAAAGTATGGAGGATGGAGATTTTAGGTGGCCACTCCGCATGCCAGCACCACTGAGACAAGCGGAGCTTCCGTACACCTACAGGATGAGGCCCAGTGGTGGGTTTGGACCGAACGCCCCCCTAGCCTCTATCCAGAGGCATCTCTTCTTGCAGCTGTGACATCCTAAACCTCCTTTTAAAAAAACGTTTCCCAGCTTTTGCATTGTTCAAAGGCACAGGATGCCCATTGTCTGGCTGAAGTGTCTGCTTTGGAGAATTGATGCCAATTAGCCCAAACCGAATTGCAGTTGGGGCTGCAGGCAGAGCATCGCCTCCAAAAACACAGCGTCAAAGGAAGCCAGAAGGCAGCAAAGCAGAACACAGTGGCGCTTCCAAACTGAAGGAGGGAAAGCTGGATCTGCCCCTCAGGGACAGCGATTCAAGAGCTGCAGGCCACAACTGGAGCACCACTTAATTGTCTCGTGTTAATCTTATTGCAAGGACCAGTTTGGTGTCATGGTGAAGGCATCAGGCTAGGAAGCAGGTGACCCTGAGTTCTAGTCCTGCCTTGGGCACGAAAGCAGCTGGGTGACATCAAGCCAGTCCCTCTCTCTTAGCCCCAGGAAGGAGCCACTTCTGCAAATCACTTCTGCAAAATCTTGCCAAGAAAACTGCAGGCATTAATCCAAGCAGCCTCTGAGAATCAGACCTGACTGAACAGAAGTGGGGGAGGGGATCTGGTTGCAACAAGAAATCTGATTGCAACAGGAGACCTGTGGCACCATACCAGGTAACAGGCCTTGCAATAACTTTTTCCACAAATGCTGAGTCTGTCTTATTAATTACGATCCTAAAATGGGAAAATGCACATAGGGCTCAGGGTTGTAAGTGAAGAAGACGACAGAAAGAGGCTGAGCGGCGGGAAGCAGAGTGAAATTTGGGGGCCACCGTTCCTTCCGCAGTCCTAGTACAAACACCCAGCTTTGCTCTACTGATTTACACACGTAATGTGATCAGAACTCATTATCGTGATCCAGACCATTGGCGACAAAAAAGCTTCTACATAAATTAAAATTCGGTGGCTTAACATGACAGTTCTCTTTGAACTTCTTTTATTCAAGAATAGCAGCCATAACTATCCTGGGAGGATGAGAAGTTCCCCTGCTGGTGCGCTGCCACATTCAGGAGAGAAATCTAAATTAACGGGAGGCTGGAGGAGGAAGGGGAGGGAGCTCCATCCAGGGGTTCTCTTGTGCAGCTAATCAGGCGGAAAAGAGAGCTTCCAAATGTGTGCCTTAAAGGTTTTGCAAACCAGTCTCTCTCTTGCTTTGCCACCAGCGCTTATGCCTGCTCTGAGCAGCGCCTTCAGCAGGGGGCCTTCCAATTTCCATCTCGCGCCTAGCCTCAATGTGAGCCATGTCAGCCGGCAAATGGTGCACAGATTTCCTTGTACGTTTCTGCTTCTGATCACAGCCACCCTGAGACGCGGCCCAAGAGCTCAGCGAGAAGAGATTCCAATGCAGTCAGCAGTTCAGTGAGATTAACTGAGGCGTCCTACCACACACAATGAATCAAAGGCGAAGCACTGGAGGCTCTGAGACTCCAGGGGAACACGGAGTGAAAACGGAAACAAAGTCTCATCAGGGTCTTTGTGTTGCATTGTAATGGAATTAAAAATAAGAATGGCTGAGTGTCTGCAAGAGAGAGAAAGGAGGGTCGGGGTGGGGAAAGAAGGACCCCCAGGCCAACGTTCTTTCAGCACTGGACAGCATCAGCCGAGCTGCTGAGTGAGCTGCCAGTCCAGATCTTGGTTGGGGATGTTTCAGCACCATGGACAGAGGTTTCTATGGCCAAAATGACAGGTGTTAATCTTGGATGACCAGGCCAAGTCCATGTGTTGCCCAAGTGAACAAAACATGGACTTTTCTATCTCCCGGTTGTGCTCTGTAACCAGTAATTGTTTGGGGGTGTTTTTTAAAAAATGGCCAAGCTTTAATAAGTTTTAACCAGCAGGAGAGACATAACATGTTCATGGTTATATTCTCAAATGCAGCCTTCCTGCATTTGTCTGGGCACAAATTTGTACAATTTAATCATATCACATAATGCAATAATTTAATACATTCTTCCCATTCACACACACCCCACTCCCACAAAGCATGTTTGTACAGCCCCAAATCTGCTGTAATGCTGGGGCATTCAGAAGCACCAGTTCCACAGTGACTATCCCCCCCCCAGCTGACCTCCCCTCCCCAACAAAAGGAGACAGGCTCTAACCATGAAACAGCTCTATTCAACAGAGACAAAGTGATTATTTCTGACTGTCAGGATAATTGCTCAAATTGTTCTTGCAATAAATGGGGCTTTGAAGCGCAATGTATTCATGCTGACAAGGATGAAGTTTGATGGGAAAGCACCTGCTGTAGCAAATGGGCTTGCATGAAGCCGAGTGTGGCAGAAATGCTGGAGGCTGAGATTGCTATGTCCTCGTTTCGATTGTTCAAAGGTTCCTTGGTCATCCGGCTGGCTGGCTGCTTTCCAAAAACAGGCCTGGCTCCCCTGGAGGCTCATTTCCCAGAGAACTTCCTTCATGGCCATCTTCATCCGAGATCTTCAGTTCTTTGGCCCCAGCCTTGCAAGAGAAGCAACCAGGCCAGGAAAGAAGGGCTCCCCATCAAGTAGGTGCTGGAGGGAGGCTGGGTATGTCTTCCAGGTGATCCCAGACCTGCTCAGCCCTTCTTTCTCAGGAGCAAATGCCACCTGATTTCGACATTCCCATGCAAAGAAGTCCATCCACCTTTTCACTGAGCCCTGGCTAATGTTGAAAAGGAGTCAAGAGCAGGGAGTTCCACTTGCCCCAATACCTCACCATCCATCCTGCCCCAATACTTACTGGTACCTCCCCCACCCGATCAATCTGCCACAGATTTCTTATTTTTAGCTCCTGATTCATCTCTGTATAAAGAGGGATAATGGATGTCACCATAGTAACTCTTGTGCCTGATAAGAGTCATGCTGGAGCCCATCCTCTGCTGAGGGCAGATGTTTCTTGACGGAGGAGGAACCGGAGGCCTCCTTGGGTGCTTCTGTCATGGCAGGTGAGCCACCTGGATGGGGAAGACCCAGCTCCATCTTCTGCTCTTCCAAAACACTCTATTGTGGGTCAGCTGCAAATCCTGAGCTCCCAGGTCTCCTCCTAACCGGGTGTGCACTGAGCAGAGATCAGGGGAACAAATGCAAACCTCCTTGGTCTCTTTGACGCAGTTATTCTTAAATGGTGCTAACCTTTGAGAAATGTCTGTTCCTGCTACCAAAATACAATATGTTGCACCTGCAAACTCCGATTGTCTTGGACAAGGATAACATCCATAACCATTTGCTCCTCTTCCCTTGGTGAATTTGTGGGAAATCAGTGCATTTGCCGAGAAAATTAGGCTAACAATGAGGAAACAAGGTTGACCTTCCCGTCCAACTTAGAGATTCTCTGGGACTGATGACAAAGAGAATAAACTTTTAAAATATGATAAACTAGCCGGACGTCTGTGCTTCACTACGAAACTCAGTCTTGATAAATTGACACTTACAGCCTGAAACTTAATGTAGAATGTGTTACTCCGTAGCAACAGAGTGTGTTAATATAATGCAACTGGCAGTTGGAAGAGAGGGGGAGGAGGAGTAGAATGTCCCAGCCCGCAGAATCCATTGGTATTTATCTGGCTAGCATCCTGTCAGTGTGTGAGAGAGTTGAGGGGTGTTTGGAAACTCAAATAGTATTTGCTGTGTGAGCAAGAAGGAGACGGGAAGGAGGCTGGCCATGGCTTAGCTCAACTGTTCTGTAATAAAGCTGCTTGCTGCTGTGAAAGTAAAACTGAAAGTGAAACTCGTCTCCTCTGCTTGTGTTTTCCATTTGGAACAGATTTCTTTTGGGGTGGGAAGTGGGAGTAGAACTCCTTAGCAACAGAGCGTGTTAATAATAATACAGGAAATACTAATGCTCTGATGGTCATTCTGAAAAATCCTTTCTTAGTGAGCATCTAGAAGCCAAGAGGAACAGACATGACAAATTTCAAGTTTGTAGACTTTACGGTTCTGGAGATTTTGTAATTACGGCATGAGTATTTTTTGCTTTTATATATATAGATAAATACAGAGATAGATTTTTCTCTTGTTTCAGCCATTACAAACAATAGCCTTACTGCTTGATTCAAATGACCCCTTGTCATTATTCTGGCCATAATTATTTATACCAGCACTGATGATGTTGCCTACTTTGGGTAATGAAACATCTGCAAGAAAACAAGCAAACTCAGAGAGCACGAAGCACTCCACAATTATTTGTCCATTTTTATTCCTTGTTTACTTGATTTTTCTGCAAGAATGAAAGTTCTTCAGGACTCCACAAAATTGGCTGATTTCCTTTGAAAATACAGAGGCTCAAATTTTAAAAAGAAACAAAAAGATCAATGATTCAATAACTGAAGAAGGAGGGAGCCACTTTCTTTGCTTCTGCTGAATTGGATTTGAAATTGGCTCACAAGAATCCCCCTGAGAAATCCACCAGGCTCCCTGACCACAAAGTGCTGCAGGGGGAGAATTTTGGAAAGTCTGCCGTGCAGCAAATGGAGGCTGGCTTCCTTCAGTGGGCCTCCTCCTCTCACCACAAAAAGCTTTTGGCTGGCGTGCAGGTGCCTGTGGGCCGCCCAGCCCAGGGAAAGGGCCCTGGAGGTCTTCCTTCCCTTCAAGGTCGGGAGGCGGGTACCACTCTGATGCCAAGGAGATCGGCCACCTCAGAAAGACCATTCTTGACTTTGTGTTGGGCGGTAGATGGAAGAAGCAAGAGGCATGTCCCAGTCTAGTTTTGGTACTGAATGCAGCTCATCAGGAAGATAAATTCAGCTGTGGCTGAGAGGCCCTCCCTGCCCTTGGCAACCACAGGACAGGCAAAAAGCAGCAGAAACAGTTTCTGCAAGGACGAAAGTTCTTCAGGACTCCACAAAGTTGGCTGATTTCCTTTGAAAATACAGAGGCTCAAATTTTTAAAAGAAACAAAAAGATCAATGATTCAATAATTGGAGAAGGAGGGGGCCCAAAAGGCCCTTTGAAGTTCAGCTCCATCAGTTCAACCTCTCCTCCAGTTTATTGGGTGGACTCAACTGCCATCCCCACACACATACAGCCCCCACCCCCCACCCCCGCTGTTGAGAGGTCCTCACTAGTAGAAATTCTGCCCGTGTGTTTCCACCAGCTGGTCATAGTATTGAGAAAAGGGAGGGAAGGACCACCCGACGTTCCCCCTTTATTTCCTCCCTGATGCAGGACAAAGGGCTCCTTGGCCCGAGAGCTCTGGTCACCTATGTCTCTTGGGCCGGCAGTCCAGCCATTAAGCGAGGCCTGAGGTTGGCTTTGCATCAGGCCCAAATCAGCCATCAGCTCTGTGCCTGCTCTTCTCTCCCGCTTTCTTGGCTGCATTCCGAAGCCAACTTGCACCCGGGTTTGTGTTACTCACTCAAGGCTCAAGAGCTTCCCTGAAGAAGCTGAATTCCTCCTCCAGCCAGGGAAGGAAAAGAGACCCCTTGGGAAGGCCAGGGGTGGGGGGAGCAGCACCCGCACCCACAGCCCAGCCACAGCACACAGAGGCCAGCTGCGTCCAGAGCAACACAGAACCAGGCTAATTGTGGGGAGTGATGGGGAATGATTACAGGGTGCAACAGGAGACGTGCACATGCCTGTCCAGCAGTCCCTCAACTCCCCACCCCCAAGACTTCAATCACCATGTTTTCCTACTGTATGAACGCTGCCTGTCCATTCTCCCTTCTGGCATGCGCAAAACACAGAGGCACCGTACAGGTGTCCATCTTCCAAAACTGAACAGGCTGGGCTGGGCCACATCTCCAGGTGAGTAAAGGCTTGGGATGGGAGCGGGTGGGGGGGTTCTTCACTGCAGCCAGCAGAATTTGTATGCTGGACTCCCTTTTGATGCCCCCTCCCCAGGCACCACTCCTCACCTTCCTGCTCTGCTGCTTGAGTTTGGAAGGACCTGGTGTGGAACGTTTGCACATCACAAGGGATTGCTCTGCCTGTAAACGCTTCTGCCATTGGCACGGACAGACATCGTCATTTGGTTTAGACTGGTCAAAATCCTGGCGGTGGGTTTTTGGTGCTTTTCAATCAGAGGAAGGGTTTTAAACAGATTAAGAACCTAAACCATGCCCTGCTGGACCAGACCCCCGGCCCATTGACTCTGCTCTCACAGGGGCCAGTATCTGCCCAAGGAGGCCTTCGGGTGTCCCAGAAGATGGCCTTCAGAAGGGTCCATCCCATCCAGGCTAATATCTGTTGATCCTCAGGACTTCTATGAATTGAGCCAACTCTTTTTTGAAGTCAACCAAGCCAGTGGCCAGCAACGCACCTCTGAAACAGCCACGATAGCAGCAGATGGTTCCCCATGTCCCAGATGGGAGCTACTTTGCCATGGAGGTTTCCTTCTCACTTCTGGACTTGTTCCAAAGACAGAGACGGCAGGAGCTCCATACCTCAACTGCTCAGGGTGTCTCAATAACACCACTGCTCTGCCAGGTGCAATTCGGTATTAGTTGTCCTCTATAAAACCCTTCAGGACTCAGGACCTGGTCACCTATAGGACCATCATTTCTGACTGAGTAGAAGATTTGGATTTAGCTGTAAAACGTGATCCTCTTGGGGATCTTGGAAACATGCAGCCTCAGTGGCTGGGGAATACATCCCTCCAAGGCCGGCATAGTCTTCACCTCTTCTACAAAGCCACAGAGACCGGCCTTTTTGTCACTCTGGGTCAGGTGGTGGTGCATCTCCTTGCTGGCATTTGCTGGGGAAGATGTTTGTGTTAGTCACCCTCTGCAATGCGTGCCACGTTCTGTTTCGTTGTTATTGGATATTTTTACTTGCTATCTTAATCCTATTGTAAAATCACTTTGGGATTAAGGCATCGTACAAGTAAATACAGAGAGAGAGAGATGATTAGATATGTAACCAAAGAGATCTGCACCAGGCTGAATACAATTCCAGAGCTGATATGCAGAAAATGCAGCCATCTCCCTGCACGAACACCTCCCTTTTGTTGGGGAGGGTCTGCTGGCCTGTGGAGTCACCCCCTCCCTCCCTCCTTTTGCTGGGCCAAGAGAGCCTGGAGTCAGTGCGGAGTCAGCTGGGGGACAGGAGGAGGCCTTGTCTCTGGGGCTCCACCTGCAAAACCTTCTCCAGCTTTGCAAATGGGGTGGCTGTTCCTTGAAATCAGTGTGAATTGATGTTCTTAAACCATTAACAAATGGCTGGGGCAGGTCCTGGAATGCTCCACATTGGCAACCCTGGCTGCGAAAGGGCCCCCTGGAATCCAACCGGGGCTGAAGGGTCTCGGAGCCTCTGCCAAGGCCTTTGGGGCCCTGTGAGGGCTCCACATCCCCATTTGAGATTCCCCTGCGCCACGCCACCCCCAAGGAACAGCACGAGTGAGGGAGCCCTCCCGCATGCCCAAATTGACTGAGATGGGGCTGAACTGATGCTCCCCCCTCCCACCTGCCCCCCATACAGAGGAGGGGCCCTAAGTCTCTTCTTCCCCTACTAAGCTGTGCATGTTTCATTCAATCACAGGGATGAAACCATATAGAGTATATTTATTGAGTCTCGCTGGCAACCCCCCTCCTTCAAATGCCCCGAAATTTGAGGCATTTGAGGCAGGGGACTGCAGCCCCCCCACTTTCCACGGCAACATTGTATTTTGCACCATCCAACTGCAAGCTCCCCTGAATGCGACTCTGCTGCCCCCGTGTGGCGGCTGGCGAGGTGGCGCCAAAGCCTTCATTTGCTGGCGATCCTTGCAACAGCCCACCCCGCCAAATCTCTGGTCCGGGGCTGGAGACGGTCGGAAAAAGATTTCCAAATGGCTCCACAGGAAAAGAATATTCCGTGTGCAGGTTTCATTTCCAGAGACGACGAGCTGACCCAACATTCAAACTTTGGCTGCAGTTGTAGCATCATAAAACATGGAAAGCTCCCTTAAGGTCTAACTCTTTGTTCAGCGGAATAATCCAAAGGGAAACCTCTCTGGCCATTAGGAAGCTTTTCCTAACAGACCCCAGAATCTGCCTCACCCTTCATGTAAATCCTGTGCCCCTGCTCTGGAACTAGAGAGGGATCCAGTGTCTCGGCTTGCTTCTATCAAATCAAATCAAATCAAATCAAAATACTTTTACAGCCTCCTGGTCTGCAAGTTGGGCAGCCGAAGGCTCCCTCGCAATGTTTCTCAACTTTGGTAAATTTAAGCTAAGACTTCATGGCTGGATGAGGAATTCTGGGAGTTGAAGTCCAACTGAATTAATTTGCTGAGGCTGAAACATACTGATCTAGGATCTATGAGGTTTCAAGCAAATCAGGATGAGATGGGAGAGGCCTAAAGAAAGCAGTTGATCTCAGCTCCATTTACGGTCTTCCAAATTTCCTTCTGATCCTTCTTGGTCAGTGTTGGAAGCTGCCCTGCAACAAAGGGCCATTGAGTTTGTGGCTTGCAAGTCAGATGGAACTGTTACTCACTGTCACACATACTGTTCAATTTGCAATAAAAGATTGCAGCGATCGTTTTTAGCATCAGGATGTGACCCAGTCCATCTCTTCCCGAGAAATTAGTCAAGAGGAATCATCATTACATCCCAGTTTGCTTTGTTTCCAGACATTTTTGAAAACAGAGGCTCTAATTCTGCAAATACTCCAGGTAGATGACCATAAAAACACAGCAAAAAGGGGAACTTTATTGGAAAAAGGCCGAGGGTGGTGTAGCCTGTAGGCACCTGGAGAGGAAAATAGGCAAATGTTCACATCTCTGCACTAATAAGAGTCCACAATTCTGGGTTCTCTACTCACTGGTGAAACTCTAGGTAAAGACCTGCTCCACCTCTCCCCAAGCTGAGTCCTTCAAGGCTATTGGATTACAATACCCATAACCCACTGTCAGCAGGGCCAGCTTGGAGAACATCAGGTTGGCCGCTCAGCTGGAGATGTTAAAGAATCAAGGCTGGGAATAAAGTTCAGGTGAAGCCCTTGGCGTCCCTCTGGTTCCCTGAGCTCCTTGGGCAGCCTGAGGACTGCTGGAAGCCAGGCCATAGAAGGAAGGCGCTGCTTCCAGAGGCCAAAGCTTTTCCCTGGACAGTCGGGCTCTGCAGCTGCAACAGCCAGACCAATCCTCACGGCCCTCATCATGGCCTCCGGCAGCCCCTGCTGGGCCCTCTTGCTGCTGCTCCTGGCATTTACTCTTGAGGAGGAGACCTGGGCAGAGGCCCCTTTGACCGGAGGGCCCAAGCTGCCAGGCCCTGGGCAGCAGAGGTTTCTGGATGCACAGGGAAGGAACAAAGGCAGGGGAGGGGGGTTCATCCTGAGCAGGGAGGGAAGCCCCCACGCCAGCAGGGGGACCCAGCTGACCACAGTGAATGAGCCCCAGGACAAGACCAAGCCAGCCTGGCTGCACACCCCATGCCTGCCTGACCCTTGTGGGCAGCCACCCTATTGCCAGACCTGGATGGTCAAAGTGACTCTCCTGGGGGTGCTGGGACTTCTGGTCATGGGTGGCAATGGGCTGGCTATTGCGGTGCTGGCCTCCTCGGTGTCTGGCTGGAGCCACAGTAGCCGCTTCATGCTGCTCTCGCTGGCTGCGTCGGATGCCGCTCTGGCAGTCCTGGTGGTGCCCCTCAACCTGTACCAGAGCCTGGAGTTGGGGCCAGCAGCCCCCAAGGAAGCTGCCAAAGAAGAGGCCGTCTACTGCCGGGTGGTGGCCTTCATCAACTCCAGCCTCTTTGGGGCCTCCCTCTACTCCCTGGCCGGGGTCTCCCTGGAGCGTTACGTGGCCGTCTTCTTCCCTCTCCACTACTGCCGCCTCCTGAGCCCCAGGCGGGTGCTTTTGCTCATCGTGGCTGCCTGGCTCCTGCCCGCCCTCCTCCTGGTGCCACTGGCCATTCCGGCCCCTGTGGCCGTGCTCCATGTCCGCTTCTCTGCGGCCGCCCTGCTGTGCGAGCCGGACTACGGCTCCAACCCCTTCTACTCCCTCTGGCTGGCTGGCACCATCTTCTGCCCAGCTGCTGCAACCATCGCCTTCACCAACATGCGCCTCTGGCTAGTGGCCCGTTCGCAGCGCCAGCGTGGAAAGGACATGGGCTTGCTAGGGAAGGCGGGGCGGCCCAAGAGGCTTCGGATGCTCCAGCTGGATGCTGCCGCCCGAGTACTGCTCCCGGTTGTGTTCGCCTTCTTTGTCTGCTGGGCCCCTTGCATAGGCACCATCGTGTACAACTGTAAGTGCTCCAGAGCACAGCAACACACACACACACACATGCACGCACACATACGCACACACACACGCGCACACACACACGGCAAAGGTGCAGACGTGTTTATGCCATGCAAGAGGGTTTTTTTCCCCACCCAGGCAGTTATATGAGTTCTTAGTCATCTCTTCTGTGGCCAAGGAAGACAACATATGGGGGTGGGGAAGTGAAGGGCAGGGAACTGGGTGCTGGGGGGGGGCTCTGGGATTGGCTCTAAATTGTTCAAAAGAGATATTGGCAGTTGTAATGTGCAGTTATGTTGTAATCAGCCTTCCCAAGGCAGAAATCTGTCCCTGTGCAATTCCGGTTATCTCTCCCCACACAAAATGCCCAGATAAAATACAGGCACCCTGCAGAAACTTACTCACTCCTCTCTGTCTCTTTCTCTCTTTTCCCAGCAATCACCCAGGAAAGAGTCCCCGGCTGGCTGGAATTTGTTGCTTTGTGGCTCCCCATTGGCAGCGGCTTCCTCAACTGCTTTGTCTACTTCTGGGTCAACAGGAACTTCCGGCACAAAGTCCAGAAGGTTGGACAAAAGCATTGCTTGACCTGCTGTCCAACCGAGCAGGACCTGCGGCTGCAGCACCTCCACAGCATCTCTGCTCAGGTGAGGATGGATTGTGAACCTCCCGGCCTTTCCCCAGATTGCTCCCTTGGTGTGTCGCCTTCCAGCAATGGCCTCCCTCTTCCCCTGCATGGCTGATCACCTGCAGGAATCCAATCTGGTCTTCTTACGGTGAGGGGGTTTGTAGCTCTTAAAGGCCCCTCGCTTCCAGGGCGTTTGTGCAACTGAAGAACTATTTGTCTCCTGGAAGATCTCGGACTCTGGAAGGTAATTCAGGAAATGGATCTATCAAGTCAGTTGAACTGAAAATATGACTGCAGCCCCCTCCCCTGCTGGCCTCACTTTCCAGACAGACTTCTGCAGGACCATCCAAGGACATAGGTCAGTGATGGGTGATGGAGAAGCATCTTGCCTGAACAAGGTGGGCTCTGTACCAGGCCTTCACGGGGGAATGTGAGAAACCAGCCTCTGGGGATGATCTGGGAGCATCCGGAATAAAATAGATCTCCGGGGTGAGCAGTTCTCACATCTTGCCTTTTACACTCTGCCTTCCCTTTAATGACCAATTTGTTTGCGATACCATGAAAAGAAAACCAGGGCCAGGATTTGTAAGACAACCTCACTCGGTTTTAATTCCCTTGTTTTAGTGGCTGGACTTTTGCTCTTCACTGGAGATTTAAGAGAAGGTTTTAGCTGATCCATGGACTCAGCCACAACAGTTGGCCAGACTGGTCCCTCCGTCAACTGAAGGGGGTGGGAAGCGGGGGGCTCCTCTATTGTAGAAACATGCATATCTGTCTTTTGCTGATTAGCATTCATTATGTTATGCTAATCAGTTTCCTGAAAGAAGAAAGCTAGAAGTTATGATTGTGATTTGCCCTCCTTGGTAGTATTTTAGGACATCCCCTTGGTTGGGTCCTCCTCATATCTTGGGAAATCTCCCACCTTTCAGAAGGTCGGATGGGGTAAGTTCCAAGACCCTTGAGCCTCTTTGGCCTGGGACGTCCAGCTTTCCCACACTGTCCCATTTTCCTCGCCCAGTCGGCCCTTCCTTCCTCGCCTCTTTAGTAGTCTTTCCCTGTGCTCCCTCCTCCATTTCCTTTTTTTATATTCTGAGCTTTTAATGACACAGGCTGAGAGCAGAGATCTAGTTGGGACAGATCAAAGTCTAGTCTTTGTTTTTCCTGCCCCCAATTTAAGAGTAATGGTTTGTTTTGTGTGCTGGGATGGAATAAAATGCAGCACGAGTGACCTCGGGGCCTGGTCAGAAGAGCCAAGGTGGTGGACGTGGCAGAGTGAGTGGCTGAAGCTTCGCCTGTTTTTATGGGTGCCACAATAGAGGCAGCTTTGCTCGTCTTGACGTTTGGACCTCACTCTGCCAATGCCTTGGAAAGGCAGGCAGGGCTGCTCTGGTTAGGCCAGGAATTCTGCCATGAGAATGAATTAGCCAGCCAGCCATCACCAAAGCAGCCCCCTCCCTTGGGCTGCCATTGCCACTCTTCCCAGCTGGCACCTGCATCTCGCTGGGCTAGAAGGGACGAGCGCCCGACGTCGCTGGGGTGAAAAGGTTGGGCCGAAATGTCAGCCGTGGAGAAGAGGCAGTTCATGGTGGCATGTCAGAACCTTTCAGTTTTTCTTTCTGCCCACCCACCCCTGGTCCTCCTCCTGCCTTCCCTTCGGGTGTCTTTCCCAGCCTTGATGATTATGTGCAGGATTCATGAGAAATACCTTTTATCTCCATCCAAATCTGCCTTTTTTTTTTTTTTTTGCTATTTTTTAAAAAAAGACTATGGTTTGAAATATTCTGTGAACATCCTTTTCGTCTTGCTTTTATTGAATTGTTTACTGTAGTTTCTTGGATAAAACATATTAAAGATGACATTTAGATGTATTAAATAAAAATAAAGGTGTTTTGGATTTAATATGTTTTCCCACTGCAGTGTGTTCCTAGGATGAAGGAAAGCGCGGTGAGGGGGCAGAGGGGGAGTTATTAACCCATAACTTGGGTTACCTGGAGGAAGTTTCCACTGAGCATCTTGCTCCTCTGTCAGGACAACATCCCAATGGACAGAAGGGGAGGGAAATACTTCCCACCGCAGGATTTCAGCAGAAAATCTTAACAATGAAAGAGGATGCAGCTTCCTGCTCCCACCCAGCTGACTTCTCTGAAGTGCTGGACCAGAGAGGTTACTTTTTGCCCATGTGCAGGAGTCCCTGTGTGTGGCGCTGATGGACATGGATGTCCTCTCCCAGCCTGATGTTCCTCTCCAAGCACATTCAGCTGGAGTTCCCACCACCCTGACAGGATGACAGGAGAGAGCGCGACTGCAGCACATCTGGAGGAAGGTTCATAGGCCAGGAAAGGCCAGACAGCTACTTGAGTGTGTCTCCTGTTAGCATCCTTAGCATCTCCATGTTGGTTGTGCTATAGAATTGCAGACTTGCCTGCTCTTCTCATACTGGACAATGGCCTGCTGTTTACTGGGGACAATGGCCCCTTCTTACTCTACACTTCAGCCAGTTCATTTGCAGAAGAGGAAAGGGGGGAAGCACATCTGGAAAGGCAGCTGCCAAAGGAAGCCTGTGCAGCTGTGCGCTCTCCAGCTCACTGAAAACCCATTTCATACCCCACCAAAAATCCTCCTGAGCCCCCTTTGCTTGCCAGGAAGAGGAGAGGAGAGGAGGCCTCTACTGGTCTCTGGGCTGCTCTCTCCACCTCCTCTGCACAAGCAGGGGGGAACCACTAGGGACACTGCTAATAAGTCAGATTTATTGAAGAAAGCAAGAAGATTTCCAGCAACTGGTGTGACTCAAGCAAGCCCTTCATTCTAAACACAGAAACCATCTTACATGGGGCCTTCCTTCCACCCTTCTTGAAAAAAAACTATTTGGTCCCCTCGTTTGAGGGACTGGCTTGTCTCCATCTGTTTTATAGTCATCCAATTTGCTTTCAGGCTGCTTTTTCTGACTGTGTAAGAATTCTCTCTCGCAGCCCCAGACTGGTGTGACACCTTGCTGGGCTACTTCCCAGTTCCTCTTCCCAGTGGGAGAAACTCCGATGCTGGAGCTGCCATCCTGAGGCAAGCTGGTCCTGGACGGCCCCTTGCAAAGGTCAACTGAGGTCTTGGAGCAGCTGCTCTCAGTCCATGTCCCACTGGAGGGGCCAGGGGTGGCCCCCCATTTCCTGCTGGTATTTCTCATTGAACAGAGCGCTCTGTTTGGGGGAGAAGTGGTTCCTCCAGTCACCAACAATACCTGGAAGGGCAGAAGGAAGATCTTGCTGAATCGGCAGCTGGGACGGTGCTCATCTAGCAAAGGAATCTAAAGGCTGAGCTGAATCTGGGAAGGGCAGCACTGCCCCAACTCTCGCCAGCCTCCCCCCACCCCCAACCCATCCCCCATGGCCTTCACTGACCTTTCCTCATGAACTGGCTTTTCTGAAAATCCATAATCTCAGGAGGAACAAGTTTGTAATTCACCATGATGTTCTCTTTCATGACAGCAAAGCTGCAGTGCTCCAGTATATACTCAGCCTGGTCTGGCTGAACGGGGTGGTCCAGGAAGGCGCTCAGCCGCTCCACACAGTGTTTCAGGTCCTAGGAGGAGAAAAGGAGGACAGGGAGGAGGAGGATGAAAAGAAGGAGGTGATGAACAAAGCAGGCCCTATATCCTCCACCAGAAGAGCAGGGAAGACCAGAACTCCTGTTTTATCCAGGAGAAAGATGACCAAGATGAGCAAGGAATAAATGCTGACTGAGAGGAGGAGCCGTGGGACCCAACCTGAAGGGAGCCCATCCTTTGACTCTTGAAGGGGTCAAGGGGTCAGCTGCCTGCCCTGGCCCGAGGCAAGAACTCTACTGCTGAACCTTGTTGCAGAAAAGGATCCGTGAGCTGGGAACGATGGGACTTGTGTCCCAGGACAGAAAATTCTGTCATCATTTTAGAGCCTCCAAGGACAAAATGTGGCCACCTGGATATTAGCCAGCAATTCTCATGATTTTCACAGCTGGGAATTAGGAGTTTAGAAGCATTGGAAGGGCCAAGCTTGCACATCGCTACTTGTAAACCAGAAAAGGTAAAAACAAAAGTATCTACCTATATATGGATCTTAGCTGCCAAACAAACAAACAAACAAACAAAAAATCATCTATCTGAACTTTGGGCCATTTGCTTTCCTCTCCGTAGGGGGCTAAAGCCAGTCATAACCGAGCAGGCCTCTTTTGTTCATTTGCTGCCCATTTCCAGACCTCTCCCTCTTTTCTGTCCTTCCACCGGCCTGACGCCTGGAGCTTTTCCTGGCTGTCCTGGAGGGATGGAAGGGAAGAGAAGGCTGGGCAGGGGGGCTCCTTCCTTCAGCGCTTGCCTCACGAACCAGCCTCGATCAGGCTCTCTAACCTTTGTTCCCGTTCACACGACCCTCTTCCTGTCAACAGGCCAGCATTTGAAACCACCAGCTTGTTTCGAAATAAGCTGGTCTCCTTTCCTGCCACGGCTGGCGCCCGTCTGTGGGCAGACTCACTTGATGGAGCTCCTCGTAGGTGATGCAAAACAGGCCCAACTCTTCTCGGCAGCTGAGCCAGCCTTTCACGTGCTCAAACCAGGATCCGTAGTGCACTGTTTCAAAGCAGGGAGAAGACCAGGATCAGAGAGGGAAAGAAGCCGCAACTAACAAGGATCCACCTCCTTTCCTGGCATCTCAGCCTCCTGGCTTCCCTTCAACTGTGCTTATGATCCAGCTGAAGAAAGTCAAGTCACAAAATGTTCCATAGCAGCATCTGCTTTGAGTCAGTTTATCGCCCAGCCTGACGCCAAAGGACTTGATGGGCTGACTGGGTGGGAGAAGGACCGTGGGCAGAGTCCTGGCAAAGCAGCCGCTCCCTGACAACCCCCCCAGGGCCCCCCAGGTGTCTTTTGGTATCTGCCCTGCTAGGAAAGAAGTCCCCAGATGGAGGAATCGTCCCTCTCTCTCCCCCCTAGGAAATTGCCAGCTCTTTAAAGAGCAGTTCCTAGTGCCCTGGCCTGCTGGCCCCTCAGTATGGTCTTGGGCAGCCGTTAAAGTTACCCTGCTGGAATGAAGGGCTGGAAGGGAAGATGAGCCCAGCAGCCCTTGAAGCGCCTTCTAGGAACTGGCAGCTCCTCCACTACCCTCAAGGGTGGGATCCGAGACAGGAATCCCTCAGAAAAAATACCCTCCTGGAAAGCCTCGGTGTGCATTCCAGAGCAGAAATGTTCTAATCCAGCTCCAGATGTGCCTGACAACACTTACTTTGTAAAACTGCTGAAGAATGGAAAAGGACCGTCCCAATTTTTTTTAAGAAAATCCAACCCGCTAAGGATGAAAGCAGCCGCGTTGATGCCACTGATACAATAGCAACATATTCACCATCTCCAGCCTGCCTGAAAATGCCATCGCCCACCTAATGCCCTCTGAATGCCTGGAACCGCAATCCCCAGAATTCCCAGCCAGCACGAGCAGAACTATCCTCCACCACATCTGGAGATCATCAGGCTGGGGGAGGCTCCCACAGTCCCGGAAACCTCTGCCTCCATTTATGGAACCACGGCTTCTGGGACTAATTGGAAACAGTTGCTACAAAGCAGTCAGGTGGCTTTAAGCCAGGCAGGTCTCCGAACTTGGCAACTCTAAGACTTACGGACTTTGAGTCCTAGCTACCCTGGATGAGGAATTCTGGGAGTTGAAGTCCACAGATTTTAGAGTTGCCAAGTCCAGAGACTCTGGCTTAAAGCTAAAACACCACCCTCACCTTGTTAAAACAAATGCACAAGCCCCACAGCCCCCAAATTTTCAGTTACAATACAAAATGCAGAATGAAAGCAGACTGTGAGAGCCGTAAAGACAGTAGGATGCCCACAAAGGAGCTGGCAGTGAAACTGGAGACCGGTGGCTATACAACCACCCAGTTCTACCACTTCCTCATCTGAATTTTGCAACTGCTTTTTAAGCATAATGGCATAATCTACCCTATGTTTGCAAGCGGAGATGTGTGTGTGTGTGTGTGTGTGTGTCCGTCCGTCCTTGGAGCCCTTCCACCTACCGGTGCCAGCCATGAAATCATGAAGGAAGCCTTCAAAGGAGGCTGGGTCAGGGAAGAACTTGGCCATTCTCTGGAAATGGTAGTAGGACACAGCAACATCTTTTGGGTTCCTGATCACATAGATCACCTGCAGCAGCAAAGAATGGACAAGTTGATCTCCCCATAGGACCACCTGCCATCCCACCCTTGGGTCTCCTCTGGCTGCAGTTTCCTTGACTAGCTTCACAAGAAACACCATGGCTGCACTCATGACATGCTAAGCTGAACATGCCACATTATGTCCCTCTGAAAGCCCCCTGAAGGTTTTGCCATCGTTCTTGTGAGTGCTGGCTCTGAAATGAACCCACAGAGTGTCCCCGGAGACGCACCCTGGGCTTAGCTTTCTTCAGGGCAGGTGCCAGCACTGGCTGGGGCAGGTGGGTGGTGAGGAGGCGAGGACACCCGATGTGCTGAAGTTGCTCTTGGAAATAGCTGTGCTCCAACCAGGGAGCTCGGGCCCAGTTGGGAAGAGACTTGATGGGCTGGAGGTTGCCGTTGCTGTAGATCAAGGTCAAGATTTCTTGCATCCACGTGGTGCCTGGAGGGCAGGAGGAGAAGGCTGGCCGGTCATCACGACCTGTGGAACTGCAGGCTTTTTGACTGAGAGAACTCTAGAGGTTCTCCTTGGGAAAAACGGCCCCTTGCGCAGAAAAGAAAGTGGTGGGGCACCTGCATCCACTCATTCAGAGAACAGGAGGAGAAATGAGCCTTTGGGGTTCAACGGACAGCTGACTGAGCATCTTTACCCTACTGACCTGTCAGCTGGGCAACTTAAAAGGTACTTGGAGCAAAGGTTCACCCCAACATTTCCCCAAGCCCACTCTGCCATTAGCAATTAGGGTGCTCTTTTCTCCGGCAGCTGACACCAGTGGGAGAAAAAAGAAAGCAAAGAGCTCTACCAACCTTTCAGCTACCTGCAGTAAAGCGCTCAGTTAATTGTCTGATTTACTAATAGTCCATTAAACATAAACAGTGGATAGACATGCATGCAGATTAGAGCTAACCTCTTGGTTAGCTTGTGTGCCAGCATATTTGTCCGCTGACTCAAGGGCTGAAAGAAAGCACATTTATGCAACTACGAGAGAGACCCCCTACCTGAAGAGAAACATTCTCTCCTTCCTTCCTCCAGAATTACTGGTAAAGTTGAGAAGGGTGCTCGGCTGTCCAGCTTGGCTCAAGGGCCAGGAGAGTCTCTAGTGCTCTCAAAAGTCCTGGGGATGAGGAAAGGAGGACGGCTACCTGAAAGGACAGTGGGGACCTCACATGGATTCTCTGGGTTGATGGGGTGGGGATGTAGGCAAAGGTCTGGTTGATGAATCGGGGCCCTTCACAGCTTCTTGGGCGGGGTCTTTCTGGGAGGAGAAGGCTGAAACTGGACAGCAGCTCAGGGGTCAGTCAATGATTAACTATCCCACTACCTCTGAATATTTCAAAAACCATCATTTCCCTTTGAGTGACGACCAAACACTTATTGTTTCAGAGGCCAGATAAGATAGTCGTCTGTCTCATTGTTTCCCTTTCAAACAGCAGCCCAGTATCTATCAAAATAATTGATGGGTTTCCACACTCAAACTGCTCAGGCAGCCACAAAGTTCTTGTTAAGGGTTACTTGAAATGCCACGTTGCCTGTTGCGAGACTGGTGTGATATGCACAAAAATGAAAAGGTGATGAAACGGAGGAAAGGCTGGTGAAGATGACAGAGCTAGCTGAGATGGCAAAATTAACTTGCTTGATTAGAGAAAGATCGCGGATCAGTAACTACAAACCCTGATGGACCTTTTGCTGACAAAAGAGACTACAGCCAGGAAGATTGGAAATTGCTTCTCTGTCAACTTTCTTTTCCTTTTCTATTTTTTTCCTATTGATGATTTTTCTTTATTTTCTTCTCTGGTTATTACTTGGTTTTAAAAATTTGAATAAAGCTCATGAAAGAAATGTAACTGTAAGTAGAATGCCTTGATTCAAAAGTGCTTCGTCTCAGCCAGAGCCTTTCCATTATTTTGCATTTCCACTGAGGGCATCGAATAAGCAACAACAAAGACAGCAGCTTCTGCAGAGAGGGGGAGGGGGAAGCAGTTTTTCTATGAATGAGATATTCCATGACCCCCCCCCCCAAGGGAAAAAAGGTCTTCAGACCCACCGAGGGAGGAATAAGAGCCCACCTGAAGAGGCCTGGAGCAGAAGGAACTGTCCCATCTGAGCCATCCCAGCCAGCTTCAAAAGGCTTCCAATATCTTTAGAAGAAGCTCCCTTTTGTACTCTTGAGTAAATCTCACAACCGGATTTGGTTTTGCACAGAGAGTTTGCCTGGTAAACAAAGAATAACTTCCATCCTCCTCTCCTAGCACAGGTTCACCACACCCTTTACCTGATTTGGGGTAAGTGACGAGGAGCACATCCGTGTCCTGGAACTCAAAGTTGCTGGCAAAGTGGAGAGAGCTCTCGGTGTGGAGGTGTCCCGGTAGGCGTATGTTGGCAAAGACTTCGGTCACATCCAGCCGAGCCATGGCGCTGGCAGCAGCCAGGAGGCCTCTCTGCTCTCCTGCAGCCAAAGAACCTCCCTTTCCGCTGCTCAGCCCAGGGGTGGGAGGTATCCTCCCAAAACACTCTGAGCTTTTCTAATCAAAACCATCATTCCTGAAGGCAGAATTGTTATCAGCAGCAGCCACAGGTGGATTCAGAAGGTCAGCTTCCTTTATCTCTGGAAACAGCACAGATTCTTCCGTACTGGAAATAAAACCAGAACAAATTAATCAATAATTTCGTAACTCTGGTTGGGTCTTTCCAACTGTTCTTGATCTTTCAGCCAAACTGGATGATTTGCAAGATTCTGTCCTTCTGTTTTCATGGCTAATTGTTTTATTTCAAATTCTTTTTTTTTTTTTAAATCTAAATGGCAGGACAAAGAATAGACTATTCATGGAGATGCCAGCAATTTGACAAAGCAGCTGTGCACATCTGGTCTGTTTTTGTGAATATGAATACAAGTAGCAAATCTTAACCTTAATTTTAAAAATAAATCATTTGGAGTGTGGACAGCACTATTGGCTTACGAGGGGGGAAGCTGGGCCAGAAAGAAAAAAAAGGTTGCACATTATATTCATAATCGTACTTGGGAGGGGAAAGCACAACACAATGGTATAACGTGTGGGAAAAAGCTTCCTGTGGGTTGCTGGTATTTGCTTTTCTGAGCTACTTTGTTATTGATGCAAGAATGGAAAAACCTGATCTGTTTGTTATGATAGTTGACCTGCTTAAGTAGTTGTTAAGAAAATATAAAGCGAGAGAATAATTGAACATGTGTGACTATGTGCAAGGTAACTTAAAAAGCACAACGGATTAGGAGAATGTCTTTTTCTGTTCGATGTTGAAGTCCGTCCTTCAGGAACTCTGCACACTCCCAAATGCCAACGTTGTGTTTTCTTAATTTCCAGATTAGCCTTCACAGTCTGTCTGGAGAAGAACACCAAGGCTCACATTTATGCAGCCATAAATTCAACTTCAGTGCTTGATGTCCCGTTCCCCCTTCCATTCCCCACCCCGCTCCAGATTTTTTCCCCAGCTTTCCCAGCTGCACAAATAAAAAAAAGGGGGGGGAGCAGGAAAAAATGTCCCAAAGTAAGTCTAGACTCCCTTCCTTTCCAGGTAAGTTCCTTTTATGCGGTTCTTACAAAGCACGACCCCTCTTAGGGTGAGTTTTTGCAAGGAAACCAATTTAAAAGCAAAGTCATAACTTATTATGTCATTAATCATAGTTAGATGGACAGGTTGCCCCCCCTCCTCATCTAAAATTTAACAGGAGCTTAGAAAGCCCTTATAATTAACTTGATCCCTGCTTATCTCTTTCCTAAGCCTCTTGTCTGTTGGTTTCTAATTACCTTGCTCAGTAACAGGCAGAATTAATCAGTGAACCATCATGGCTGTCTCTACGCCCTCAAATCCCATCTCCACACAGAATGGCATCTCTTTCCCATGGAGGCTACTATGGATCATCATAACTCCACACTACGAGGTCTCTTGTTACCCTTGCTCTCCCCCCAATTAGCTACGCTGAGCCGCTGAATCAAATCTGGGGAATAGCAGGGCTGAAGTACAACTAGGTGGGCTGCCTCATTCCAGCGAGCCTCTTGTGCCCACCGCTGCAAACTCGTCTGCCAAAGTGGGGGGCAGAATCTCCTTCCGGCATTGGGGGGCTCACCCTTTTAAGGCTGTCAAAGGAAACACAGCTCAGGCTTGGCAACCCCCTGGGTACTTTGAACAGCTGCATGTGTGACTGGCAATCTTGGCATGACCAACTGCAGCTCCGTAGAGCTGGCGATGCCATGAACTGCGGCTAATCCTGAACTAAGAGACCACCCTTTTCCCCTGATTGAGAGCAAGGTTGGATAAAAACAGAACTGGATCTAGAGAGAGCCAGTCCCTGCGCAAGGCTGATTTTCACCCTGGGATCTGCTGCTCCTTTGCTTAGATGAAAGCAAAGGAGAAGGAACTGACCCAGCGAGGACTAGTCTGTTCCCACCATGAATAAAGACCCACAGTCTAGGTGTTCATGTTTAGCCTGAAAAGAGGGGGCTCCCAGGAAGAACCACCTGGCCTACTTTGTCCCCACCCAGATACTACCTCCTTCAGATGTCCCCAATGGATCCCTTCCGAGGGAGGAGGCCTCGGGGACTTGGAGCTCCTCAGAACTGAACCGGGAGGAGAAAGAGGGTTCAGTTTCTTGGCCAGGAGGGGCTGCTCTGCACTGCGGGGGGGGGGGGGTGTGTCTCCCCTGGGGTCAAAGTGGCCTGGGAGTCCTTGAAAGGAAGTGGAACAGATGCTCTAGGAAGGGAATTGCAGCTGCCCAGATTCTCCGCGCTTCTCCCTCCCAGAGGGACCCTCCTTGGGTCTTCCTCACTCCGCTCCAAAGGGCAGGATGAGCTCAGCTGCCTGAAGCCTTCTCTGGCTCCTCCCAAGGCACACTCACTCCCAGGAGCTGCCACATGATGGGTGGATCCCACTCGGGGCACTCCCCACCTCCTTACCACTCCATTTGCCTCCAAGGATCCCTGGGAGGAAACGCTGGAGGAGCTCTCTGCTGGTGGTCCAGATCCCATTCGCCCCAGGATGCTGCTGCTGCCTTACCTCATGCTTGCTTGGCTCTCCATCTGCTCGGCAGATGACTATCAGCTGAAGGCAGCCAAAATAATGAATGCCACACCTGTGGTGGACGGGTAAGATCACAGCCTTCCTTTCCCTGCCGTGGGTTGGTGGAGCAAAGCCCCGTCTTGGAAGATGCAAGGATCATCCTTTGCCCTCCAGGGCCTCCTGCTGGCACTCAGCTGGCATCCAGCTTTCCACTGGGCGGGCTGGTTGGCTGGTTGGCGCAATGCCACATGACTTCCAGTGGGGCTGACACAATCCACATCAGTGAGACGCCGCTAAAATGTATGTGCGACATGGCCTGGCTGCTTTCCAGGGAACAAAATCTATAGAGCCGGATAGGAGGACGTTTCCCATCAAGAGTTCCTGAGAAAAAACCCTTTTAGGAGCCACTAAATGTGAAGTGCTGAGGGGGAGAAAGGGGTGGACGAGCTCTTGCAGGGGGGTTTAAAAAAAGCTGGTGACGAAGAATTGCATAAGTAGGAAACAAACATTAAACTGTCAAATGTCGTTCAATGGAAATAAAACTATGGATTTGGGAGCAAAACCCATGATGTGGTATAAACTGACTGCGCTGAACTCAAAGTGGCCAACAGGGAAGGAGACCCTGAGGCTGAGATCTATCCTTGGGCAAGTGGGTGGCAAATGAAGGCAGGGTTTTTTGTAAGGTTCATCTGCAGCGGAACCAGAGAGGTTCCCGCTGTCTAGTGTGCAGGGTGTGGCCTTCCTGAAGCGGCTTCCTGAATTTGGCCGTCTTGGGAAGGATTTGCGGAGAAGGAGGCGGCAGGAAGGGCAGCCAGATTAGCTAAGGGCTATTTGGAGTAAGGAAAAGTGAGTGTGTAAGTGTGTATTCCATTAAGCAAAGGGTGGAGAAAGGTGTGAGAGCTTCCTTTCTCAAAACTCAAGAAGGGTTCAGAGCAATGCAGGGGAAGAGGCTACAGCCCCCCCTTCTTCTTCATGCTGGCCTTGACCAAGGAGCCGTTTAGTCAGTGAATAATCAACCACCAGGTGATTGCCCTCGGGGTTGGCCAAGCTTGACATCTCTCCCTGGAGGGTTCTGGAATTCAGGTGGAAGTACAATGCTCAGACGGCCTTGGAGGTGCTGGGAAATCCAGAGGTGATGAAACGTCAAGGTTCTCCCAACCCCTCCACCTTGCCTGTCTCTCGAAGACCAGCATGACTTCCAGTAAAACATAGAAGAGGCTCCATCTCTGGGCACCAGGAAGACAAACAGCTCTTCTGACTCCTTGAAGAGGAGGATTCCTTCTGAATGTGGAAACAGCTGGGGGTGGGCAGGCACATTTGAGGCAATCTTGGGAACTCCAGGCGGATTCCAGCCCTTTTGTGTTAACAAATACAGCTGAGTAGTGGCTGGGGATTCTGAGAATTAGGAAGGAAGATCAGTTTCAATTCAATACACAATAACATTCAAGATCAAAGCAACTTTTAAATAATAATACTGTAGATCTGTTCCTATCACTCTCTTTTTTTAAAGAGAACTTGCTTTGATCTTGAATGCTATTTGTTTTGAATTATAGCTGAATTTATTTCCTTCAGATATTGGAAAAAGAGGCAGTTTGTGATTTGGTTGCTCTGCCATTTCCAGTTAAATGCAACTAAATAACTGAATTTCTTAGTTAGAAGGCAAGCCATTAACGGACAAGGCAGCCCTTCATGGCCTCTTAAGTACAGCTGTCAGAATCTTCTGCAAATCCAGCAAGGCTGGTGGCTGTTAGCTATTAACCGTTACAGTACGTGTAACTATGGATAAAGCTGGAGGTGGTTGGTACCTTAACCACCTTCCGGCAGCCTTTTAAGTTTTAACTTATTTTATTCTTTTTTGCATCTGGCTCTTTTATTGGTTTATTGTATTTGTATATAGTTTATAAGTGTTTATGTTTTAATTCTACACCACCTGGAGTCCCAAGTGAGATTTTGACAAATAAATAATAAATGTATGGATTTTTTTTGTTGTTCTACGAATTGCTTTCTCTGATCAAAGCAAGCCAGAGTTTTAGTGTTACAAACAAACCACTGATCTACAATAGTTCAGTCCACCTTTAATCTGATGTAAGGAAGACTAACTGTTACCATCCCAACCTTTGGTCTCCAAGGTCAATTGCCTTATCAATTAATCTGCTTCAATCAGCCTCTTGAATCATAACCCAAGATGATAAGATGTTATCTTTCGCTTGTAGTCACAACGATCTGCCCTGGCAATTGCTGACAAAATTCAACAACCAGCTGTCTTTGAAGGCAGCCAATTTGCACCAGCTGCAAGACACTCATACCAATATTCAGAAGCTGCATCTCGGGCATGTAGGAGCACAGGTAACAGATGAGCAAAAGACACTTGCAAGTCTCCCATGCAAAAAAATAGGAGAGATTAACTTTCCTACTGAAACATCTGATCATTCAGATGTTTGTGAATTGCTAAACCTTATACATTTGATTATTTTCAGATAAAGATTTCCAGCCCAGCTTATTTGTTTAGCCTTTTGGCTGCATTTCAAATTTATATGTGTTTTAAGAGATCTTCAGTGGGTCCAACCTCTGCTGCCTGCCCACTTCCTTCCTGTGGAAAACAGAGATCTGTCCTTTCCACTTGCACCCCAACCTTAGATCATCTGCTGATGCAAATGCGGTCTCCTGATAAAGCTCACACAGGAAACGTAAAGAAGCAGCTTTAATACACCTTTGCCTTCCTTCTGCAGTTCTGGGCAGCCTACGTGCCCTGCGACACCCAAAACAAAGACGCAGTAAAGCGAACTCTGGAGCAGATCGACGTCGTCCATCGGATGTGCCACCAATATCCAGATGTCTTCAAGTGTGTTACTGACAGTGCAGGTAAGCACAGAGATGGTGCCACAGCTGTTGCTTCCTGGCTGGCCAAGGAGGGGCCCAACCACATGTCTCTTAGCACAGGGCACACTACAAGTCAGAAAGGCACCAGGTGAGTAGGGGGGCTGCTTCAGATGATGGAATCCAAGCACTCAGGCTCAGCCTCAGGCCTACGGAGACCATCAGCTGGCTCTTTGTGATAAGCTACTTCTAGGGAAAAGCAGGAAAACTTATCTGAATCAGGGCCAAAAGCCAGTGCTAGTTTTATCCTTGACAATTTTTCCACCCAAAATCTTAAATCCCTGTTGTGGTGGGAGAAACTGTCTGGAGCTGGATTTACATGTAATGCATGCAGTCACTTTTTAAACTACGATTCATTGACTAAACCACAAAATACGACCTGCAACCCATGGATTGCCTGGGTTCACAAAATGACATCATCTACTAGTTTGACCTTGGCTTGCCACACTGAACTCAGGTGACTGCAGTTTATTCAACAAACTAAGCGTTGAGCAAGCCACAGCTTAGTTGATGTGTGAACCAGGCCAACATTCTAAGCGTTGAAACAAACTCTTAGCTGGTTTAGTGCAACACATGAACTCCGTCTCTGCCAGAATTCTCCATTATTCAATGTGCAAAACAGCACGGATCAGGTTGGGGAAGGGTAAGTTAGCCTTAACCGTGAAAATCTAGTGTAGACTTCAAACCATCTCATATTCCCAGCCGGCCACCCTGTACAATGAGCATCTGGCCCTGGAAGCTGGGTGGAAATCCTTCTCTTGCAGGTATCCGGAAGGCTTTTGACACTCGCCACGTGGCCAGCCTAATCGGCGTGGAGGGCGGCCATTCCATTGACAGCAGCTTGGCCGTCCTGCGCACCTTCTACCTGCTGGGCGTGCGCTACATGACCCTCACCCACAGTTGCAACACTCCCTGGTAAGCGGGGAGACCCTGAAGCCTGCTTTCGAATATGGGCATAGCACTGAGGTGCCCTTGAGCAGGGCAGAGTGACATCATCGAATGGCTGTTGTGTAACCTCGCAAGCATTCGGGGAGGGAAGGTCCCAAGAGGGTCGTGGGGCAATTCATTTCAACAGTAGAGTCCCATTTTGAGGGAGAGGAGGTCCACCTAAAGCCCATTTAGGGAAGGAGGGTGTAGAAAAGGAAGCGTCAGGATTCGATGCTCCTTCATCTGGTGTCCCCTTTCCTTGGCAGGGCTGACAACTGGCTGGTGGATACAGCTGAAGAAAAGCCTGTTCACAATGGCTTGACGGAATTTGGGAAGGTCAGCGAAGACTCTGTGCAAGGATTTGAAGGGGGGGAGGGGGCCGTACGGCCAAAGGGAGAAGAGGCTTTGTCATTGGCCTGACGCAGAGCGGCTTAACAAGAGCTCCCATTGAAATGGGGGTTGCAAAAGCAACCGCCATGAAGGAAGCCAAATGGGAAGGACAGGCCTCACTGGGGGCAACTGATGTGAGATGAAGGCTTGTGCAATAGAGTTTGGGGCAGGCCCCCAATGCTTTCGGGGCTTTTCCTCTTGAACCCAGAGCCTCCCGAGTTCATCTTCTCACACCTTCACAATGCCAAGGTGGAGCCAGAAGCTTTCCTTTCTCTCCAGGCCAAACGATCCTCCATTTCTTTGCTCCACAGCGTGTGGTCCTGGAGATGAACCGGTTGGGCATGATGGTGGATTTGTCCCATGTCTCTGTGGAGACCATGAAGGCTGCCCTAAAGGTCTCCAGGGCCCCCGTGATATTCAGCCACTCCTCGGCCTATGCAATTTGCTCAAGCAGGCGGAATGTACCGGATGACGTGCTCCGCCAAGTGGTGAGCAGGGCTGGGTTTGTGTGGGTGTGAATGCACATGCTTTCAACAGCATCAATGCAGGTCAGGCGGGAAGCTTTTGCTCAACATTCTTCCTTGGCTCCTCGGGTCCTCTCCAAAGGCACCGGCCCACCACCTATCAGGTGGACACGTGGTTGGGTGCCGCAGGGTCAAGAGGTGGCAGAGAAATTGAGGCTCTTGCTGTTTCTGGGCATCAGCTTCTGGGCAGCCCCTTTGATGATGCCCTCTCCTCGCAGAACGAGACACGCAGCCTTGTAATGGTCAACTTCTACAATGACTACATCTCCTGCAGCAGTCATGCCACTCTGGCCCAGGTAGCAGGTAAACCCAGCAGAGCAGGAACGGCACATAAGGAGACACGGGGGGGGGGGGGGGACTGAGGCACACAGAAAGTGGTCAACTTCTCATCCTTCTCACCTGCAGACCACATGGACTACATAAAGCGCGTTGCAGGAGCAAAGGCTGTTGGCATTGGAGGAGACTATGATGGGGTGACCAGGTATCGGGAGGAGAGGCAGGGGGATGAGGGTAGACTTGAAAGAAGTCCAGCCTGCAGTGGGACAAATGTAAGCCCCAAGAAAAGGGAGTGGCATCATTGCTTGAAGATTGTAGGCAGCTGCCAAGAACGATACTCGCAGTTTAGTGGAGGGCTGGAGGGACCATGTCCCTATGGCACGTAAGTGTGATGACCTTGCATGAACAGGCATCCCGAGGGGGAAGGCACTCCTGGACCTTAGACTTCTTGCCCTCTGACCAAGACATGGGTGATTAAGGAGCAGGTGGGTGCAGACAGGGAGCAGCACCAGAGAGATCAGCCTTGGCATGAGAAGAGAGCATGCAAAGGGGGGGGGGCGAGAGGCATGGAACCCTGCCCTTCGTTTCTTGCAATTTCCCTGGTGGTTTTTTGGCTCACAGAGTCCCTCAAGGCTTAGAGGATGTCTCCAAGTACCCAGACTTAATTGCTGAACTGCTGAGGAGGAAATGGACAGAAGAGGAGGTGAAGGATGCCCTGGCCAACAATCTGTTGCGGGTCCTACAGGAAGTAGAGCAGGTAAGACCTCTCAGACCTGAAGAAGAGCTGGAGGTGGGTAATAAGAGACTTGGACATGGAAGAACCTCAATAAACCGGCAATGTCCAAGCCCAAAGCTTCTCCTCAGCAGCTCTCGTTTTCATCTTGTGCTCATTTTCCTGTTCTATTTGGAGAACCTCTTCCCAGCCAGGAGAACCATTTTTGACTCAAAAAATATAGATGGAAGTGTGCTTTAATGGTTAAGGTGTGAGATCAGGAGTACAAAGTCTAGAATCTGGTTCACTTCCACCCATGGTAGCTCAGTGGGTGTCTTGCAACCCATCCTTTTCTTCCCCCGTCTTGTCTACCTGAGAGGACTGCTGTGGATGAAGACTAGAACCCAATCGAAATCTAATGAACTGCTCTGAACTAGCTCTTCTCCTTCCTTAGGTGCGAAACAATATGACTCTCAAAGGAGTTGCTCCCGATGACACACCCATTGCCTTCCAGGAACTGGAAGGAGGATGTCGAACACGCTACGGGTACTCCAACCAAGGACACCACCCGAGAGCTTTGCCTGCTGTGCTCCTACTACTACTCCTGCTTTCCACACTGATCTAATAGAAGCCCCAGGATCTCCTTCCTTGTAGACTATGAGGATCCTGCTAGGTTAGGAAAGAAGCAGCATTTCTACACCCAATTCCTATCACACTTCAAATTCTGCCCAAATCTTGGACTATTTTCTTATTACCTCCATTAACTTATGGCTGGTTACCAAAATGCCGCTAGTGCCTCAATTACAGCTCCTCCTTCCCTATTGCGGACATCAGAGGAGAGACAAGCAAAATTCTGCTTTGAACTTTTCAAAATATTTGCTAGTCGCCTTCTTTGCTCTGCAGATACCGAGTGTGTGCATAATGCCGGACATGCATGGTGGGGAGTACAGGGAATGACACCTTGTGCCCCTTAGGTACTTCTTCCGTTTGCCTGGCTCTTTTTTCCCGCCTTGTGAAGGACAGAGATCTTAGCGGAAGGGATGACAAGAGACACACAATGGGGAATACAGATCAAAAGCAATGCAGTGGCACCAGCAGCCCTGAGTGTACTACGCAAAAAGCCCAGTGCATTCCCCTTTGCGTGCCTGTTTACTTCCTTGTAATCCCTCCCTCCAATGAATGTAAATACAAGCATTAATTCCCTCTCATGAATCATCCAGCTGGGGTGGAGTGCTTAGGAAGTGAACAAAGCAAAGGGGTGAAACTGATTAGTCTTTTATTACTTTTGAACAGGCTGTCTCCGCCCTCTCCCTCCCTCTCTCTCTCTCTCTCTGTGTGTGTGAACATTCAAAAGGCAGGGAGTGGTGAAAAAGAATGTGCAGTTGGGTTCACATAATTTCCTACTTAGCGATTGCTTTGCTTAATAATGCCCAACTATGGTCACTAAATGAGGACTACCTGCATTATATTATAACCTGCATTACAATAAGAGAACCAAGGTGTTGGCCTAGAACCAAGGGAGACGGCGAGTTCAAGTCCCACTGTTGGCTAACTGGGTGACTTTGGGCCAGTCCCTCAGCCTAACCCACCACACAGAGTTGTTATTGGAAAAAGAAAAAAGAGAAGGATGTTTGCCCGCGTGAGTTGTACATGGAAAAAGAAATGGGGATATAAATCTTTTTTTAAAAAACCTGCCTTGGTGGAATATGCAGGATCGTCTAGGTAAGGAGGGCTTAAGCCCCGAGATCAGATCCAGAAAGGGCCCCTTCCTGATTGACTGGGTTATTAGGAAACACCAAGCAATCAGATTGGCAAGATTCTGTGACTAAAGCTAGTATCAATAAAAAGGACTTTTATCCAACTTCCTGTAGAGTTGATTTACTAGAACAGCCGTCCACAGCAGCTCGTCCCTCGCAGGGCCTCTTCCCCACGAAGCAGTACCTGTGAAGATGGAAACAGACCCCTTTGGAGGAAAAGAAGCCCCCCAGTGGTGCTTGCATTCCCTGCAGGAGTCCCTCTCCGTCTGCTGGATCTCCAGCACGGCCTTCCCCTTTCATGCAGGCTTGCTATTGGCTGCCATAGAAAGGGGGAGGGGGCGCGTGGCATTAGGGTTTGGGAAGTGAGCTGGTGTGGTGAAAGCCCACGTGAACTAAAAAGGCGGCTTGCTCTCAAGAACTACTGCGCTGCTGAGTGGAGCTGAACTCCAGATGGGCGATATACCTGAAGATGAGCTTCACATGACATTATGTGGGACCTGGATCGGACATTCAGCCTGGGTCCCTGGGGGGAGGGATTTGGGGAAACTTTCAATCTGTAACTTTCGCACCTTTTGAATCAGATCTTGCCTTGCTTTCGCTGCTATCGTTTCAAACTCAGTAAAAGGACCTCTTCTCTACTTCAATGGAGCCCGGGGTTTTCTTTCTTGGGTTTTGAACGGAGGCAGGCCTGACACTCCCCTTCTCCCCCAAAGCAGAAAGCCAGCCTGGACTCCTTTTTGGCCTCTCAAACAACAGAGCTGCTTCAGTGAACTGTTTGTGAGTTCCAGCTGACACAAACAACCATCCAGCTTTGCAAATCTCAGTGCGGCTCCTGCCTCCCAGAGAGTTTGTTTATTTAAACCAGCATTAAAACAACTGACAACATTCACTTTTCATTTACAAAAAGAAAAAGGCAAAGACAATTTTTCCTAGTGTTGGAGAATTCACTGCTCTGTAAAAAATAAACGTTCCAGGGAAGACAATTATAATCTCTTGCCCTCCCCAGCCCAGAGGAGCAGGGCAGCTTAAGGCCTCCGCCTTCAATGATGGAGGAGGGAAAGGAAAAATACACACTTAATGCCACCAGTAGAGGGGAAATACTTGCTTGCCACCCCAAGCTTGGTTTTTACAGGAAAACAGAATTCTCAAGGGAGGAGGGGAGATGGCCTTGGCTCTCATTTACACACACACACACTCTTTGTTTATACAAGGATGTCCCGATGCTTGTAACTCGTAGTAATGGGGGGAGCTCCAGCACCACCGTTAGGCAAAGGGCCCTTCTCTGCACAGGAGGGTCTTCTGAAGCTGGGATGTTTGGAGGAAAGGGCCACTCCAGACCCAGGTAGACATTCCCCTCACCCCTACGTGACACGCTGTGGGGAAGGGAGGGTGGGGCGCATGCATGAAGGCTGAGGGGCAGCAGGGCCACTGTTTTCAAAGGTCACTTTGTGGTCTGTAAATTCAAGGCAGGTTCCAGAGCTGCCAGAAAAAGGGGCATCTCCATCTTCCTGGCAGCGTCTTCCCAACTTCCAAGCGGCCTGTTCCACACATACACGTAACAAGGAAGAGGGAACGGGGCAGCAATCGGCATCAGGAGGAGCTGTCAGCACACCAGAATCTACGCATGCAGCACCAGCCTTGTTCCTGGCCCTCTTAGGAGTGCTCACTCCCCCAACGGCCATGCTTCCACCGTGGCAAGCACTGCGTGCTCAGCTTCCTGTCATCAGGCCGGAGGAGGTGGAGGAGGAGAGTGGGAAGTGCAGGCTGGAAGGAGCAGCAGTTGGGGGAGGCAGGGCATCCATTCCAGAGAGCCCTTTGCCAAGGACCAGGCACGCCCACACAGAGTCTTGCGGTCATCACAGCTTCTTTAGACAGGAGCTATCGTTGCTGGATGTGGAAGTGGTCCATGCTGGGCACAGCAGACCTGCAGGGGTGGACAAGGCAGTCTTCTCCCTGGCCCTTGAATAGGAAGGCCAGAGGGCTCCAGGCAGAAACCCCAGAAATCATAGGAGAACAAGGCAGGAGCCACTGTCTGCGAGGGGGCGGGAGAATTAATTCCGCAAGGCAGCCAACCTGAAAATGTGAGAGGAAGAACGTTATTGCAGGAAAATCAAATCTCAGCAGAGCCATTCAGGTCTTCACCCTCCCAGCTTCCTAGAAGACAGCTTCCAGCTATGACGTTTCTAAATGTTGAATTGTTTCCAAAGAAAGAGCATCCCATGGCCCTGAGCACGCTCAGAGCGTGTGAGATCATCTTCCCTTTCAACTTTAGCCTTTTCTTCTCATAAAGGTTTCCAATACTTCTGATCTGCCTCCCTCTTGTGAACACACAATGTCATGTCAGCTAATTAAGGATGAACTCAGATTCAGGCTGGGGATGTGCGTAACGCTCAGCCAGGATTTCTTTCAACTCTGATTTCCTGGCCAAGCTACAATGGCCTGGTTCACATCTAATGCAATCCATAATGGACCAGTTCCCAAAGCACTTTTTCTAGATGGCCCCACTCATAAGACTTGCCGCCGCCGCCACCACCGGGCACATGACTGGGACGGCTGCATCTCTGGTGTCACTGAGCGAGGCAGACCTGCCAGGATAAACCATGGCAAGAAGCAGGAAAGCTGACAACGCAGCCCCTGAGTGGCTGCAGACTTTGGGGGGACAGGAGCCCCCAACAGCCCAGCTTTCCTTCTTCAGTGCGATCCTTTCAGGTAATGTGGGCTACGCACATTAAATTGTCTCCCTTCTGGAAAGCTCCACCTGCCCGGCTGGCTGGCTCTAGATTTATGGGCTGAAAAGAGCTTCCGGCCAGAGGTCCAGTCCTGTGGCAGACGGAAGGAGGGAAGCAGACCTACCTCCGTGACAGCTGATCCTCTTGCGAACGTGTCGAGCTCTCTCCCATGGCCGAGGCCCCTTCAGGCAGCTGGTTCAGCTGGTCCATGACCTCCAGGCCATTCTCCTCGGCAATCTGCACTATCAGACTGTCCACTTGCTCCTGGGGCGTCGTCAAGGTCGTGGCTGAGCTCATGGAGTCCTCCATCACCTGCGGGGACCCCAGGCAGAAGCCTTGTGACAAATACAAGCAGCCGCCGCCACCGAAGTGGGAGCAACAGACAGACCACATCCCTGCGATTCAGTACATTCCCCCGCCTCTCACTAAGCTAAACCATCATCCCACCCTCTTCCTTCAACTTCTCTCCAAGCAAGAAATCAAGCATGATCATCTCCAGCTACTTTGTTCAAGCAATTTGGGGAAATGAGGGTGCCTCTTCTTGCTCAACAGTGAAACATCTGGCACAAGGCAGAATACGGAGCTGCATGATCCACTGACCTGAAATGCGACGGGGGCTGGCAGTGACAAAGCAAAGCATGAGTCAGCAGATTTAGTGCTGGACTCCTTTTAGTCCTGTTTCAAAGCCTGCTTGGTCATAATCTGTGCCACCTGTTTGATCTGGAGTAATTTCGGCTAAATGGGGAATTCCCACAGATACCCAAACACTTTCATAAGCATGCAAAGAAGGCAGCAAAGGCCAGAGAAGAACTCTGTAGGAGTAGGCAAGAGACTGTGAAAATGTGGTTTCCCAACTGCCCAGCTCTGAAGTTTAGCATCCCCTGCAGCACTTACTGAAGTGTGGACATCCAAATTCTGGACCTGCTGTTCAAACTTGTCCATCACAGCCGAAACCTTCTGAAGATCCATGGAGCCGAGGGCTTTGTCCAAGGCCTTGGTCACCTGGGCCATATTCTTGGTTACCTGCAACAGTCAGCAAACCACATCAAGCCAGGGCCCATCCTGAAGACGGGGTGCCTCATGTGACCCTGCAAACAGCAGCCCAGATCAAGTCCAACAGAAAAGCGTGCAATGGCCAGTCAGTGCGAATTTCTCAAGGAGTCCTAGCTGCACGGTTTCATCTTCTTTTAGTCATGGAAGCCCTGGGGCAGGAAGAAAGCCATGGCCACCAAGTCAAGTTCAGGCTGAATCTGGGATGCTGGAATCTTGTGAGCTGCTGGTGGATAAAGACTGAGTGGCAAAGGGTGAATGGGGCAAGAGGAAGCGAATAGGAAATCCAGTGGGTAATTTCTACATATCAACATAGTATCAACCCTCCCCCACCCCAAGAAGTTTAGTTGGCTGGGAATGATGGAAGCTGTCCATACCTAGAAGGCGCCAGTTTAGTGTAGATGATCTTTTGTAGCCTCAGACAAAGAAAACCTCTACCTGTTCAAAGGGAGTAAGGAAGGTCAGGTAGTATTAAAATAAATGGTCTTACTCCCTTCATGGTCACAGCTGTCTGGACCTTGGAAGCAACGGCATCTACACGGGAAGCCATGCGCAGCCAGTTCAAGCCTTCGTTCTTCTTCCGGATGGCGTTCTCTGCATAGACCCGAGCACATTCCACATTCTTCTGCTGAAGAGCCTGGAATCCAAGACAAGGAGCATCCTTCAGCTTCACAGTTTCTCCAAACAAAATCAAGAGTGGAAGGAAAGGAAAGGGATCAGATTTCAAGAGGCATAGTGATGCAGACTGAAGGGAAGACATTCTAGAAGCTCATCTGCTTCAGAAGTGAGGAAGAAAAACGGGGGGGACGGAAGGGAGAGAGAAAGGCTCCTTAAGCTCAGAAAGACATGGGAGATGCAGGACACAACCAGGAGAGCAGAGATACTCAAGCTAAGGAGAGAGAGGATGGGCCTGCAGATAGCCTTTAATGCCAAGACTCAAAAGATTAGAAGTTTGATGGGTAACAAAAGTGGGGCAGCCCAAGGGCTTGAAGGCAGCAGAGATGGAAGCCCAGCCTTCCCAACTCATTCCTCAAGTTATCCCCGCCCATTACTCCTAGCCTTGGCATTCAGGCCCCTCACCTTCTTGACTTTGGCTTGTTCTGTTTTGGAGTCCTTTTCTGCCTTCTTGGCAAGCTTCTCCAGCTGCTTGGCTGTAAACTAAAGAGAAGCAGATGTTCAGCAGGCTTGTAGGCAAGAGCAGGCACCCATCCCCAGTTCCTCTGGATGGAGTAGAGGAAGATCTCGGTCCCACAGGACAATCAAGTTTTAAAAATCAGAGATGGGGGGATATGTACTGAAGGCATGATAGAGAGAGAGGAGGCCATTTCCTAACTCAGCTCCAAGCGGCATCAAGAGAAGCAGCCATTCCCAGATTTCTTGACAAAACCAGACTAGGGATTGTTCTGCTACAAAAACAGACATTCTCTTGTCCAATGTTTATTGTGAAAAGGGTTAATTGTCTGTTAATTTTGATGCAAGAATTTTAACTTTAAGCCCTAAGGAAAGCACCTTTCATGGCACCAGCACTCACCTTTAACTGAAACAGTGTATCTGTGGAGATAAAAATGAGAGCAGTTGGAAGATTTAAGGATAAAAGGAATCTTCAATAGGAAGGGAAGATTTTTGGAAACATTCACATTCCTTCTGCCCAAATTGGTGCACTCCACAAAGTGTTTCCATAGATTTGAAAAATCCAGATATAAAACTGTGGAGTATGTAGAAGTGTTTTATTAGAGGCTAATAATATGAAATAATTAGTTCCTCATGTTTTTTTTTTATATCTGATACTATTTCTCAGTTCTGCAACTAGAATACTGCTTATCCCTTTGATCGAGTTTTGAAGACAATTCCCACCGATTCAAGATTAAGCACTCAGGTTTCCACTTCCAGAATGACACGGTAAATCTATCCATCCCCTGGCACAAGACCCCCGGGCCCTCAGCGGTCGCAGCCAAAGGGAACCTTCTTTTCCATTCTCAGATTTAATGTCCTCTGTGTGGGGGTGTTGTGTGTCTGTCTGCTTGTTTCCTATCTCCCCTTTTCTCCTGGGGCTCCAGGTGGGCCGCCCAGCCCCCCCCCTCCCTCTGCCTGCGCAGGGTCACCCCAGGAGCTTCCGGAGCTGAGGGCGGACGAGACCCGCGTCTCCCGCTGCCAGTCTGACGCCCCGACCACTGGGCCACGCCGCACGCCCTCCTTCCCTCCGCCACTTCCTGGCCTCTCCTTGGCGTGACGAAGGGAACCTCCCGGGGGGAACCCCCTCCCCCCCCCACGCCCCTCCCCCGCCCTTCGGCCTTCCCTTCCAAAGGGGGGGCGGGGGGCGTCAGGCAGCCTTGGGGACCCCTCCGCCCACCTCCCATGGCTCCAGAAGGGCCGGACTGCAGCTCCAGTCAGCCGCAGCTGAGAAGATGGGGCCCGGCGTCCCCAAACCGACTCCCCCCCTCCAGCCCCTCGCGGTGGGCGAGACCCCAGCCCCTTTCCACGCCCCGGGAAGAGAACCCTCACCGTCCATCCCGGCTGAAGTCCTCGCTCGCCTTTTCTTGCCAGGACTTCCGGGTTCCGGAGACGCTCACTTCCGCTTTCCTTCCGCTCTGGAGGCGGGGCCTCGGGCGGCGCATGCGTCGTCCTGCCTAGACGGGAGAGGGAAACAAAAGGCTCACGTGCCTCTTTCAGAAGGCCGCGGTTGCCGCGGCAACGAAGAGCCCGGATGTTGCTGAACTCAGAGCCCGCCTCCATCCTATTTTATTTTATTTTATTTTATTTTATTTTATTTTATTTTATTTTATTTTATTTTATTTTATTAAGAGAGGCTGCTATAAATTCTTTGGGTGGTAACTAAAGTTAATTGTAGCTCAGTTCAAAGCATTTCACTCCAGGCTCAAGGCTGGAAGTATACAATCCCCAGCCAGTGCTATTGGCTGATTGGGGATGATGGGTTTGGAAGTCTGATCCCCTGGAGACTCCAGCTGCCACACCTGCTTTCCACACCCTGATGCGACCCTGCTTGCGGGGGTAGCCTTGACCCTGCGCCCACACGGGTTGGCCATGCGTTCAGCTGAGACCCCAGATGCGTGTCTGGGGAGTTTTGTTGCAGATACTTCCCAGAAACGCATTTGGGGTCTTGTCTGAATGCATGGCCAGCCCGTGCGGGTGCAGGGTCAACAATGGTTGCCTATGTGGGAATCCAAGAGGGCCTGCCGGCCGGGTGATGAGCTTTCAGCACTGACGTCCTTGGTTGCTTTGCACCTGCAAAGGGAGTGGAGGTGTGTGAAATTTAAAAACTGCCGGTGCCTTTTGCACTTGGCTGAAATGAGAGGCCTCCCTCCAATGGTGAATTTTATGCAGTTATTAAAGTCTGCTGATAAAGAAGATAGCAAACAAAATATTTCCTCTAACTAACTTTGAGAATGTCTTCACTTCCTAAAGTGAGTAAGGGGCTTCTTGGCATGAGCCTTCCCGTCTGAGGGCTGCTCCATCAGGCCGCTGGGATGGGGCGGGATCAAGGGCTGGTCCCTGCTTTTGAGGAAAGGAGGAATAGACCGACTGCCTTGTGGGTGGAAGAGAAGCCAGCTCCGTCCAACCGCACAGGCCAATCGCCCCTGTTTGGAGAAGGGGGGGGCAGCGTCAGCGGGCGGGAACGAAGCAACGGTCCCTCCGGGCTCGCGGCAGCCTTTCTCGGCCCGCCCCTTCCAGCTGGCCTGTGCGGAAGCGGGAGGCGGCAGAGAGAAGAGCATGGCGGAGCAAGAGCCCGAGCCTCTGCGCCTGAAGCGGCTGCACGGCGGCTTCTTCGCGGTGCCGGCTGCACACCGGGTGAGCGGACTCCGACTGCCAGGGCGCCCTTCGCGCTCCCCCGCCCAGCCCTCCTGCCCAGCGCCCGGCCGGCCTGGGAGGTGTAGTCCGCGCTCACCTGCCGGGCGCCGGTGCTGCTCCCCCCCCACCCCCAACCCAAGCGGCAGAGACGGCCGCCTCACCAGCTCTCCTTTCAGCTGGGAAGATGCCGGAGCGTCAAGGAGTTTGAGAAGCTCAACCGGATCGGAGAAGGGACCTACGGCATCGTGTGTGAGTCCCGCCGGGGGAACCTGCCCGCCGGGCTGGGCAGTGTTTGGGACGGGGGCCCGCCCTGGGGGATCCGGTTGAGCCTGGACAGGCTTCAGGAGCTCCCCTGTGCCGCCCGTTTCTTCCTGGCTTGGATCTTCCCTGGCTGGTGCCCAAATCTCTGCCAAGGAGGGCAGCTCCAAGCGGAAAGACAACCGAGGGATGAGGCTGGCAGAGCCAACTAAATAATAGGCAGCTTCTGCAGGAGGAGGCGGGGGGGGGGGGGGCTGGCTGCCACAGTCTTTCCCTTGTGAAACGTGCTTGGTGGGACCAGGAGGGGGGAGAGGGAACTTCGGTTGCTCTGCTGTTTCAGATCGTGCCCGAGATACGCAGACAGGTGAGATCGTTGCTCTGAAGAAAGTGCGGATGGACAAAGAGAAAGACGGTGAGCAGAGAGGGCTCCTGGCAGGCCGGGCAGGGGGAGTAGCTGCGGCAGCACCCCTCTTAGCTGGGTCCTCTCCCCCACAGGAATCCCCATCAGCAGCCTGAGAGAAATCACCCTGCTGCTGAAGCTCCAGCACCCTAACATTGTGGAGCTGAAGGAGGTGGTGGTGGGCAATCACCTGGAGAGGTAATTCCCTGGGCAGGTGGACAAAGAGCCTCTTCCCTGAGGGCCGCAGGTCCATGTGATGGGGAAAAACATTTGCAGAAAGTGCGGACTGGAGGTGGGAGCAAAGGGTGGGGCAGAAGGAAAGGAGGTGTTCAGCCTCTCCTTAGGTCTCTTTGCAGCAGGATTCTTTTCCTGGCTGCAGCTGGAAACACGCCTGCCTCCAATTCCCCCTGCAGCATTTTCTTGGTGATGGGCTACTGTGAGCAGGACCTGGCCAGCCTCCTTGAGAACATGCAGGCTCCCTTCTCTGAAGCCCAGGTGTGTCTGCAGGGCAGGTACAGCGGTTGTGCTTTGCTTGTGGTGGTCGCCGTGCCACATTGGAGGAGAGGCCAGAGGGCTTGGGGGAATGGCTTTCATCCCAAATAGCTGCCCCAACTTTTAGATGAACTGAGGCCAAATGGCAGGGAGGTGCGTGCTCCAGTGTAAGCAAGGTATTAATAACAGGGTGTTGCCTGGTACACTGGCAAGAACCTGAGCTTTCAAAATGGAGATAAAATACAAAAACAATTACAGAATAATTCCAACTAAAAACAGCAGTGGGGCAAGGAGCCTGTAGTACAGTGGATTAAAGCACTGTTATTAACAGATTAACATCTGCCGCTTGCAATTACTGCAAGTTCAAATCTTGATTCCAGAATGGCATCCAGAACAGGACAGGTGGGTCAGGGGTCCTCTAGTGACACTCCTTCGTTTGCCCGTCTCCCTGCAGGTGAAGTGCATCATTCTCCAGGTTCTCCATGGTCTTCAGTATCTGCACAACAACTTCATCATCCACAGGTGAGAAGGGCAGGGATGGGTCAAGCAGAGAGTGGGCGCTGGCACTGGTGGCCTGAACTCAGGCATGCCCACCCACCCCCAGCCTTCTACACACCTGTGTTTTGTCAACTAACAGGGACCTCAAGGTATCCAACTTGCTCATGACTGACAAAGGTTGCGTGAAGACAGGTGAGTCTTTGGCGATAGCATCTCAGGTGCCACGTGCTCAACTCAGGGGCTGCAGATATAGAACAGCAAGCCCCCTGACCCCTCTGGGCCATCTTCTCTTGCAGCGGACTTTGGGCTGGCTCGTGCCTATAGGGTCCCCCTGAATCCAATGACTCCAAAAGTGGTGACACTGTGGTGAGTTGGCTGAACACCCCCTCCCCTCCATAGAGCACTGCTGACCCCCTTCGATGCAAGCGGGCTGGGCGTTGAGCGACTCCGAGTGCCGTCACACTTTCCTTCCCCTTGCAGGTACCGGGCCCCCGAGCTCCTCTTGGGCACAACCACGCAGACCACGGCCATCGATATGTGGTGAGGAAAAAAGGCCTCCAACCTCTCCGACCACTGGGTGGCCTCCAGTTGGGGGTGGGAAGGTGGGCAAAGTCTCTTCTGCAGGGCTGCAGTCTGAAGGAGCAAAGCAGTGTGTGCCCGGGGGGTTGGGTGGAGGTCTCACCACCAACTCTGCGTCTACCCTGCAGGGCGGTGGGTTGCATCTTGGCGGAATTGCTGGCCCATAAGCCTCTGCTGCCTGGGAGCTCCGAGATACAACAGGTTGACCTGATTGTTCAGCTGCTGGGCACCCCAAACGAGACTATCTGGCCCGTGAGTCCTTTTCGTCCACTGCTCTTCATCCCTTTGGGTGCCACCTTGCTCCGCTGTGCATAATGAAAACCACAATTCTCACTTCAGTTTGTTTGGCTTTGCTGCCTTAGCATGCTGGCTGGGGAACTCTGGGGGGTTAAATTGCAGGTGGCAGCCAAATATTTGCTTCTGGGTGCCTCCCCCTCCCCCCCTTTCCAGGGTTTCTCCAAGCTGCCCCTGGTGAGCCAGTACACCCTCCGCAAGCAGCCCTACAACAACCTGAAGCACAAGTTCGCCTGGCTGTCCGAGGCCGGCCTTCGTCTCCTGAACTTGCTCTTCATGTACGATCCGAATAAAAGGTAAGTGGCCTCCCCTGCCCCGAAGCTCTGCCGCTTCCCTCCCAGCACAGACTCCCAGCCATCCATTTATGCTGAGAAGGTGCCTTCCTTGACCAACCCTCAGGTGTAGCTGCTCCCCAGGGAAGTCATTGTTGGTTTCTCAGAATGGGGCTGATCGGCTCAGGCCCTCCGGCTGCAGGTCAGGCTTGGTAAAGGAAGGGGGGAGAAGGGACGGGTCCTTCACTGCCACGTCTCCTTCACAGAGCAACAGCCGGAGACTGCTTGGAGAGCTCTTACTTCAAGGAAAAGCCATGGCGTAAGTGGCCCCCGGGGCCCCTTTCCTGCTGGGTGGGGTCACTTCCTTCTCCAGGGGCTGATCCCTCTTTTGCCTCCTTCCTTCCAGCCTGCGAACCGGAGCTGATGCCAACTTTCCCCCATCATCGTAACAAGAGGGCTGCTCCGAGCACGGGAGGGGAGTGCCTGGGTAAACGTAGCCGGCCCTGAGATGGCAGCTTCGGAGGGCGTCTAAAAGGTAGGGCAGGCTCATGAAAGAATGGGTCGGTAGTGGATTTTCGCACTTGTTGTATTTTCAGGGATATTTGTGCCAACACAAACATCAAAAGTAGGTCAAATCAAGCAACAGATTCTGCATTTCCTTAGACCAGGGGTCTGCAACCTTAAGCACTCAAAGAGCCATTTGGACCCGTTTCCCACAGAAAAGAAAACATCGGGAGCCACAAAACCTGGGTGGGCGTGGCCAACTCAATGTCACTCACTTCCACCAGTCACATGAACCCCCCCCCCCAGCCACACCTACCCAGCCAGTCATTAGGGCAGAGAACCAGTTATTAAAAAACACTGGGAACAACAAAACCCTTTTGACATCTCTCTCTTCCCCCTTCCTCCCCCCTCTCTCTGTATCTCTCTGTCTCTGCCCTGGCCGCTTCTCCATCCACTGCCGTCGCCCTTACTTTCTCAGGCCAGGCGAGGAGTGACTGGGAGGGGAGGGCAAGGGGTGGGGCCAGCCAGTGGTGGGATCACCAGACAGGGAGCCACAGCAGAGGGTCCAAGGAGCCGCATGTGGCTCCGGAGCCGCAGGTTGCTGACCCCTGCCTTAGAAGGCTCATTCTGCTTCCTCTCCCTTCACAAGACCAAAAGAACGGGGAATGTCTTTTTGAAGAAAAGTGGGGGGGTTATGTATGCCACCCCCCCCACCCCCTCAGCTCTCCCTTTTCCTGTCACTGCCTTCTTTCACCCCTGCCAGCTTTCTGCCAAGCACTACTGAGGCTCAGGGGCTGGAGACGGCCCAGCGATGCAGATCCTAGCTGGAGGGAAACGGCTGCCTGTCCAGGACCCCTTTGCTCCGCATGGAGCCTTCCGTCAGCAGCAAAGCACCACCCACCTCCTCCTCTACACACTGGGATCCTCGGTCTCTCCACCTGGTGGCTAAGCCTCAGCCTCAGCCTTCCCGGAGCAGCTACCCCCTTTTGAAAGGCGCTTCAGGTAGGCAGCCGGATTCTGCTGCCAGTCTGAGCTTTTCCTCTCTCCTCAGCTCTGTTGAAAACAAGCAGGCTCTCCAGGTGCTGGAAGAACAGGCGAAGCATTCCTGCTGGAGCAGCCAAGGAGGGAGCAAACCTCAAGGGCTGCAACAGTTTTCAAGACAGCCGCAACTGAAAGGGCAGGTGGAAAGCACCAGGCGTCCCGGCAGATGCCTCCGAGGCTTGGAGCACAGGCCTTCCAGGGAGCTGCTTTTCGGCCCGGCTCTGCTCTGTGGCATGAGCTGGGCAGCTGACCCCTTTGGAAGAAGGGGGCCAGTTCCAATAAAGACTTTTCTTCCGGCCTGAGGATTGCTGGGTGCCTTGTCAGTAGGGGGATAAGAGATGCCCAGGCCCCAAGTGGCACCTGTGGGGCATGGGGGGGGGGGGGCTGTGCCAAGCCTCAGCAGCTCAGTCTCCAGACGCCGCTTTGCCCTCGCCACACTCTGCACACCCGCTGCGTAGGCTGCTGCTCCAGCTGCCTGCTTCCTGTCTGCTCCTCGGCTGTAAATAGATTATTTGGGGGTGGGAGAGATTCCCGGTTCCAGCAACACTCCTTCTGCACGAACACACACATACACACACCACCCACCACCCACTGCCTCAAGGCCGTTCTGGCAGCTCTGCAACATGCAAGCGGAAGCCACCCACCCCTCATGCCCAGAGGCAGCAGCAGCAGCAAGGAAAGGAGCTCTGCCCTCCCCAAGCCCTTCTGCCAGAGGGCACCTGAGCTCATTCTGGGAACAGCAGGCGACCCTGCAGCCATCGCTAGAAAACCAGCTGCTCTTCCCTTGGCCTTGGGGCCTAAGAGCCTGGACTCGGCTGCTTTCCAGGACAGCCATTCCTGTTGTGGGGCTTAGGCAGGCCAAAGGAGGCCAGTGGCTCTTGGCCAGCTGAGTCTCAGAGGAAGAGCCCTCCTGGCCTTTGAATGGGAGACCCTGCTGAACCAAGAGGGCTAGACAATGGGGGGGGGGTGTCCAGATATCTAGAAAACCAGGTAGCTTTCAGTTAAGTTTATTACAACAGCATCTTTCATCAGACCACGGGGTCCATTCTGGATTTGTAAAAATGCTGCCCGCAGTTCCTCCCTAGCTTGCTGCTTGAGCAGGAGGCTCTTCTCTGGCCTCTGCCATATCCAGAGCAGCCTCAGGCCACATAAATTTCAGACTGGGAAAGGAGACTGGCCGAATTTTGGAATGTCATTAAGGGCTTCCCGGATGAGACAAGACGTGCATCCAGAATGAAATCAGGGTTCCTGGCATGAGGTCTCCCCACCTGCCACCTTCAGACTTCGTGGGCATTGGACCCTTAATCAAACCCCATCTCCTCCCCTTCAATCCTCCATCAACAAAATCTACCCAGTTCCCTCCTGTTAGAAGAAAGGTGGGGGGGGGGCTTGGCTGCTTTTGACCCTGTCCTGCCCCAGGCCAGAGGGGGAAAGCAGGCTTGGCAGGCATGATCCTCAATGACCCCGCAGGGTGTGGGGGTCTGCGCCCCAAAGCCCAGCCGGGCGTCCCCATCCTATTGCCAAGGCCCTCCTCCCTCCTGCAGCAGCCTGTCCACCTCTGTTCGTTGCAGCCACAGGCGCTGCTGCTTCTCACTCTGCAGCTCTTCCACGAGGTGGTGGCGGTTCCGGCAGAGTTGAACCCCATCACAGCTGCTGACGTGCAGGAGCCTGCAGGTGTTGCAGCAGGAGCAGGGCAGGGCCCCCGGGAGCAGGCAGGTGTGCATCTGGTAATGGGCCGGCTCGGGGCTCAGTCCCTGAGTGCTGCTGTGCAGGCTGGCCGGACTGAGGTGGAGGCTCCTGGGCTGCCTGGACGGAGGAGAGGCCGGGCTGCTCGTCGCCTGCGAAGGGGGGTCAGAACTCTCATAGCCTCCCAGGCCAGAGAATAAGAACGAATTCCCCAACTGAGCGGGGAAGTCCATCTCAGAAGTCCTGCTGAGCTCCCGCCTCAAGGAGATGAAGGAGAAGGAGGTCGCCAAGTCGGGCTCCTCCGAGCCCAGGAGTCCGTTGCCACAGGAAGACTCCCGGCTCCAGGGGGGCTCGCTCCGGCACTCTGCCAGCGGCTGGGGGCTCCGCCTCAGGAGCCTGGGGCTGCCGCACTCGCTGAGGGAGGAGGCATCCTGGCTCCAGTGCCGACTCCCCACTGGCTCCCTGTAGAAGCTGTGGCCTTCAGCGCTCTCCCGGTAGAGATCGAGCCCGCCAGCCAGGTCCGAGCGAACCTCGCGGCTCCGTGGCCACCGTGTCAGGCTCTGCAGCTTGGCCACGCACCGCTCGAGGCTGCCCTTGGCCTCCTTCCGAGCCTTCAGCAACTCATCGGGCGGCACGACCCGCGGCTCCAATTCTTCCACAATTTTTGCCAGGATCTGGCACTCCACTCTGGCTGCAAAGAAGCAGCAGGCTGCACAGAGCAGGTTGGCGCCTGGCGGCAGTCGAGAATTCACCAGGTGGAGACGGTCTTGCTGTACGTAGCCCAGTCGGCGGAAACTCCGGGCAAGGTCGGCCTCTGGCAGGACCCCCTGAAGGGTGTGGACATAGACCCCCGAGAAGGTCTGCAAAGAAAGCTGCCCGTCAGGCCCCGGGACTTCCAAACGCTCCCTTTGTCCCCCCCTCCAGCCCAAAAGAGAATTCACCTTAATGGTGGCAAATTCTTTGCGCCAAGGGAAGAAGTAGAGGTTGACGGCTGCCAGCTCCAGCACTTCGAAGGCCCGGCCGAGGTCCCGGAGGGCCCCTTTGGTGTCCAGGTGTCCCCGCAGGGCAGTGGCCAGCGTGGCCCAGGTGTCCTCCCCGTCCAGGCTGCAGTGGAGCTCCGGGTCCTCCAGCAGGTGATGCCACAGCAGCTCTTTCAGGGAGGCGTCGCTGCAGGCCCCAACGTGGCCCCTGCGGAAGTCCCTCTCCAGGCACCGGCGGTACTCCTCCTGCAGCGCCGGGCCCGGCTCCATCCTGCAGCTGGGAAGAGGCAGCCGCTGCGACCCTCAGCCCTGGGCGGCGCAGACCCCCCCCGCCCCCCACCCCGGGAGACGCCGCCCGCTTACCGGCCTGGGCGTCGGGGGGCAGCCAGGCGGGGCCAGAGGGAAGCGAGGCGGGTTGGGCCCGGGGGCGGCAGCGGGGGGGAGCGCCGCCCTTCCTCCTCCTCCTCCTCCTCCTCCCGCCGGCCAGGGGCCAGGAAGGGCAGCCGCCGCCTCTGCCCTGCTCGCCCGAGGGCTCCTTGGAGGGCCGGGGCTGCGCAGGGGTCCCGGGCTCGGAGGGGCGGCCGGGCAGGGCAGAGGCGGAGCAGCCGCCGCAACAAAGGAGGGTTGCCGGGGCCGCTGCCAGGCGCCGAGGGGCCCGCCCGGCGGAGCAGCGGCGGCTCGTTGGACGGCAGCCCCCGCCCGGCGCCAGACCACCGCCGGGACCCCCAAGATTCCGGGCGGCCGCCGCCGCGGGTCCTCCGAAGCGGCCTGGAGTCCTGCGGGGGCCTCGGGCTGGGGGACCGGGGCTTCCCCGGGAGCGCCGCCGCCGCGGCGGGTCCGCCGGTTGGGATTCGAACTCGCGCCCCGCCGCTCACCTGCCGGCGCCCGCTCGACGCTCCGCCGCTCTCGCTCCGGCGCCCCCGACGCTTCCGGCCCCGCCCACGCAGGCGCTTGCGTCACAGGGGGCGGCGTCGACTCCTTGCGCAGCGGCTCCTGGGGGCGGGGCTGGAGGCGCGAGCCGCTCCGGGGGGGCTTCGCTCTCAGAGCCCCGCCCGCCGCCGGTGCTGGGAGGGGCCCCGTGACCCGGACGCCCCGGGAGCGGCCGAGCCCTCTTGTAGGCCGAAATGACGCCCCGTGGAGGAACCTCCCGCCTTTCGGAACACGCGTGTCGGCTCCTTCACACGCCGCCGCCGCCTCCCGGGGGGAGCAGCCAAGCGGAAGCCGAGCTCCTCTCCCTGCCAGGGTCGCCCTGCGTCGCGCTCCGCCCGGGGCTTCGTGCCTGGTTGCAAGGGGGGCACCGCTTCCATCCCCCCCCCCAAGACGGCAGGATGAAGGGGAAGCCGTCGGTGGGGTGGAATTTCTTGGGCCGCCAAGCCCCCCCCCCCCCCCCCCTCCGCTCTGTGTCTGCGGGAGCCTCCAAACTTCCTGGCGGCTCCCAAAACCCAGAAGATGCCGGGAAGCCTCCAGCATGGAGAGCTTGGCCAGGATGGAGCCACAGGTGGCTGCCTAGGGCCACTGTTGCAGGAAGGGCAAATGATTGCTCCCCACTGCCCCTCCCAAAGTAACCCTGGCTGGCTTCATGCCACCGAGGGGGCACCCGGCTGCCCACATCCCCACCCAGCCCCAAGAACCACAACCAGCCGAGCAAGGAGAAGAGGAGCTTTATTCCCAAAGAGCTTCCAAGAGTGAAGCTGGCAGGATGGAAGGAAAAATGGTGGCGCCAAAGTCAGTGGAAAGTCAGGCAGGACACGAAGCCCCCCCCCCCTCCAGGAGCCGGTGCAGATGCCTGAATGGCAAGGGAGCCCCTGCTTCCTATGGTGCAGTGGAGGCCTCTCAGGATCCCCACGAGCCCCTCCGGGGCCCTGCCCGGCTGCACTCTGCAGGATGGGCGCTCCGTCTTCCTTCCCCCCGTGCCCCCTCATAGGGCTGCCATTGGGTTCCCCCACAGCTGGCGGCTCAGAGGCTTGTGCGAATTCCTGCCAGCCACTCTCAGTCTTCCTGCTTCCCGTCTTCTCCCTCAAGCTCTCCTCTGCATCAGTAGACAACGCACAATCCACAAGGAAAGTTCACATTCGCCCGTATCGGCTTCCCCTGTGGTGGCCCCTCTTCCATCAGAGGAACTCAAAGACCCAAACTAACGCAAGGAAGAATGGGCAGCCAGGCCCATCCCCCGCCTTCCCTTTACCCCATAAAACCCCAACAGAGGCAAGGAGAAAGTGGCCCCGTGGGGTGCAGGCGCCACAGGCCCACAGGTTGAAGCAGCTGCTGTACAGGAAGGAGCCATGCAGGGCAGGGAGAGAGCGGGGATGGCGCGTCAGCAGGCTCCCATCTCTGCCTCTGGCCATCCCTCCCAAGGAAGAGGCTGCCGGGTGGCCAGGATGGCTGGCTTGCCTTGCAGCTGAGAGAAGGGGGGGGGGGGCTGCAGCAACTCTTGGTGTTAATGTGGGAAAGGAGATGCAGCCCACCCCTCTTTTCCCATGCTCAAGGCAGAGAAGCAAAAGCAGGCTCAGCTGTTACGATGCGGGGGACAGACAGCTAAGCGTCTTGCAATATACCAGGACAGAAGCCACAGTGCCAGACCACTGCAGGGCAGGGCATATGCTGGTCAATGCTGGGTTAACACCAAAGTTTGCGTGCACACCCCTCCCCCCCCAAATACTGTGCAAGAGTAGCCCTGGGAGGGTGCCTGGTCCGGCTGCTCTGTTTCCCTTTGGCAGTCCTCCAGAAAGCATCCCAGGGAGCAGCGAGGCAGGAGGGATCCTACGTGAGGCGGCTCAGGAAGGGGCAGCTCCCATCACCGGGAGCTCTGCTACTTCCGGAGCACCACGGGCCCCTGCAGTGGCCCCTCCAGGCTCTGCACATAGGAGAGGGCGCTCTGCAGGGAGGTCAGGCAGTAGCCCTCTTCCCCAATCAGGTATCTGGGAGAAAAAGGGGGAGGAGGTGTTGCTCAACCAGGGATCCACAGAAACTGTCCGTCCCCGTCCTCCCCGCTCAAAGAGCCCGTCTCCTCCCCCAGGAAATCCCTTTTCCACCCTATCATCAGATACATGCAGAGTGTTATTAGGAGCAGTGACTGCCATTTCTGGACCCTCAAAATTGGCAGAGGGGAGCCTGGCGATGGGGCAGCCCCAGAGATGCGACCAGGCAAAGGGCAGAGCCAGCAGCCTGCCCCAACTCCTGCCTGGGCCCTGCAAAGGTGGATGAACATTTGCCACGCCTACCCTTCATGGATGAACTCTTCCAGGGCGGCACACTCGGAGACCAGCTGAGGCAAGTTGCTCTGGAGGACCACAAAGGACAGGATGGGCAAGAGGTCATCAGCACCGCTGCAAAGGGAGGGGCAGAGCGAGTCAAGCCTGGCTCCTCAGCTCAGCAGCTGGCAGTGCTGGGGGACGCTGGTGCCTGGGCTGCTGCAGCACTGCTGCTTTCAGGGCAGGGCCTGCCCAGAGCTTGCCCAGGAAGTGGCAAAGTGGGCTTCAGAGCCAGGCGTCCCATCTGGATAGGACACTGCGGTCAGGTGCTCACATAGCGGCGGATGCCGGTGGCCGTTGGCTCCCACAGTATTCCTCTGCACATTCACAGATGACTCGCAAGGTCCTCACTGAAGAGACGGAGGTGGGGAGGAAGACAGGGCACACAGCTCTAGGACTGGCCACTCTCATTCATCCTCCCGATTCCCACAAGCATTTCTCGGGGCCGGCTTTCTCTGGCCGAAGGGGAGGGAAGCAAGACCACTTTTTCCAGGGACTTTTCAACCCCTGGTAAGCTCGGATCTCTTGCTCCCCCAGCCAAACCAGCTGGTCTCTCCCTCCCAATTAGGAAGTCCAGCGTGTCTGTGCTGAACGAGGCCAGAAAAAGTTCCAGGGTTAACTGGGAGAGCTCTGGCACCTCTCTGCCTGGAAACAAATGTGGGGGAGGAGTTTCTAAAGTGCCCCCAACCCCAGTGGGCGACTCTTGGCCTCCCTCCGGATTCCAGCCCATCCCAGTTTGACCTCACCGATGCACTCCAGCTTCCTCTGTGGGCAGCTGCTGGGAGGGAGGAGGAGCAGCTCCTGCACGGCTGCAGCGTATGGGGGAGGCCCTTCTGCCTTGGGTAGCAGCTTGGAGGGGATGCCCATCTCAGTTGGAGAGGTCTTCCTGCGCAGCTCCATGCTCTTGGACAGAGCCTCTTCCTGCGCCTTGTAGACAGTCCTAGAGGGTAGGAAGAAAGGGCTGAGCAGACCCTGGTGGCTGGGCGGGCAGGCTCCCTCCCTTTCCTTTGCCCATACACCAGTCAGCCGATGCTCCTTGCCAGGAGGAGGGAGGGAGGAGAGGGCTTTCTGCCTCTTCCTGCCCAGCAGCCCCCAAACTCTCCCCCCCCTTTTCAACAGCACCATCCAATCAAGATTTGGGGGGGGGGTGCTGGCTGGCTCACTCCCACCTGTACACAGTCAAGAGGGGCCTCCAGAGTGGGCCGAAGAAGGCTTCCTCCAGCCGCGCCAAGCATTGATCCTTGGCGGCCGCCGTGTTGAGGCCTTCGAAAGCCAGCAGCGTCAGGGACAGCAGTCTGTCTGCAGGGAGGAATCAGCCCACCTCCATCAGTGCAAACCTCTAGGAAGGAGGTGCGACACACCCCCACCCCCGCCATGGATTGGCCTGCAGCAGCCGGCAAACCAGATTCCTTCCCCCTCCCAGGCAGTCCAGCCCCCCTGGGGCTGCCCACCCAGGAGGCTCACCTATGGAGTTGTGAATGTCCTTCACGACCGCCTTGAGGGCCTCCTTTTGGGAGCCCTTCTTCCCAGCCAGAGGGCTTTGCAGGGACCCTGCTGGCCGGGCTTCAGAGGCTGACAAAAATTGCTCCAGGTCCTCGAAGGAGCTCTCCCGGTCAGCCAATGGGGGGGACACACGTCCTTCTTGGGGGGGAAGCAACAGGCTCTGGTCCTCAATGAAGGGGGTGCCAGAGATGCTATGGCGGAGGTTCAACTTGTTGTGTTCCTGGACAGAATACATGGAGTGCAAGCTTTGGGACGAGCGCAGCCTCCGTCCCTCGGTGGCCGATGGCAGGAAGACCTCGGCGTCCAGCGAGGAGGAGAGGGACCAACCACGCGAGGCGTCTGTCCTGCTTTGGCTGATGAGAGGATAGATCCGATTGTAGGCCGAGCACTGCAGCTTCTTCAGCAACTGGCAGATGGGATGGTCCGCAAAGCTGGAACCAAGGAAGGGGCCATCACCGAACATGGCTGGGGTCCCCTCGCTTGGGAAACTGGGCAGCAGGAACGACCCACCCCTTCCCCCCTTGCTCTCCCTGCAGGGGCTGCGCTGGTAGGCAGAGGAGGAACCGGCCTCTTCTGAAAGAGGCTCAGGCAAAGTCCAGCCAGGGAGTGTCCTTCTGTCCCTCCAGGCCAACTCAAAAGTCCACTAAGGGACCCAGGGGCTTTCCCAGTGGGAAATTATGGCTCCCCCCTCATCCCGGTCTCATCCCCACTGGACGATTGTGCCCTGCTCCCCACCTCCCTACCTGAGCAGGTGCGAGAGCAGCTTTGGCACCAAGGATAGATCGCTGGGATGGTCTTTCAACTGGGCTTTCCACAATCTCGGCCAATCCTGGGGGGGCGGAGAAAGCAGAGAACACTGAGCTACAGCCCGCCTCCCCCATCGTCTCTCTCAGCCCCTCCCTGTCTGCTTCTTGGGGACTTTTGCACACAAAACAGCACGCTCCGTCCTTAACGTGGTCAACCCTGGAGCCTGCTGACATACGTGGTCCTGCTCGTACTCCAGGATGGCGGCGTAGATGGCGCGCTGCTCCTGCTCTTCTGGGGTCAGCACCGCATTACTGGAGAACCTCCTAAGGGGTGGAGGAACACGGGCTCAGAGGAGCAGCTGGGCCCCCTCCCTCCCCACCCATGAACGGAGAAGGGGGGCAAAGCATCCCAGGCCCAGCTGACTTGCCTGTTGGCAGCTTCCTGCAGCCGCAGCCGATGCTCCTCCATCTTTCTCTGGAGCTGGGGGGGGGCAGAGTCAAGGTCCTCCCCAGCAAGGCTTCAAGGTGCCCCAGATAGCCCCCACCTGGGTCCTCTGGCCAGCCAGCAAAGGCAGTTGGGCCAAGTCCCAGTCCAGCTCAGAAATGACAAAGGACAGCTGGCTGCAGAGACAGCCAAAGAGAAATCAGAGGGGGTGGAGTGGTTCCCCTAAAATGAAGCAGGATGGGGAACTGGGATGGGAGACCACTAGGGAATCCCAGGACTGCGGTCTAGTCTCCTGTGGGTTTGCCAGCTCAGCCTGGGAGAGTTCTCCCTCCCTTTGCCACAGAAAAGCCAGAAAGGATACGGCCTCTTCCCGGGCTTTTGCGATCACCAAATTCTCCATCATCTGACGTTGCAGAGAAAGTGTCTGTTGAGCAAAAAATAGTAGTAAAGCAGAGTCCACAGGACTGAATGGAGGACGAGGGAAAGGAACGTGTAACCAACCAACCAACCAACCAACCAACCAACCAACCAACCAACCAACCTTTGTTTTAAAAGGGGAAGCACAGCTTCATCTCAGCTTTTGGGCAAACGGGGCCCAAAAATGTGTGGACCACACTGCCTGGCTCCCATGGGGCCCCAGAGGCCCATTATCTTCCCAGCCGGCCCCACTTGCCAGAGAGGTCTTCTGCACCGCCTGGTTGGGGTTGAGCCGGGCCAGCCGGGCCTCATAGGTAGCTCTCAGCTTCTGGTTTTGCAGGGACGCCTCTTCCAGCGGGCTCAGCTCTCTGCTGCAGAAGAAGAAGCTCCTTCGAGGCCGTGTCACCTGGACCAGCTCCAGGCAGCAGCTTGAGGGTCCAGCCACCCAGCGCCCAAAGGCCCCCACACCTCCCTCTTACTTCCTGGGGCTGTGCACTTGAGTGATCTGCAGCTTTTGGAACATCTCAGGAGGCAGAAACGGCGACAGCTTCCTGCCTTCATCAGAGGAGACTCTGCGGTGCCGAGAAACAGGAGCAGGGCCCACCTTCTTCCCCACCAGCTTGGCCTTGGCCTTTCCTAGAATTGGGGAATTAAGAAAAACACAGTCAAAGCCCCATTATGGTCAAAGTAAACATCTCAGGACTCTCAGAGGGGCAAAACAGGCCGAAGTCGCGGGCCAGAGTGCAGGGTCCAAGGAAGAACCAGACAGCCAGGAAGACAAACATTGGGGCCAATGGCAAAACCCAGCTCCCAACCTTTGCATGGAAGCACAGAGCATGTTCCAATTATGAAGCAGGACATAGGCTTCAGACACACATCACGCACATTAGGCATCTGCCCAGTTAAAAACAACCATCAACACTGGGTACATTCTAAGCCGATTGCAGCCAGTCTTGAGAAGCTAAGTAAGGTCAGACCTGGTTAGCAATTAAATGGGAGACCAACAGGATACCTATAGGACATTAGGCTAGTGTGGGAAATAGAAAAAAACTCCCTGGAAGAAGGCAATCAAACACCATTTCCACACCATTGCCAAGAAAATGGCAGGAAGGGATCAGGGGAGCCACCAGGAGTCCATATGGCGACTTAAAGCAGCAGTCTCCAAACTTGGCAAATTTAAGACTTGGAAACTTTAATTCCAGAATTCAGGGAGTTGAAGTCCACACATCTTAAAGTTTCCAAGTTTGGAGACCCCCGACTTAACGGAAGCTTTATTCTAAAATCATCATTTAGAGACGAAGCCCTTACTAAGCAGTGAGGCCAATGGACTCTTTCCCGCCTGGACTCAACTTTTGACCAGGTCCCATTGAAATGAGGAAGACCTCCTCCTTTTATTCTGCTTGATGAAAAGGGGAGGGGGATGCCTATAAAAAGAAACAGTGCTCACCAATTTTAGAAACGCTGCTCTTGGCTCTTTCCAGGCACTGCTCCGCTACCTTGAGCATCTTGGGGGTGTCAGGCGCCAGGTCATTTTCATCCCCTTCGGGACAAGGAATGTGTGATTGTGTCTGTCCAATTACAAGGGGATGCAAACCCACCTCAAAAAGACCTCCAAGAGAGCTCGGTGCCAACCACCTTTCCCCTCCATCTGGCAGGATTTAGCCATTCTAGGACACCCCTCCCCCAGTGGGATCACCCACCTCCAGGAAAAGTGGTTTTTGCCCATCATTCCTTCCCCCAAAACAGCAGATGCAGCATTTCTCAACCTTAAGGAATTTTAAGACAGGTAGACTTCAACTGCAAGGATCCCCTGCTCAGAATGGATGGCTGGGGAATTCTTGGAATTGCAAGTCCAACATCTTCAAGTTGCCAAGGGTGAGAAAGACCAATCTAATGGGGCTGCTCCTATCAACGCTTTGGTCCCGTCATCCTCACAAGACCTGACCAGCAAAACATCCTTTCCTGAAGCAGCTCCATCACCCAGGACACCAAGGGGTGGGGGTGGGGGGGTGACCAGGTGAGGGTGTTGAGAAGAGAAGGGCCAAGCACTGCAGCTCCAAAGGAAATGATTGGGGCATTATTTCATCTTGTCAGGGTCACTTGTCAAAATGCTCCCCCTTGGAAGGGGGGTTTCCATGCCTTTATTTTGTTATCTTAAAGACACCAACTCTAAAGCTTATCTTCCTTCAAGAAAACCGGTGCTGCAAAGGAGCCCATCTCTTTCGGAGGGTCCCAGGGAGGGGTTTCCCAGGGGGGAAAGCAGGGGTTACCAGTCGTGGCTGCCGCCTCTTCCAGGAGAACCTGGGTGATGTAGCTGATGCTCTTTAGATAGTCCACATAGGCTTCCTGCCAAGGAGAACAATTCAGCAGGTGAAAGGGCAGTCCTAAGAGGCCCAGGCCAAAGCCAGGCCCTTCCGGGAGAGAGCCGAGAGTTGCCCGGCTCTTTTGCTGCCTGCCCCGGGAGGCTTCATCCCCGGGATCCGATTCATCAAGGAAGGGGGGGGGGGGGGGGGGGGGGGGGCCCCCGGGGGCCCTCCGGCGGCCGGCGGGGGGGGGTCGGGGGGCCGGCGACGGGGGCCCAAAACCCGGGGGGGGGGGGGGGGGGGGGGCTGAAAGACCCCCGAGCCCCCCCGGCCGCTGGCGCAGAGAGAAGGGGACGGGAACCAGGGCGGGGCCCCTCGGCGCCCCTCACCCGCGGCCGGTCTGCGGCGTCCAGCTCCAGGGCAGCCTTGGCCAGCTTCATGGCGCCCTGCAGCGGCTTCACCGGCGGCTCTGCGGCGGCGGAGGGCGCGGCCGCCATGGCTGGGCCGGAACTTCGCCGCCGAGGAGCGATGGGCGCTCGGACGGGGCCGGAGCCGGTGAGGTCAGAAGGGGCGCGGCTCCGGGAGGCGGGGCGGGCGGGGGAGGAGCCCCCTCGCTCGTGACCGGCCGCGCCCGGAGCCGCCCCGGGGAGCCGCCGCTGGGCGGCCGGTCTCTGGGCTGGGCGGGGCGGGGCTCGCTCCGCGCATGGCAGGAAGGCCCGCCTGGGCTCCGCAGTCCCTCCAGCTCGACCCCCGCCCGGCCTTCCTCGCAGCGTCTCTTCTCCCGCGGGAAGCCAGCTGGGCTCCCCCCCCCCCTTCAGCCCCGCTCTCCGGCTCGGCGTTTTGTGCACACTCAGCCGGCCCGGCTAGTCCCCAAATCCCGACTGAGCACACACGAGGGGCGGGCGACGCGGGGCTCGGCACCGGTCATGAGTCCCAGGCCCCCGGACACCCACCCAAGCCCTCCCCAGCCGGCGGCCGCCCGGAGGCCCCAGTTCAGGCGGGGAAGGCGGCAGCCAAGTGCGGCGGGGGAGCCCCGTCTCCGGCTCCGCGACGGCCTCCCTTGCGGGGGTCGGAGCGGGCCGGTCTTCCAGGCCCCTTGAGAAGAGCGCCCGGCCTGTCCGCCCGCCCCGCTGCTCCCCCGGGACTGCCCGGCGGGGCTCGGGGGCTGCGGCTCAGGGTCGAGGCCGCGGGCGGGGCTGCTGCTGGCGCGGCCGGCCGGGCTCCTCCGTCCGCCAGGGGCGCTGCGAGCCTGGCCAGCCACGGGGGGGGGGGTAGGGGGACCGGCGCCGGAGCTCCGAGCAGCAGCCGGTGCGGGCTCCGTCTGCGCGGCCATGAAGCGGGATCGGCGTGGCCGGTTCTTGCCCGCAGCGCTGGCGGCCAGGATCGGGTCAGACCCGCCGCTGCCGGCCGAGATCAGCAGGCCAGAGTCGGTGAGCCGGACGCGCCGCGGACGCGCCGCCGCCGCCGCCCGGGAGGAGAAGAGCGCGCCGGAGCCCAAGCGCTGGGCCTCGCCGCCCTCGGAAGCCGCCGCCGCGCCGGGTGAGCAGAGCTTGGCCTGCGGAAGCCGTCCCGGGGCTGGGGAGGCCATCGGAGGAGCCCCGCGCGGCCCCCGCCTGCTTCCGCTTGGCCTTTGCCAGGGCGCGGGCGCTAGAAGGGCGCTGTCCTCGGCCGGCCTGTCCCGAGCGCCGCCCCGAAGCCTCCCCGCCGCTCGGTTTGGGGCGGAAGGTGCCCGGCAGGCCCAGGTGCGGCGGGCGGAGCGGCGCGGTCGAGTTGCGAGCAACCTGGGGGTCGGGGCGGCCTTTACGTGGCCGGGATGCCTGCAGGGTCCCTAAGCCGCTTCTGGAGGCGGGGTGGCCGCCGCCCGCTTCCTCCGCCGAGCTCCAGAAGGCCGAGAGGCCGCCGCTGCGCCGAGACGGCTTCGCCCTCCGAGAAAAGCCCGGAAACGAAACGCAGCAGGCGCAGGCCCGACTCTGCTACAGAGGCAGCGAAGGCTAGTTTGTATCGGGCGGGCTGCGAGCTCTGCGCTCGGATTCGGTCCCGCTTGGGGTGTCAAAGTGAGCGGCCGGGAAACGGCCCTTCGCCCACCGGCGCTCCAAAGGGCTTTGTTCCCAGAGACGGGGCCCTGTGCGGGAGGGAAAGGGGGGATGGGAAAGGTGGAGACTCCCCTCCACTCCGGCTCTGCTGTGAAAGGTCCGGGGGGGCTGGGGGGGCCTGGCTGCAGGGAGCCTCTCTGGGCGGAGCGGCCGGGCCAACTCCTCTCTCGCCATCCCTGCAGGGATCCCCCGGGGCCTGACCACGGGCTTCTGCCGGCTTTGCCACGGGAAGTTCTCCTCGCGGAGCCTGCGAAACGCCTTTGGGGAGCCGCCCGTGGTGAGCGAGGACCCGGAGAAGCAGCGGCGCCTGGGCCAAGCCTTCTTCGCAGACTTCCAGCGGCTGGTGGGGGTGGCCGCCCAGCAAGACCCCGCTCTTCCCCCCTTTGTTTGCAAGAGGTGCCACGCCCAGTTCTACAAGTGCCGCAGCATCCTGAAGGCTTTCATCCAGAAGGTGAACGTCTCGCCCGCAGGACTCCCCAAGCCGCCGCGGGGAAAGTAGGTTGAGCAGCCTTGCCCCCCTCTGCCACCACCTGAGGGGCGGGCACCTTCTCTGCCCTGCTGATTTTGCCAAAGCAACCCAGCACTTGTTGGTGGCTTGCAAAGGCGGCTGTTTAATCAAGAGTTCCCTGCTCTGATCTGTCTGCCGTCCCTTCTCTGTGCAGGAACAACCTCGCCCAGCCTTCACTGCCCCTCGCCTCAGCTGGAGAAGGAGAGGCGCCTTGTCTGGGTAGGTGAGAGGCTGAATTCCCCTGGATGGTTTTGCCTGCTGCCTCCGAGCTGAAGGGCGCTTCTCCTTGGCGTGCCCTGGAGGCCTGCCAGCCAAGGATGGTCAGCAGCACAGGCCTTGTGCTCCGGGTGGACGCCAACCGCGAATCTGCCTGGCCATCCTTTGCCCAGCTAGGACGCCAACTTCTGAACCGAGGAGCAGAACGCATTTCCTCCACAATTCAGGCATTAAGGCAGCTAATGAGCCCCGTAGGGATTTTACTCGGTGTGCTACTTTAAAGCATCTGCATTGGCCTTTAGGATTTCCCAAATGATGTCTTTTGGACTGACTTTCAAAGATGTTGTACGTAGGAGACATTCTGAAGGGACTGATGAGGAAAGTTAGAAGCTGAACTCATTATAATAATTTTTGACCTGGCGCACTTCACGTCAGATGTGGCTAAGTCTAGAAAACTCCCCTTCCTTTAAAAAGAACGGAGAGCCACAAGGGGCGTGAATGACGATGCAAGGAAAGCCCCCCTGCCTGCCCCTGGTAGGATTCTTGCAGGACTGTAACCATCAGACTGCAGACTTCCACCTCTCAGTCTGATGCAGTCTTCTGCCTGTTTGAAACTAAAGGTGAGCCTCGCACCACACCTGTAAAATATGCAGGTGTGAAATAGACAGTGCTCAGCTGGTTCATCCTGGAAACACACACAGATGCCATTTTTGGTTTTATTATTTGAGCGGAAGTGTGGCTGAGAGTTCTGGAAGGGATCCAGCGTCTTCCTAGTCCTAGGGACTGCACACCCCTGGGAAGGAAGCCGTTGGCCGGTCCTCCGGCTGCAGCAGGCCCAGCCCAAACATGGCAGGTTATCCTTAAGCTTAGGTGGGAGGCCGGACCACCCCGTGAGCTCTTGCAGCAGCCGTAACTGGAACGGGATGGCCTTGACCGTCGGCCGTTTTTCTCCCTGTGACCTGCAGACCTGATCACCTCCAGCCCACAGTGCCTTCACCAGCTGGTAAGGTGGAGCCATGGCCACGCGGAGAACTGCCCGATGGCACCAAGCCTGCAGAGTGTCTTGTCGTCCAAGTACTGCGGGATCATCAGGGCCGTATGGGGCTGTGAAGAAGGCCACAATTATATCATGAGCACCGACTCGGACTGCAGCACCTTGCTGGTAGACAGTGCCCTGGCTGTCCAGTGGGAACTGAAGAAGGACAGCCCCCAGCATGTGACAGGCAACGGGGTGGCATCTGACAGCTCCGGGGCGGCCATTCCATCGCTGCAACCTCAGCACATTGCTGCTAGAGCAGTGGCTGGCCAGCAGCTGGCAGACAGCGGGATTGCTTTGCCGGCGTCCAGTGCAGAAAACCTGGTTCCTGAGAGCCGAGGTTTGCCTTCCTTGCAAGACCCCTCGCAGGAGGACCTGCTCCAAGCGACCTGTCCCCGGTCGGGTAGCCCAGGTAAGAGGGTCGCTTCTGGCAGCGATGGAAGCAGCTACCCCAAGGGAGCGAAGGATTCGAGCTCAACCCAGAGAGACTCCCAGCTGGTGCTGAGCCTGCATCTCTGGGACTCTCTGCCTTTCTGTGTTCCCCTCCTGTCAGCTGATCCTTCTGGGTCCGATGGAGAGGAGGCAATAGCTGTTCAAACCCTAGAAGACAAATGCTCCTATGTCTGCTTCATGGAGCACTTCTCTTGCGCGTTTGTGTTTTGCATTGCTTTTAATTTCTGCCCTGTTAATTGGTTCCTCACCCCTTTTAGTCCAGAGACCCCACCTCCTTCTCAGAAGGAAGCAGGCCGTGGGCACAGGCTGAGACCTTTTCCTCTCTGATGGCCGAGGACCTCGGCATGGGCATGGGAAGGTCGCTGCTCTGCAGGGTTCTCCTCCACCCTCCATAACCGTTGTCGTTTTCGTTTCCCTAGGGCGGCCGAGTGAGAAGCTGGCTCTCTCTGCAGCATCGGATGAGCGGGTAAAAGACGCGTTCAGTGACCTTTCTGAGGGGTGAGAGAAGAGGGGGTTCGAAGTGTCATCTTTGCGCGCATGAAAGTGATGTTGTTGCAGGGAGACATTTGTCACGCCCCACTGAGAGGATTTGGAGGATGTTGGAGACTGTTTGCAGGGAGGGAAAGTGGTAATTGACAGTGGCCGGAGAACAGCCTTTGTTATAAGCTTGTGATGCCTTCTTTGGATAGTTTGACACCAGCATGTTTTGAACAAGTTCCACTTTAAATCTGGTCTGTCCTATTGTTTATAGGAGTGAGAAAAGAAAGCTTCCTTTTGTAGGAATTTCCAAGCCCAAGTTGAAGCTTTAAAAAACTATTTTGGGGGCTGAGCCCTCACTGAAGCCCCACACCTGGCCACGTTGGTTGGTTGCTGGAAGCCGTTGCATCTGGACATCCTATAATATTTTTGAGACCGGGATTCAGTATGCTGCTCCTGAATCTTCCTTGGTTCAATGGGGATGAGCTTCCACATTTTCCAGGGCCCTTTTCAGGAGAGCCTGCAGCTCCACTGGCCTATAAAGTCACCCTTTTTTCAGTGCCATCTTCTGGACAGAGTTGCCTCCAATACCGGAGCACTGATGATGATCCCAGAGACGTCAGGACAGAGTTTGTGACTTATTACAGACTCTATTATGTAATACGGAAGGTGGGGATCCCTTGGTGAATAATCAGCTCAAGCCAAGCCAGGTGCTACCATGGGCATCCAATCGCCTTTCCTCAAACAGCAGCTGCTCCTTCTGTGGCTTTCGGAAAAGCTTCGTCCACTCCAGACTTTTGGGGTGCAGAACAACAATTGAGGAACTGGCTTGCAAGGGCCATTTTGGCGATCAATCCTTGCCTCTCCAGCTCAAAAGGACCGACAGCTGTGACGGGGAAAATAGAGCTGCTAAGCCTGGGTTCGGTGGCTGAACCCAGGCTTACCTGGGAAGCCCCTAATTTTAGAATCTTGCTAAGAATCCTTAGAGGTTGGGGGGACTTGATTGATTATAGATTGGGACAAAACTGAGTAAGCATTGCTGGTGGTCCTAAACAAGCGTTGTCTTGAGATGCAGCTAATCACAGTAAGCGACTGGCATCTAGAAGCTTTTCTTCTCTGTCCCAGAATCTTTCCAAGAATTCTCTCAGGAACATCTACAGGCATTTTTTAGCTTTTAGAAGGGATCCTTGCAACCAACAGAAGCTTGAATCCTGATGTTCATGAAAGCTCAGAATGCCAGCATCTGGTTATTTGAGAGGCCTCGTAGCCGCTTTTAGACAGCCGCTTCTCTTCCTTGCTCTTTGGTGGCCTTTGCACGGCCCTTCATCAACCGGCTCTAAGTCACCTCCTTTCAGAGAAATGAGATTCATTGATTCAGAGCTGCTGGTCAAGGAAAGCTCACTTGGCTACCAAGTCTCTGGAGATTCTGGTCATCCAGGCCACGGTTGTCCCAAGGGTGCTTTTTCAAGAGGCAACTGGACTTCCTTGTTTTTCTTTGAAGACATTTCACTTCTCATCCAAGAAGCGTCTTCAGCTCTGACTGGATGGTGGGGAATGGAAGGATTTATATTCCTTGCAGACAGCTGGTCATTTGCATTCTTTTGGAGGGTCGTTGAGGCCATTTGGAGGTTGTGTTGTCTGGGTCACCTGAGTGGCCCAAATGGGTGTGGAGCCTTCTTGGAAGTGCTGAAAGGACTGTGTTGTAGACTGGAGATAGATGATGTTGTGGCCCTCCCCCTCTGCTGAGAGAGGGCTGTTCAATTTTGACATAGATGGCCTCTATTTTATCAAATTGTATTTTCATTTTATGTATTAAATTCTTGTTTTGCATGTTCACTGGCAGCTGTCTGAAGTTCATTGTAATTAACCAGTGAACCAGTCTATTTTAACCAGTGAAATGGTTAAAAGTTTCTCTCCTTTCTCAGAGAGTCTTCAAATGAGGATGAGAACCACAAGACAGCGCAGTCTTCAGACGACTCTTTTGAGCCTTATCCAGAAAAGAGGTAAGTCTCAGCTCCAGACTGCTGCACCTCCTGGGGGTGGAGTTGCCACGGACATTTCCCTTCTCCCCACTCCCAAATCCAGAAGGCAGCACGTGGCGGCCCTGGGAGCCTCCCTGAGGAGAGGACTCCAATCAGTTCTCCTGCTTTCCTCCTTTCCTCTCAGGATGTCCAATAACAGAAAAGCGGAAAGCAAAGACGCAAACGTGGAGGAGCCAAAAACAAGGAAGAAGCCAGGACCCAAACCTGGCTGGAAGAAGAAGATCAAGTGCGAAAGGTATTGGAGGCTGCCCTGGTTAAGGGCCTCGGGGAGAGCCTGCCCGAGCTCTGACCCAGCTGCCCTTTTCTTCTCCAGGGAGGAGCTGCCAAACATTTACAAGTGTCCTTATCAGGGCTGCACAGCTGTGTACAGAGGGGCGGATGGCATGAAGGTAAGCCAGGTCGCCCTGCAAGAGAAGCCAGTCACAGCCAGGGGGTTCCCCAGGAGAGAACATACTTCAAAGTGTGCGTGTGAATTCCTTCCAGTAACTTCCAGTGGCCTTCGCCAAGGCAAGAAGAGATGTGTCTAAAACAAAACACCCATTATAGGGGTTGTGGCCTTGTAGTTAACTGAAGGGGACCCCTGTTTAGAGCCTAAAGAGAAAAACGACTGGCTTATAATTAAAGCTCGCGTTCTGCAAAAGCCCAGGTTTCGCTGCACATTTGATTGAACACATGGAGCTGGTGGATCAAAAGGCACGGTGGCTCCTGCCTATTCAAAACACCAATGCCCATGCATCGAGAGAAGGGGGGAGGGGCGGAGAGGAGAAGAGCCAGGGATGTACCTGGCAGTGAAGAAGGCCAGAGGATAAGCCACCCACCCTAAAGCCCCCTCTCTGGTTGGGTCTAGAAGCACATCAAAGAACACCACGAAGAGGTCCGGGAGAGGCCCTGTCCCCACCCAGGATGCAACAAAGTCTTCATGATTGACCGCTACCTTCAGCGCCATGTGAAGCTCATTCATACGGGTAGGCCCTGTGACATCAGCCATCGCTCACCCAGCCATCAGCTTGGCAAACCACTCTTGCCACATGATTGGGATTTAGTTTGGCAAAGCTGAAGAAGGCAGGCCCCCTGCCCCTCCCCTCCCACAGGGCCAAGGACTGTCCTTTCCCTGCAAGGATCCCTGTAAGATGAGCAGAGAAGAGACCACCATGAAAGGGGCAGCTCCTAAGAAGACACAGCCCCCCCCTCCCCCGCCTTTTCTCTGGCTCATCTCACAAGACTCTCAATGGATCGGGACCTCTTGTCTTCCTTCCCTAATCCACTGCCAGTCAAAGGTGGATCCTAAAAAATGGTAACTCAGAGAGGAAGCTTGGGATTCTCCTCACACACACACACACACACACACACACACACACACACACACCGGTTTTCTTGGTCTTACAGGTGAGAGCACCTGTTTGCAGCCAATTCTAGAATGCAATCCAGAAAATACAGAGAGTTTAGAATTCACAATCTAAAAAACCTCATACAAGGCTCAGACAAGGAATAATGGTTTGTTTTCTTCTCCAACCAGAGGTACGCAACTATATCTGTGATGAATGTGGCCAGACATTCAAACAGCGCAAACATCTATCGGTCCACCAGATGCGCCACTCAGGAGCAAAGCCACTTCAGTAAGTGCTGGAGCCAGTCCAGGAGTCTTCCCAGAGCTGCATTTGGGAGCTTTCAGACACTGGCTGGGCTTACACTGTCAGATGAGATCTCTCTCTCTCTCTCTCTCTCTCTCTCCTCACCTCTCCTGAGAAGATTGTTTTTATGCCTTGCATGTCCTCTAGAAGGAATGCTGCTTCTAGGAATAAGGTGTCCAAATAACTCGGCCAGAAGGGCTTCCTTTCTGTAAAAGAAAAGCAGCTGCCAGATTTCCCTTAGTGCAAGTATGACTGTCCCACAGGTGCCTGTTTTTCATAAAAGGAGCTTTTTGAATGGTTGATACGGAATCTGGACTCTCTTTCAGATATGGTTGCAAGACCAGGTAGAAGGTAAAGAGCTGAGAACATTTTTACTCACCTCTGCACAGCTGTGTAAAAGCAGGTCCGTCTTGTCCTTTGTGTTCTGCTTTCCTTCTCCAGGTGTGAGATCTGCGGCTTCCAGTGCCGGCAGCGAGCCTCCCTCAAGTACCACATGACCAAACACAAAGCGGAGGCAGAGCTGGAGTTTGCTTGTGACCAGTGCGGGAAGCGCTTTGAGAAGGCCCACAACCTCAATGTTCACATGTCCATGGTGCACCCCCTGACCCAGACGCAGGAGAAAGCCAAGGGGGGGGGAGCCAGAGCCCAGGGCGGTGCTGGACACTGTGGAGGGCCAGCCTATCAAGGTAGAACTGAGTGCGCAGCAGGAACCCACCTGAAAATGCCCTGACACAGCTTTGCATCGATCGCACAGGACAAGAGGTGGCGTGTTTCGGAAGAGGCCCTGGGAAATAACTTCTGCTTGCTTGCGAAGAGCTTTCCCTTGCGGTGACGGTCACTCTCTCTGTGCTTACGCTGGCATAGAGAAGCCTCTCCTTTGCCCAAAGGCAGGGTCCGTCTGCCCTTCCCGCTGACGATGATCAAAAGGCATCACGCCTGTTGTAAAGGTGCAAATAGCTCACAAGACACCCATAAATTCCCTGTGATGGCTCTCGAGAATGATGGAGACGTGAATCCAGATGTTTTACATTAAATTCCAAAGCCAAGCTCAAAACGAAGAACAGGACATTTGTAACCTAATTTTTATTGTTCAAAGTCAAAATTATGCTTGTAATAAATTATTTACACAGTACGCTGGACAGATCCGGCTTCAAGGCACATACTTAATTTGTCCATCTTTGGTTGGGGGAGTTGCAGAAACTCGTTTGAGACCTGGTTGGGGAGGGGGCTTTGGCCTTCAGAAAAGCAGGAGTCCTTCCTCTAGCAAATCCCCACCTGTGCTGATGAGGGCTGCCTTGAGCTCTGGGTCCAGATCCCCACAGAGGCCCAACATCTAGGAAGAGAAAGAGGTGCTGAGGTGGCTCTGGCCTTAAAGCAAAATCTTTAGCAGAGCAGAGAGAGTGGTGCTAGTTCTCTCTTGGGAGGAAAGAATGGCTGTTGAGTGGTGTTGCTTCCAAAACCATCGCCTCAGAGTCCTACAGTGTGCAATCACTACAGGTAAGAGCAGTCAGGGTGGGCCAGAGCAGCAAAACAGGCGATCCTCCCTTAGGAGGAGGGATGAAAAGTCTGGGAAAAAGAAGCTGCACGTCTAGCTAGCCCTTAGGGTCTGTTGTGACTGACCCCGGTGGCTCTGCAACCGGCTTCCTTTTAACTAGAGAAGGACGAGACTACACTGACCACCTACATGCAGAGTGGAAGCTCTGCCCTCAACCGACGCCTCTCATCCCCCAAACTGCATTTGCAGATAGTGAGGCTGCCTTACTGTCCCAGGAAGGGATGAAGAGGTGAGAGGTCAGCGGACGTGCAAAGAAGGGGGATTCAGGTGGGATTCCTGTCTTCTGGGTGGGAAAGACAGGAACTCCCTCCTGGGTCCACATCTGTCCTTCCAGTTTGCTGGAGCCGATTGAGGCCTGCTGTCTGTGTCTTCATTGCAGGGCTGCAAAGTTTCAGCGAAGGCTGGATTCAAAATCTGTGCAGCCCCAGTGAAATTTATAGGGAGAACTTTGTAAACACGTGTGGTCAAGATTAGAGTAGGAAGCACTCAGAAAGTCTGAACCGAACCAGGGCCAGCTTCTAGGCTGTTGTGTCTTTCAGATGTCCACAGCAGGCACTCACCTCTTGGAGGTTGGAGAAGCTCCCTGGAGGACACCGGGGGATTGCCCGGAGTAAGAGTTGCCGCGCTTGCTGGATCAGCAGTAGTGAATCTCCCTAGAAAAGACAGATCAAGTTCAAACCAGCTTTGTAAGAGATTCAGAGTAAGAACTGGAGGGACTGCAGCTGGGTAATGCTTTTCTTTCTCCGGCCATCCTATGTGTCTGGCCTTGTTTAAGTCCTTCCTCAGAAAGGGAGCAATTGTATCACATGTTTAAAAGGACTGAATATATTATTCTTGTTCAGGCACCACTTTGGCTAGCTTTCTGCAGTTGTTTTTAAGCTTTCTTCGGCCTGTGTGTTTGGACTGCCCTCTCCAGAATTCTCAGCCTTTGGCCACGCTGGTTGGGAATTCTGGGAGTAGCAATTCCAGCACATCCTTCCTGTGTGGGAGGGATGCTTTCTATGTTTTACAGTTTCTACATTTTACAGTCAACAGAAATGCAAAATTATTTGCAGCAGCTGCATTTCCTTGGGATGCAGCAGCCCCCCCCTCCTCTCGTGATATGCGTCCAAATGTGCAGCAGCACCACTCAAGCCCAGTTTGGGGTGCTTCCCAGGTGAGCTGAGTGCTTCCCAGTTACTGGATCGTGGCAACCCACCCATCCAATAGATTGGCCATGAATGCCAAGAAAAAGGAAGGGCCTGGGGGGGAAATGCTGGAGGGCAAACCCAGCCACTCAAGGAACCTGTGTGCTCACGAGATTGCAGATGTGCAGACTTTGCTCCTCCTGGCTCGGTCCAACCATCGTGGCCCGTTCCGTGAAGAGCTGGAGCAGTTGTGCGTACATGTCAAGAGCCACAGGCAGGAATGTTTGCTCTCTGATAAGCTTTTCCACATCAAAGGCGAAGAGCAGGCTGGGGAAAAGTGGCAGATGTTAAGCAGGCAGCAAAGCCGTTCACGGCATTTCTGCATTGCCCGGAAGAGAGAAAAGATGCAGGCAGAGATCAAGCTGGGCTTTGACGGCCAGCCTGGGGATGATGGAGAAAGAGAGCTCCCTGCACGTGGTCCAGGACAGTTAGTGGGCCAGAATCTTGTGAGAACATTTGAGCAGCTGTCATAGCATACCAGCAAAGGGAAGCTGGCTAGTCCCAAAGGTTAAGTTGCTGTCAAAGGAAAAGTGAGCGAGGCGAAGGCTTCCGCTGCCCCCCAGAAAGCCCCCTTCTGCCAGCCTCAGAGAGGCAACCCCTCAGTCAGAGTGAGATGGGGGAGCGCTCTTGGGATAAAGAGCAAGGAAAGCCTTTTTCTTCTTTCTTTTGTAAGCGAGGCCAACGGTTTTGAAGCAAACTGCCTTTTCAGATTCCTTCTGCCATTCTCCCACTGCCCTCCTGCTCCCTGAAGTTCACCTTCTTGTACGCAAAGAGCCCTTCTGAGGTTTACCTGTAGAAGGCAACCGGCAGCATCTTCAAGTGCTGATCAGACACAGCATCACGCAGGGTCTCATAAAGCTCACAGCCTGCAAACCAAAAGGGACAGGAACGCCAGGGCTCATTTTTCAGAGCAACGCTATCGGTCCTGCCCTGAAGCTGCAGCACAGGACGGTTTCTGCACCTTTTCCTGCCGGACAGAAGACAGCCAGCCAGCCAAGCCCTTCTTCCACCAAGCGCTGAAGCACTCTGGAACTCCATTCCAGATCTTTGTGAACATCCGTTCCTTCCTGGAAAAAAGAAATAAGATAAAGAACATTGCTATTTCTTGATTCTTGCCACAGAGACTGGGCAGCTTTAAGCAAATCCCAGCCTCCTTTGTTCCCCATCTACAAAAAAACTTCTTCAAAGCAACCTCCTGCCCTCTGCGGTCATCTCCTGTGAGCGGCCTCCAGCCAGTTTACACAGATGATTGCTGTTTAAAAGGATCTGTGTGGAGTTTTAGATGCAAGTCCAAAGGAGGCTTCAGGGCATGAATCTGCAGCTCTTTAAAGCAGTTCAACCAATATGAGGCAACGCAGAGTCACCAGGTCTGCAGCCACGGTGGGCTTCCCTGTCATTTTCCCCATCCCAACCAGCCAGTGTGGAAGTAGAACTCGCCTGTGGGGCCACTTTTGCCGAGATGAAATCCATGACGGAAAAGAAGAGGACGTAGACCAGGAACTGCCGGTTTGAGAACCGCAAACAAAAACAGCCACAATCGTTACTGACTTGAAGCTCGAGCCCTCAGTCCCTCGACCAGACTACCTCCCTCCCCTGGCAGCATTTTTGCAACTTCTGCACTTGGCCGGAACTCTCCCGTAAAGAGACTTTCCTCCTGGAAGTGGAAGCTGAAAGAACTCACCTGCTCTGTTTTGGGCCCCAACTTTCTCAGCACTTCTCCCTTTTCTTCAGGATCCGCTTGCTGCTGGACGGTGAAGTGGAGGCAAGCAGCAGAGACCCAGGCCGTGTTGAAGGGCAGGGAAGCTGCTTCCCATGCGAGGCAGCTAGGAGGCAAAGGCAGAGAGTCGGGAGAGCCACCCAGTCAATCTTGGAAACTGACCGCTGCTGGCTCCACAGCCCCTTAGCAGGCCATGACCCACTGGGGTTTCTGCTCTCCAAGCGTCACAGGAAGGAACCTCTCAGGTGGCACCTTCTCCTGAAGGAGAAGGGAGGGAAAGCATCCCGGCCACCAGATCAGGCAGGGGCCATAAGAACACTGCTCGAGTTTCTTGGAAACATGTCCCTTAGCAATAGCCTGCAGCCCTGAGAACTGCACTTGCACCAAAGGTGAGTCACTTGACGAGGAGGAGGAAGGGCAGCTGATAAAGGGCATCAAACCAGGAGTGAAATGCTCCCGGTTCGGACCGGATTGCCTGATCTGGTAGCGATAGAGGCGGGTGGTTCGGAGAACCGGCAGCAAAAATCCCCCCCACCAAAAAAGCCTCTGATGATCGCGCAGCTCAGCTGGGATCATCAGAGGCTTTTAAAAGCATTTTTTCTACAACCTCTTCGGCTGAAGGTTATAGAAAAAATGTTTTTAAAAGGAAAAAAAGCCTCTGCCGATCAGGCAAGTCAGCTGGGATCATCAGAGGTTTTTAAAAGCATTTTTTAATAACCTCTTCAGCCAAAGAGGTTGTAGAAAAAATGGTTTTAAAAGTTAAAAAAAAAAAAAAGTTGGCCATGCCCACTCAGTCATATTACACCCCCCCAAGCCACGCCCACAGACCCATTACATTTCACCACTGCATCAGACCCATTGAAATAAGGGCCTGTTGGAGGTAAGGGCCACGCGAGGGCAGGTAGAGTTCATGGGCTCAAGGGAAGAGCTAACAGTAGCCGGAATATAACCTCCTTGACCAGGTCTTTGCTGGGACAGCAGGAGTTGAGTCCCTCAGAGAAACCCCCCGGCTGCACCGCCACAGCTCTTGGACTCACCTCTGGAGAGAAGACCGTAAATCCTTGAGGCTTTGCAGCCCCTGAGCCAAAGGAGCACCAAACAGTCTCTTCCATTGTGAGCAAAGCACAAACTCCAGCCTCGGCCACCATCGCTGGAGGAAGGCAAACAGCAGACATTCACTGAATACAGAAATGGGCAACTTCATGTTGGAGTTTTCTGGAGGTCCTCTGTCCAGGGACTCAATGGATCCTCACCCTCCCTCTCCTTACGATGCAATGGCAACAGTGGCCCCCACGTCTCCCGGTCCCCCAGGCCCACAACCAGCCCCTTTTGAAGCCTTTTGGGGCAGCCGCTGCTCTTGCAGCCGAAGAAAACCAAACGTTACTGAGGTTTTTATGTATGTCTTTATTAAAACAGGCTCTGCATCACTGAAGCATCTTTGAGAAAATTAGAATAATGCATTCATCGTTATCGTCAACCAAACAGAGAAGGTGAGTATTGGGGCTTCGTGCCCCCCCAGGGCTGCCCCTTTTTGTTAACGTTTTCTGAAAAGTTTACCTCCAAATCCACCAACAGAGCCTGGCTTACCAGGCCCCCTGAACCACCAATCAATGGAACTGCCCGGAGTTCTTTTTAAGGAGAGTTTCAGAAATGAGGTTGTGAGGAAAGGCCTCTTACCGCAGCAGAACAGAGAAGGATGGGACACCTGGTTTGGCACGAAGACAGCACAGCTGTCACCTCTCGGGCAGGATGGCTGCACTCCAAACTGGTGCTCAGGAGGCCCTGAAGAACAGCAGATCCCTCAGCGTGCAGGAACCCCAAGGGGACCACAAAGAAAGCAATCTTGGCACTGCAACAGCCAGCATCGTCACCATCGTCTTTTAAAAGAATTTGCTGCCTGATTCCCAATGACTTTAAAACACATCCAACCCACAGATCACAGGAGAGCAAGGCCACCCCCTTCCCCCATTCTTCTCCAGGGCAGCCCCCCTCCAGCCGCCGCCCTTGCTGAAGCCATGGGGAAAGGGAGCAGGGGAGCCAGGCTGCCTAGAGAGAGCATCCACGACCACCTTCCCTTCGTTCTGGCTGCTTCCCATTCTGACACAGTTCTCGGAGAGCCCTCAGCCCCCATTGCCCACTTCCAGCAACCCTCAATGGCTTCTCTTCCGTTATCTCAGGGTGAGTTTCCGGAGAGCAGGACAACGAGGCTCCTCTTTTGGGGTATGTACAGGCAAAGGACGCCTCCATTGCTGGACAGTAAGGGGCAGCTGAGGTATATAGTCACAGGGACCCACATGGAGTAAAATAACAAGCCTTTTTTCAGTCTTCTTTACCCTGAAGAAATGTGCGGTGATGTCATAAGGCAGAGAGCATCCTCTGGAGCAGCTGTTCCTCTGCAACAACATCAGATGGAGAGAAGAGATGAGGAAAACCTTCCCAAGAAACCTGGCTTGTGCCTGAGCCATATAGAGGAGTCCTCAGCCATTCAGCTACCATGGACATGAAAAGTTACTCGTCCTCAAAGTTGGCTGCCACACCACCCCTGCGGTCATGTGATCGCATCTCCAGCACCTGGCAACTGCCTCACATTTACGACCGGTTGCAGTCACATGATGGTTTTCCAGTTTTCCAGCAAAAACCACTCATTGGATAAGCTGGATTCAGACTCATGACCAAAATTCTGGACACAAGTCGAAGACCACCTGCACTTCAGGTGCTTCTGCTATTTAATGAAGGAGCAGCTGACGGCAGACCCTGTACTGGATGTTGCTCCTCCAGGCAAAGCAAGCTAGAAAAGAAATCCCTAATAAACACCCACAGGCCTGAAGTGCCAGTTTGTCCCTCTTTTCAGCATGCCTCCTGTGTCCGGAGGGAGCAGCCCAGGTTGCCTCAAACCGTCTGCCTCTCCCAGACTGCAAAAGAGATCGCTTGGGGCGTTCCCAAGGACGCTGCTGGGCTCTCGGAAGTGATACACACCAGTTCCGTGTTTACAAAAGAGAAAAAGCCTTCACAGGCCACAACGATTTCCCCTCCTCTCTTCTGCGTTGCCACAAGAACAGACGGAGGCAGGCTTAAGAGGATCCTGAGGAAAGAACAAAGTCCCCTGAAGCGAAGCCCAGCCCAACTTAGCCGGGGACAGCTGGGCCTTCCTGCCCCCATTGGCCTGTAAGTGGGGGGAGACTGCAGGTGTGTCCTCCTCCCTGTGTATTCACCTGGTTTGGGACAGCAGCTCCTGCTGCCGGAGCAGCCGGTCTCCCAAAGCAGCCCCAGTTCCCAGAGCCCTCAGCCTCTCCCGGAACACTTGGAACAGGAAGTGCTCTTTCATGCCTCTCCTGCGCTCCAGCTCCAGCTCCAGCACCAGCTCCTGAAATCAAGGCACACCTCTGAAGGCCTCCTCTCCTCTGCAGCACAGGGAAGCGGAAAGCGGGTGGGACAGGGGAGCCGGTCCCTGCCCACACATCCAGGCGGCTGATAGGCCAACATAATGGGCTGAAGTATCACAACCCAGAAATGCTGGAAAAATAACAAAATCCTGACAGCCGTTGTTTGCATTGTTATGCAGGGAACCCTGCACTCTCTGGAAGAGAAAGGAGGAGGAGGAGGAAGGACGCCTGTTCCAACCGGATGATGGAGCAGCTTGGCTATGACTCCCCAATGCAGCCAGGTGGAATCCCAGCATTGGGCCAGCCCGGACGGACTGACGGGGGTTGGACATCCACCACGTCAGGGGGGTGGGGGGGGATAGCCCGGAGGAGGCTGTTCCAGACAGTCCCACCCTGGAGTGTTTCTTCGCCCTCCCACAGTCATACAGAGGATGGAATCCCATTGCCAGCCGCTGCCTCTTTCAATGCAGCAGCGCACCTGGGCATGCTTTCTCATGCACTCTTAGCAAAACGGTGGGCAGAGCCAGGTCAGACTAGCAGGCACAGCCCAGCTGCCACGTACCTGGGCCACAACGCTCGTGGGCTAGAAAGCCCCTTGGCCACAGCAATTGCTGAAGAGGCCCACCCAAAGCTCATGGAAAACCTTCACAGGAAAAGGAGACGAAACAAAAAGTAGCATACACAACCACACCACCTGAAATCTGCAGTAGAGATCAGGGTTCCCTCTTGCAGGGGTCAGGGAACACTTGGGGTTCGTCTGGAGACTGCAGGCTTCCGCCTCTGTCCTAGAATTCAAAGCAATATAAAGTTATACAAACCGTACATACATAAGATACAAATACATACAAATCATGGCATTTCCTAGAAAAAATAAATAATGGGGGATACATTTTAATATGCCTTGGGCTGGATCCAGATATAGTCAGACAATGATGTCTTCATTCCAGATCACTCAGTGACTTCAGGGGATCTGTTGTTAGATATGAGGCGGTCTGAATCCAATCTTGGAAAAATGCATTAGTAATGAACTAAACCATTGGAGGAGTGGTTGAGTAAAGAAAAAGATCAACCATAAAGAATATTTGCATCAGATCTGTAGATATGGCATAACTTTTGTTTTATAGAACTAATCCTAGGCAACAGATACAGACTATCATTTGATTGCAGAAGGAGCTCTTATGTCAGAAAAGCCCCACTGCCCGACAAGCAAATGCTTCAGAAAAGCAGTTTACCTCTGAAGGAAATCCAGAATGGCGCTGGTAAAAAGCGCCCCCATCTCTGTCAGGTCCCCACCACAGCCTCCAGCTGCAACAGACCTTGGGAGGTAATGCTGATGCAAAGACCAGGAATGGAACTCCTGCCTGTTGAGGGACCAAAAGCCCAGTTTGGGGTTGTGGGGGGGCGGCACAGAGTCAAACAAACAAGTGAGGAAATCAGAAGAGAAGTGGTACTACATTTGCTAACAGCAGCCACTGCACGATTAAACTGTTTGGCACAATTAAGCTGGTCTTGAATAAGGCCATGGTGTTTCCCTCCCCAAATAAACACACTCTGTTGTTTTACAGTCGTCTCAGTGATGGCAGTCCCAAACTAGATCCCCGACTCACAAACAAGCACTAATGAACGGCCCAAATTATCTCCTTGGAGCGTTAAGGCAGCTCGCTCTCACCTCTCGTTAGCAGAAAGCAGGTCTTGGTCGGGAAGGACTTGCAGCTCCATCTTCAACCACTCAGGGAGAGTCAGCTGGAAGAAGGGCAAAGGTACCCCAGGCAGAAAGGCAAATGATCTGCCTTCCAAGGGCAGCAGGGATGGGGGTCGGTCTCAGCCCAAGAGCCCTGCAAAATCTCACCACCCCCAGTTGACCCTCAAGGCTCCGCGGTGGTCTTTACCTGGAAGGCTTCCTCCCGCAGGAGTTCCTGGAAACGGGTTTGTTTCCACAAGCCGAGGGCAGCCTTTTGGTAGCAGGGAGGAAGGCAGGAGAGCATTTTCCAAGGAAACGCAGCCGAGTCCCCTTCGTAGCCAGTTTCTCGCGCTTCCAAGCAAAGCCGTGGCAAGACATACTGGAGCTGCAAAGCAGAAGAGGTGGCCCACAGTGTTGCCCGGACATTCCATAGGGCCAAGTGAAAATGAAGAAACCCTCCTGAATTCTGCCTCCTTGAGGGTGTCGCTGAGAAAACTCCTCAGGCACAAACTGAGACTGGACGTTGCCACCACCAAGACCTACACACACACACACGCTTCCTTTCCACCCAGTTTCTCCTCTTCAGTCAGTCAGGCAGCTACAGAAAGTAACTTGGTGGCATGACATTATTTATTCATGCCTCGCTTAGTTATTAGGCCGGACAGGCACATGTGAGATGCTGGGATACAAAAACTCCTTGAATGTTGGAGATGTGATTGCTTAGATGCTACATATTATCATCTATGGTGGACATGCAAGAAGGTAAAGGCTTTTTGGATAAAAATTTGGTGGGTTATGCAAAATGTTCTGAAGAAAAAAATTCAATTTTCTCCTCAACTGTTTTTACTGGGTATAGTTGAGGGTTTTTCAGTGGGGGAAACAAAATTGATACTGTATATGGTGACAGCAGCTAGGTTATTAATTGGTCAATATTGGAAAAGGGATGATATGCCTACAATTCAAGAATGGACTTTGAAGATGGCCAGCTTCGCAGAAATGGCGAAGATATCAGCATACTTAAAAGATCGGACTCAAGAGACCAATGCATGGGAGTGGAAGAAATGGATAGATTATGTGCAGAATAAATACCAAACTAGGAAGTACCAGATAGCCTTTAGTTAAATGTTGTGTAGAAATGTATAGTTTATAGAGGGCAAAATAGCTTATTGTCATGAAGAATTGTATAGTACACAGGGGGGAGAATAGAGGGCTGGTAAACTTTGATATAATAAATGTGGATAGATTTCACCTTGGGGAAGTCATGGGGGGTGGGGAGGGTTTGGAGGGTTAAGGGAGGGAAGCGGAGGGGAAAAAATGGGGGGAAAATTGATGTTTGTAAAACTTTTTCAATTAAAAAAAACAAAAAACTCCTTGAATGAGGAACAAGCAGTGCAACTTCGGGGAGGCTGAGCTAATAAGGCTGCAGCCACCACCAAATTCTGAGCTGTCATCAGGCGGGACCTTGAACAATCCGGGCGAGTCCCACCCAGCACCAGGTCCCTGCGCAGGAATCCCAGCAGGGGGAAAATGGAGGCAGATGGGATTGAATTTAGGGCAGGGGAAAAAAGTTACCTTTTTCATAAAGCCTGGATGAAGTACGGAAGAAAGGTGCTCGTGGGAAAGGGAAGGAAACTTGCACAGAAAGTATGAAATTGCTGCAGTGCAAAACCTGCAGAAAAGGGGTGGGGGAAGAATCATTTGTGGGACCAGCTTTTCCCACAGTTCATCCCCCTCTTCATTTGAGGAACAATATTTATGCAGCTCTTTCTCGCCAGCTGTTAGATTTGATCCAACAATGCTGAGAGAGAGAGCAGCTCAAGAAACGACACCAGGCAGTGTCTGCTATTCCATTCTGGCCCTCCATTTTTATAAAATGCCCTCTCTAACAGCTGGCCGAGTGCTTGGCCCCAAAGCATGGCACCATCTTCCCCTATGAAAGGGACGATTTATGGCCCAGATGGAGAGAGGGGCTTACCGCAAGCAGAAGAGAGCTGAATCTCCAGACCTGGGTGCCAACAAATAGTCCCACAGTCCAGCAAGAGGAAGGTCTGTGTGAAGAGCTGCTTGAGGAACTGAGGGGAAGCAGAGGTCCACAGGGGGGAGCAGGGGCTCGGCCTCGTTGAAATGGACCACGAAGGCAGCCAGGCCCAGGACGTGAGCATCACTCAGAGAAGGTCCCTGCAATCAGCAAAGGGGGAGATTGCCAGGTCAAGGCCTGTCAGTGCACCAGATGGAGTCAACTGGCGTCAAGAAACGCCATGAGATCTTCACCGATTCACAATCCTGCAGAACCAACCTGGTGGTAGAGAAGTTGACAGAGTCGGCTCAGCAAGGAGGACAAGAGGGGGCGGTGCCCGCAGATCATTTTCACGAAGAGGGAAGGCCAGGGCCCTTGCCTGCGGGGAACACAAAGAGCGTACTGTGGCATAACTGCGAGGATGAACATTGGGGGTGTGTGTAAATGTTTCAGCGTAGACACTGCAAATAAGCCAGAATCTGTTTTACCTATCAGGAGGCAGGAAGAAAGAGGCAGCCATGACATCCTGACAGAAGGACGCCAGCAGAAGATCAACAGCCTGGAACACAGACACAGCTGGCTCACATCTAGCCCTTTCTGTTGAAGAACTTCTGGGCCCAGCTAAGCTACGGTTCTGAAGAAGTGAGAGGGACGTGCCCTTCCAGACCCCCAGCTGCCCTGCCCACCCCAGCCACACGCTCCCCTCCGCACCCCTTGATCTGCTGCACCAACTTCAGGAGCCGAAAGATCCAGTCTGACCCTCAAGGTCAGGGATGCTGCTTCATCGTCATCTGTCACGTGTCCCAAAACCTCCATCAGCTTCCCAGAGATGACCGCAATTTGGGCCGGAATGGCTGTAACACAGGAGAGCCCATTCCAGAAAAGCAGGCGGGGGAAAGACTCCTGTGAACCACCCAGGAGCAGCAGAAGAAAAGGCAAAATTGTTCCTGCCGAGCTGCTGAATTTCTTTAATGAGTTTTTGAAAACCTGGCAAACACCTTCTTCTCCTGCCAGGGGAAGAAGCAGCCACATGCTTTTGACAAGCTGGGTTCAAAGGACGCTTTCCAAAACCAAAATGTTGCTTGAGTGATCTAAATGGATCTGGGCTAGACCTACATTTAATCAATATACCAAAAATGGAGCAGAGATTTCCCTGGATCTTTGGCTGAAACAGAGTCCGGCTGCCCCAGGGAATTTCCGAGAGTCACATCTCACGGTGTCATTCCAACGCTGCCATGTGAACGAGCTCAGAGGTCCTCCAATGTTGCTCAATTACATGAGAAAAGGGTTTCTCGATATTGGCAACTTCAAGAGGCCCAGACTTCAACTCCCAGAATTCCCCAGCCAGCGTTCTCCACCTTAGAGGCTCAGGGAAATCCTCTGCTATTCTCTGCCCGTTTTCTTTCCCAGGGATCCAGCCCCCTGTACCTACCACCGTGCTTGTCTGCGTCTGTGACGAGCAGCCTCAGCGCTTCGAGTTCGGCCTTTAGTCGCTCCAGGGGTTCCTTGGGGCCCCCCACCTCTTTTTCAGCCGATCCCTCTGAGGGGCAGAGAAAACAGCTTTCGATCATAGAGAATGTGGGAAACGTGGTCTCAAATATGGGCGGGGGAGAGGGAGACCCAGAGAGAGACAGGCTGGAAGAAGCTTGCAGCCTTGGCCACCTAAAGCCTTTTCATCCCCGCCTGGAACTTCAAAGCTCACAATCTGAAGTTTCAGTAGTTTGACAGTGTAACCTCAGTCCAGCCAAGACTATTATGGGGTGCTGGGCTGACACAGGGGACCTGTTGTTGCCTGTCATTCTCTCTGTCTCTCCCTGGCTGCTCATCCTAAATACCTGATCACAATTTTTGTGCCTGACAATTGCAGCCCTTGTCAGATAACCAAACTGAAGTATTTCAGCTCCTTGCAAATTGCCTGAAGAAATCAAGGGTTCCGGGCATTAATCCTGCATTTATCCTACATACCAGCAGCTGTTTGGAGTTTAACTGGCAATGCCATTCTATATGCATCCATCTGGTAGGATTAAGGGACAAAAAGCAGCCAAACTGGCTGGTCCAGTGGTATCCAGAAGCCACAAGATGACTCCTGCAGCCACTAGAGGTCGCCCTCCACCAAACCAGCCATCGGTAGGGCCCCTGCAGGTCAGACCGATTCCTGACTTGGAGCATGTGAGACGGACTGCAGCAACTCAGGGTTTGCAACTCTTAAGAATGGCACCACCTTGTGCTGCACTGGTCCCAGTAACTACAGAGTAACTCCGCAGGCTCACCCAGCTCGGAGCCTCAGAATTCTCCCTGCCCTGAAGCTCTTTGATGACTCAAGTACCAGATGCCCAACGAGGCTGGCAGGCCTTGCCCCACTTTTCTGCAAAAAAGATCCATGCCAGGGCCTCAACTCTGCCACGTATTTCCCTTTCTCGTCACAGAAGCAAGTCAGCATGGGCAGGAGAACAAAAAGGGGTTTTCATGCATACAACACTGAGGAAACGAGTTCAGGAGGCTCACCTCGCAAGGGCTTCCTTTTAGCAGCTTCGCATTCTTCTAAGTAAGTGGCATAGGCATTCGGAGAGATTTTTTCAGCCCTAGTTTAGAAGAATAATTGTTTTTCCTCCAACACTCTAAGTTGCTGCATGCCAAATGTTTAGTGACTTTCCTCTCTCTTTCCCTGTTTTCTCCAAACTCAAGGCAAATGTCTTTCCTCTAAAATGCAGCTGAGACGGCAGACAGTCAGTCGTGGGCGCCTTGTGGCACCTTCAACCTCTGGAATCTCTTCCTAAAACAACCAGGTGCCGGATGGAAGAGAGGAAACCAATAGAGTCTCTTCCCAAACAGCTTCTGATTACAACCCTTTCAAAGAACAGCCGTTGGGGACAGGTCTGAATAGGCAAAGAACCTGTTCTTAGTCTTACAATACCCTATTGACTGAATAGTGAAATGATAAAAGGGAGGGGGCGCTGAGCCCCCACCCAAAAAGCTTTTAATTAACGTTAGAAAGGGCTCCTCTTGAAAGAAACTTGCTCCTCTGATCCTGGGTTATATGGCCAAGGGAAAGAAATTGCTAATTGCTAAAAGAAAGTAGTAATCCCTTTTTAGTTATTTTGTGAAAAAGCAATGGCCAGAGTTTTTCAGACTAGGGAAGCAGCAAAATCACAATAACTATGGGCAGAATATTTGTATAATATGCTCTTATTAGCAGAACCCCTTGCTGGCTGCAAAGAATGGCAGTCACTCTAAGTTAAAGTAAGATTGAAATCCAGAGTAATATAACTGGGATTGATTAGATTACTGTATGCAGTTAACAATGCAGAACAGATCACAATACAAGCAAGCCAAAGTTAGATCAAATGACACAATGCTTCCCATTAAAAAACTGAGGAAAAACGCCCTTTATCGCAAATGTTGCTTTCCTACCTCTTGAGGGCTTCTATCAAAGTCATGCGAGTGTCAGGGGTTTCAGGAAGCTACAGAGATAATCATAAAAGAAGTCGGTATGAATCTCCCATTGCAAAGTTAACACATTGTAGGCATTTCTATCCTGCAGGTTATTTGAGGGAGTTTTCTGTTAACAGAGTAGCACTCTGAACAAAAAAAGATCAAAACCAAAATATTTAAAGATTCCACTGGACATGAACAACGGAAAAAAGAAAACTCACCACTCGTGGTACAAGCAAAGCAGGAAGAAAACGGGAGATGTAATAGGACCGCCTAAAAATACTGAGACAGAAGCAGGCAGATGAATCACAGTAAGCCACCCAATCACCCAAGATTAAGAACAAATAAATTTAGGAGTAAAAAACAGATTATAAATGTAAACATGGCACTCTGAATTCCTTCAATTAAACAGTGTCTTCCAGCAAGATCCTCCTCTGTAGTGAGCCTCCTCTGTCAAAGAGCTTGCCCCCTGGGTTGAGATGCCCCCCAGATCTGCCCCTCCCCACTCTGCAGCTGGGAAGACCTGACCCTTCTAAAATGAGACCCCCTTTTTTCATTCCATCCAGTGGGTTGTGCTTGCCACTTTTTCATCTTTACTGATTTGATTGTAATTTGATTGTTGTAAGCCACTCAGAGGAGTTGGGCAGCATAGAAGCTTAATAAATTTTCTGTAAATATGCCAAACGGAAATTGTTGGGCTTGCAATTTGCTCTTGAAAGTATATCTTTTTAAGCGAGAACCTGACATTTTTGTACTTTTGGGTTTTTTCTCCTCCCTTGAAGTCTCTCTGCAAACAGCCCCTTTCAGTGGTCTTTCCTTCCACCCTCAAAAGGGGAGACCTTACCTGGCTTCCATCACACTTGCTGGGATCTTGCCAGTATTCCGGAATATCTGGGTGGCCTTTTCAACATCCCGAAGAGCTTGACAGGATGGCTACATCACACACACACCACAAAAAGAAGAACACCTGTTTTGCACAACTGCCCAGGTCAAGGGAGACTGTCTCATGATGGGAGAGAAGAGTTTGGGTGCAGGGCAAGCACTGGGCAATAGGGAGGACATCAAAACAACAGAAGAGACTAAGACGGCCAAAGCACCAAGGAGAGTAGATGCTGCTAAGCATGCAGGGAAATCAGGCAGTTTGAGGCCTATGTGCTCCGGCACACGGTTTCGGGGAGCGCAACTGGAGCGCTCAGAATGGGCATGAGCTGCCCTCACAGGCCACAGCTTGAAAGACAAGAAGCATCTCTCATCAGACTCATCTTTCAACGGCCAGCTGCACATTCCAAGATCGGAGGCTTTGGGGAAAGAGCTGGAACCACAGATCCTCCGAGTACACACACACACACACACACACCCCGTTTGGAGCCCCAAAACTCAGAGGACACATCCCAGCCGCCTACAATTTCTGAGCACATCACAGCTGGCTAAACAGTTTGCGGTGGAATATCGTAATCCCCCTGGTCCATTTTGCAGATAGGGAGGTGAAATCTGCCCCATTAGAGGTTACCATGACAACAAGTGGCAGCATTTATTGGGCTGAGGTCTGAGTCCATACCTGGGAGGCTTCCTTGGTGGAAGAGAGATTCTCATAGAGGCCCATGTCTTCTAGCGACACCTGGGGAGACAGGCAGAGAGAGCTGGAGGGGTGGGGCAGCAGGGAAGGCCGTGGGCACGTGGACGGGGTGGGGTGGGGGGAGGACCTTCTACCACCCTCCGCCATTTGTCCCCCAGCGAGGGGGAGGCACCTTGAGATCTGCCAGGCGAGTTTTGGCCAATGTGATGTATTCCAGCAGGAGGGACCGGTACTTGCTGGGCACAAATGGGGGATGCAGGAGGTGGACCTAGAAGGTTTCAGACAAGGTGAGGCACAAAGCAGATATGTGCCCTCCCCCCCCCCATTCCAGATGCATCGAAGCAGCAGGTCTGCGCTGCACATCTGAGACTCTGGGGAAACTGATGGGGGGACCATTTCCTTGCCCACTCCCACTCCCACCCCCACCCCGGGGCCTGGATGTTGTTGTCCTGGTCTTTCTTTTGGAGGCGGGGAGCTCCAGGAGTGGCCAAGGATGGGAAGTGAGGGTCCTTTCCCCAGACCTGACAGACGTGCACCTGGCCACACATTAAATGCCCTGTTTTGCACCCTCGTCCTTTGCAATGGCCCCAGGACAGAAATGGACAGACTGGGGTTCACGCTGCTTTGACAGCTTCCTCCAAGGTAGCATCTATTTGGTTTCAATTCCCATAATCCCCAGCCAGCCTGGCCTTTGGGCAACGGTTCAATATGCCCAGAGGTAGCCAGCCCTAGCAAATCTAGAAGCCCACTTGCCGAGGAGCGAAGGCAGTGCCCACCTTCAGGTACTGGGGAGCTTCGAAGGGGACCAGCTGTGACAAGAACTTGAAGAAGAAGATGAGCGCCTTCTTGCTGCTGCCATGGAGGCTGCTGCCATTCCCAAAAGTGAGCTGGAAGCAGAGAGCGATGCCTGGAGCCCAGCTGGCCAGCATCCCACCCTCCCTCCCTGCCCCCAATGTCCAGCGCAGCTGCCTGGGACCCTCCATGGACCAAGCAGCCTTGCTCAGCTGAGTAGGTGGCACGTGGCCTTTCCGTCCACCTTCCCCCGGGTGTACCTGGACCGAGGCCTTGGAATGCCTGAAAGAAGGCAGGGTCACAAGGCTGCAGCTTGGCTCTCCTTGGGCAGCCTTCTTCCGCTTGCCTCCTCCAAAGCCTGCAGGCCCAGGACCCTCCTCCCCAGGAAGCCCCCCTGCCCTTGCAAGGAAATCCCCTCGTGGCTCTCACCTTAAACCATTCTGCGTAAGGGGGGAATAAGGCCGGGCCTTCCAAGGCTGCTTGGCGGGCGATTAAGAACGTAGTGATCAAGCTCTCCAAATCGTAATTCGCAAAGGCCTTTCTCAAGAGGCCACCCAGGAGGCCTAGGAGAGACACGGAAGAGTCTCAAACTCGCTACCCAGCTGCAATTACAGAAACTTGACTCCTGGAGCCATAGTTTGAGGCCAAATCACGATCTAGCAGTTTTCAGGGTCTCCCAATTCCCAGCCGCTGCCGGTACCTTTAACCAGCTGATCTGCTTGGGAGTGGCAGACTAAGAGGGTAGAGACACACGAGAGGACGTGATGCCAGTTTACTTCGCTTGTCTCCAGGACCTGCTGCAAGCGCCGAGTCAGTTCCTCTGGCTGGAACGCCACGAAGACCTGGAATGGGGCGGAACTGCTTTTGAAATTGTGGGGAGAAGCTTTCTGAATGCTGAGTCCTAACCGCCCCCCAAGTGACCCTTCTGATCAGGAGGTCAGAAGTGAGGGGTTCTTAAGACCTTGCCATGGATATTGGCAATTTTTCATATTCCCCAAGGAAAACTCCTACTCTTCCTCCCGCCCTGCCCTTCGTTCCTTTCCCCTCCCGCTGTTGAGAGCCTCCCTCTGCCCTGCCGGCTTCTTGCAGAGAGAGCTGCTGGTGCACTCGCTGGCTTTCCTGCCCTTCTGGGCCAGAGAACTGGTTCTGTAATAATTGAAAGGAATCATTTCCGAGTGGTGCCAATGCTGCCTGGGTCGCATGGCAGGCACCGTTCAATGAAAACTGGTAAAGCGCAGCCTGACTTATTAAGCAGCGTTCCCTGGAAAGGAGCACATACTTTGCGGTATAAGGTAGCAAGCAGCAAGCTGGTCCTGGCAAAGCTCCATTCCCTCTGCAGATGGATGGCATCCGAGACTGCTCAGAGAGAGGGAGGGGAGGAAATGCTGGTTTCGCAGAACAGTAAGAGCCAGACTGCAGAAGGAGCCTCTTCACTGGTTTGTTTCTGGCAAAATAGGCAGGCCGTTCCTTCCTTCCGTGAGGCTCTTCAGAACAGCCACCCCACACCCCATCCTTCCCTCCCTCCTCCCCCAATCATTGCAGAATTTGAGACCGAGAGCGGACAGGCTCTAAGACTCTGTCACCTTGCCAGAAGGGCAGAATGCCAGAACAGCGGAAAAGGAGATCTCAGACCAGATCTATCCATTGTTTAACTTTTCAGCTGTTTGCCCGAGTTCCATCACCAACTTCCAGAGGAGCCTACCCTGCCCTGCCCTGCCCCACTACAGCCCAACAGCTGCTGAATGGACAGTCCCAGAGCTGGAGAGTCGCATTAACTATTAACAACAATTAAAACGTGCATTCTGGCGTTGTCATCACTTGAAGAACTTGCTTGACTGAGTACCAATGAATGTATCCCTCAAAATACATGACAGTTAAAAGGAGAAACGAGACTCTGCAGGTAGGCATATTCCAACCACACAGTTGGACCCTATCGATTCATCAGCTCGGCCTTCAAAGGCACACTGGATAGAAGTGCTGGCAGGGTCTTATGGGGAGCTGGTCCAGAGCCCGCTGGGATTCCCAGAGGCGGCAGGGAGTCCTGCAAAAGACCTCCCTCATCCCTCACCTGGCCCCCTTCTGGGGATCCTACCTGTCAGATGGGGATTGTAGGTAAGCACACGGGTGAAGATGTGCCCGAAGAGGGGCTGCAGAGACTCCGGTGGAGCCATGCCTTGGAAAACCACCAGGCTGTATACTTGGAGCCTGCACACAAAAGGGGAAAATGTCTCAATAGGCAAGAACAATGAATTAGCAGGCTTGAGAATTACTGCTAATTGCTCCCATTTATTCTGTAATAGGCATTTACTAGGAGGCCTGTAAATATATGATAAATATTTATCTTCTGATTATTGCTCAAGTCCTTGGCAAAAAACACAAAAGCATGCTATTATTAGTAAATATAACAACACAATTCAGTGGGCAAAACTTTGGCCCGACAGAGAATTGCTGCTGGAAACAGGAGTTCCATTTTAAGAGAGCATCACACTGCTTTGTACACAGGGAATGAAGCCACTTGGGAAATACACAAACGGATCTCTTGCAGAGCTCAGAAATGCTCTTCCCCCAGTTGGCATCTCTCCAACCCTTCCTCTCCCTGCCTTAACGTCAGATCCTTACCAGCATCTCACTGCCTTCCCTGTGGGGGAGGCACTGCCCTGCTTCTCCGTAGCTACAGTATCCAGCACCCCTAAAGAAAAGACAAGGGAGCGTCTTCACTAAGAAGCAAGCTTCAGGCAAAACAAGCAGAAGGCCATGAAAGAGCCACGGAGCCACAGCCTCCACAAGGAGTAATTTCTCAAAGGAGGAACCTCAGGCTTAATCATGGTAGTGGCCTGGGGGCGTTTTCCCTCCTTTCTGAAAACCTGTCCTATCATTGCAATATATTTACTGCACAAGCACCCCTGGAGGGAACATCACTGCTTAAGAGCATAGATGGGAATGAAAAACAAAAAAAATCTGTTTGGAACAAAGCGATCTGCAGACCAAAGATCTTCAAAGGTGAAGTTGGGATTGCAGTCCTTCCCTGGGAGAATTAACCCCCAACGTTTTCAGTTATGCAATGCAAAGCGGGGGGGGGCACAATTCACAGCTGGACAGTCCGAAATTTTCAGTGTGGCTTTGCACACCAAAGAATGTAGTAAGAGTTCAAGCTATTTCTGTGGTAGCAATGTCCTGTGAGTGATTCTCACAAGCCTCTCTTCTAAAGGGCGATTACGCTTACATGCCAACATTCTCTCCAGCACAGCACAACAGATCTAGAAGGAAAAAAGAAAAGGCAAAGTCAACAACTTTTTAGGGGGCATTAGCCATGGTATTTCATTTGTGTTTTTCCTCCTCTGAGATTTCAAAGCAGCAGACAGAGCACTTCCTGTTTTTTTTTAATTGATTCCCCACCCCCACCCCCACCCCCACGGGATGGCTGGCTGGAGAGAAAGTCAGAATGAACTTCCATGGCTGAGGAGATCTGAACTTGGATTGCATTCATCTTAATCTCCCCCTCAACATCCCAGGCGTCTTTTGATAACCGCGGAGGCCTTGGCCGTTCCAGCCTGCTGCGTGAGCTCATGGCCCACGAACCAAGGGGTGGGTGCTGCAGTGCTCAGGCAGGGGGTTTCCCAGCTCCCCTAGAGACGGTGGTGACTAGAATGCTAGAGAGCAAATCTGCTCTAGCCTTACTTCAGAAACCTTCTTCATTTCCACCTTCTTTTCAGACTCGGGTGTTTTTGGAAATCCATTTTGAAGGAGCACCAGAGCCAAGTCTAGGGATTAAGAAGGAAGCCCAGATCAGAGATCTCCTAGGCCAGCTGAATGAGGCAAGAAAAGATGCAGAAAAGATGGAAAAGGAACTCAGACAAGAGACGGTTAAATACCGTCCAGAGGGGGCCCTTTTTGCTTTAATAAATCTTAACTGATGAAGCAAATGAACGGAAGAAGCAACCACAGACATAAAAACTCCAGTCTGTCTTTTTCAGTAATTATTTCTCATCTTTTCCTGTCCCGGTTTAGACTTGGCTTTTGCTATCATTATTCTAAACATTAAGTATTCTATTTTATTTGTATCTTATGGCTTTTTAATTAAAAGAGAAAAAAGGAGCAAAACACAAATAGGGGACTCATTTATACAGAATTTTAAAAGGTTTAAAAAGTTGTATAAATGTATTAGAAATAAAGACATTAGACAAGTATACATACAACTGTAACTGTATTGTTACAATATTTCACGTTTGTTTTTCCTTTGCCATATTTCTTTCACCCTTTTCATTGTTTTTTCTTCTTCTGTTTGACAACTATACTTCTCTTCAGCATATTATAAAGTCTGCCAGAAGACAAAGTATGTGGAAACTGCACAGCATAATGGTTGTGTGTATCTGGCCATTTGTTAAACAAGACTAAGTCACACCAATGTTTAATAGTACAAACTGAGGTAACATGAAACCAGGTCTCATGTTACAGAAGAGGACTTCAGCTCAACTACCTGCCTGCCTCCTTTGAGGGGACAGAGAGAGCAGGGCCAGAGCCAACCGCTGCAAGGCAGTTCACAGGCCTGGACCTTTTCCTAGCCACCAGCCCCCCATACCCCTCGCTTTGGCCCTGCCTTGCCTGTGAGAATGTTCTGGCCAATCTCAGTGTCCATTTCTTCCATCTGATGGCACAGGAGGCAAAGGCTACTGGACAACCAATCCACCAGGGCAGGTACCTCCAGATTCCTGAGAAGACAGAGGAGCCTGCATCATTTACCTTTTCCAAAGAAATTTCTCCCCTCCAAACATTTCCCTAAAACAGGGGTCTCCACCTGTGGACTTCAGCTCCCAGAATGCCTCAGCCAGCATACCTTCAACTCTGGTAATTGAAGTCCACAAGTCTTAAAGTTGCCAAGTTTGGAGACCACTGTACTAAAAGGGCAAAATGCCCCATTTACTCCTAAGTCTGAAATTTTAAGTTCAGAATAGAGAAAGTTACCATATTTTTCGGACTATAAGACGCACTGGAGTATTAGAGCCTTGATGGTACAGTGGTCTACGCACCCTGTTATTAACATAGCTGCCCGCAATTTCTGCTGGTTCAAATCTCTCCAAGGCTCAAGGTTGACTCAGCCTTCCATCCTTTCTAAGGTAGGTTAAATGAGGACCCAGTTTGTGGGGGCAATAAGCTGACTTTGTATAAAATATACAAAAGAATGAAGGCTATTGCTTAACGCATTGTAAGCCGCCCTGAGTCTCCGGAGAAGGGCGGCATATAAATAAAATTAAAAAAAAAAAAAAAAAGACACACCAAGATTTTGAAGCGGTAAACAAGAAAAAAGTTTTTGCCCTCCCCAGCCCCCAGAAGCACTTTGCAGGCCTCCCAAACTCTCTGCGCATCCTGTTTTTGCAAAAAACGGTCCTGTTTTTGGCGAAAACAGGACACGTGGGGCAGAGTTTCGGGAGGCCAAAAATGGCTGTATTAGGTGTGTAAGACGCACCAACATTTCCACCCTCTTTTTTGGGGGGGGGGAGTGCATTTTATACTCTGAAAAGTACCATACTTTACATCAGGCCTCTCCTTGGCTTAGTGTGGCCTGTAAATGCAACTATTGTTCCCACCGAATAAACTGCACCAGGATGTGGAAGTTTTCTTCAGTGTTATCTAAACCAACTAGCAGCTGTTCCCCTCAAATCACTGCAAATCTTGCTCAGTGCGCATCTCTCTTCAAGGGGAGGATCCGGGCTTCCACAAACAATTCTAAATGCTGACAGATGCCACCTCAAGCCAAAGCCACAGGCAAATGTTCAAGCCTCTACCTACTTCTCCAGTAATTCTTCCAAAGGAACAATGTTCTCTCTGTGCAGGTGCCAGGCGACTTCCAAAATAGGTGGGCGCTGGGGGAAATAGCGCTAAGATCAGGTCATTTGGAATGCAGAGATGCTTCCACCCACAATACCACCCAAGTAACTAACTCTGAAACTAGGAGCAGGTTTCCAAAGCTGCCTTTCCCCCTCCATCCACTCACTTTCTTCAAGAGGACAGCAACTCAGAAACGGGGGGGGGGGGGGGGGGGGGGGGGGGGGAAGAGGGAGGGAGAAATGGCCTTAGGGCAGTAATTTAAGCATGTGGATTCAGTGCTTCCATCTCCCTTTCAGCTCTAATGACCTTACCTGCATTTTCCACATTTCTTGAGCAAAAACTGAATGACAGAAAGCATTGTACGTTAATAATTCCTTCAAGGACTGGAACAAACAGAACAACTTCTTCTGTAAATAGAAAGAATAAAATGAAGTGATTTTATCAGATTTTTAGTCAGTTGCCAACCACCATACATCTGTTTATAGGTAACTCTTAGTAATATTTTTTTTAATTTGTTGAACAAGACATAGGGGTCTAGTTTACAGCGTAGGCAACATATATGGCTTGGCATTATTTTTGAACAATTAATGAGCCAAACCTAAATTTTTGTATATTCCTCAAATCCTGAATGACAGTGCTCCTTTGGAAAATTAACTTTAAAACAAGTACTTAAAGTACTTCTAGGTTGACTTTCTCTAAAACTATTTTCAATCAATCTTCTTCTACTAGCTTGCAACTCTCAGAACTCCCTGTGGCTGTTTCAGGACCCCTGACCACCATTTCCTGTTTAGCAAGGCCTGAACAACTTGAATGTGCTTCCCTCCACCCTGCCATACATGAAACGGGCATATATCCCCTTACTCTGTGTTCTGCACTCAATAATGTAGTCTGATCAGATTCCATAGAGATCTTCTCAATGAGGTTGGCTGCCATTCTGGCTGATAAGATTCCTGCTGGCATGCCCAGCACAGAGGCCTCATCCTTCAAGGCTGTGACTACAACAGAAGAGAAGAAACTCCATCAGACCTTAAATATACCACCCCAAATTGCAACTGGAAATAGCACATGATGAGGCTGAAAAGATAACAAAGAAGAAATGGACAGACTCACTTTGGAACTCAAGGATAAAAGCGAAACAAAGTACTACAAAATCTGGGAACAATTTTATGATTGGATAGTTAACAAGAGGGTAGCCAAGACAAATGCATAGAACAAAAATATAGATGTTATAAATGTATGTTTAAGAGATAAATATACAGAAATAAGGGGAAAAGTATTAATATCAAATCATATTATACTTAAATAGTGAACAAAGCTTAAGAACTGTATATTTATATGAGTACTAATAGTATTGTAAAGTGATGGAAGATGTTTGGAACTAGTGATGTCATATCTATGTCCAATGTTTTTTTAATTTTGTATTATTAATAAAAAACTTTTTTAATTTTTTAAAAAAAAGATAGAAAGAAGAAAAACCCAATTGTTGGCAGACACATTGAAAAGGCTCAGTCGCAGGTGAGGAGTGCTTGAATCCTGGAAAGCTACACCTGCCAATAACAACTGACAATCCTGAATCAGGCAGTCTCAATATTCTTATTTTACTGAATTTAGCCATTCTCTCCTGAAAAATAAATTCTATTTCACCCACCTACAAATTGTTCTGGAACTGACATTTTACTTCCGCTCCTGCCCAAGTTACTGGAAAGTATGGACTTGCCATGTGCTGAACTTCCATTCTGTTAAAAAGAGAGAGAAAGGGGCATTTGTCTTGACTGTAGAGCATATCAAATCCTTTGGTCTTTAATGGCCTTTTCCAGACACAACATGAGACGTTACTAATTCATCAAATATGTCAGAGTCCCCAAAGGAACACAGCATTCTCTGAGATGGAGATAGCCTCCCAGTATACTTAAAAGGAACAGGGAAATATCTCATAGACAGAAAATACGGAGCATTGCGCAGCCATGTATATTAACATTTTGCAGTTTGATAAATAAGATCACCATGGAAGCTAAATAGGCTAAAATATCTGGTGGTCAGCCCAGATTTCTTCCTTGCCAAAGGACCTTTTCAGCAGGGTAATCCTTTAAGAGCACTATTAATCCACAATGAAAACAAGGTTACCATCCTAAAAAGAGCAGTAAGCACTACTGAAATGTAAGCCAAATGTATTGCCTTAGCTGAATTATTATCCAACTCCTGCACTGTTGTGTTTTTAACTGCTTCACAGTGTCAAACATTCTACTGAGAACGTTGCCATTATCATCGATATCGGGGCTTCTAAAAGGCTTCAGAGGACGGCCGCTTACTGCTTACCTTCCCCCCAGCCCTCCTCAGCCATGAACAAGTCTATCAGGGCCACAAGTCCGTCTCAATCCCAGAGCCTCGAAGGCGATTCCCTCCACCCGCAGAGTCGCCAATCCACGCGGCTGGCCGGAGAATCCCGGGAGTCGAAGGCGCCGAGGCTGCTGCCTAACCCGCCCCCCCCCCCCCCCCCGGGGCCCGCCCCGGCCCCCCCCCCCCCCCCCCCCCCCCGCCCCTCCCCCCCCCCCGGGGCGCCCCGGGGCGGGGGCGGGGGGCCCCGGGGGGGGTACAGGGCCCGCCCCCTCCCCCCCCCCCCCCCGTACCCAGAAGGGCTGAAAGGGCCCGACCGGCCATTCTCCCACAGCGGCGCCTCCCACCAGCCAAGTAGCGCGCCCTACGTTCTGATTGGCCGCCGTTTGAACGCCTCCTCCAATAGGAAGGGGACAAGAGAGTTTTTCTATTTGCTGAGCGGGAGCTGCGGCCATTGGGGGAACGGGTGGGGGGAGGGAACGAGCCGAGCGCCATCTTTAGTGTGGCAAGAAAATGGATCCTGGCCGTGCGGGGAGGCCTACTGCGCAGGCGTGGCTTGCAGAATAAGGCTACCTTTGTACGGGTGCATTTCTGGGAATCTAATTCGGGAGAAATGACCGCGCAGACTGCCCTCTTTCCGGCTAATTGGCAACCATTCGCCCGTGTGCGGCGCCCGTGCAATAAGCTGGCGAGCGAAGTCTCCGGCTTCCCGTCCAGCCGTTGCCTCCAACCCCAGGCAGCCCGAGGTTGGCGGGGAGGCTGATTTCTGAATTTGAGAGAGAAACTTTTACTTTCGCAAAGCGGCTGCTTTGCCCACGGAAAACACTGTACGAATCTTCAAATAATTCAGGCAAAACAAAAAGCATTTATTAAGGGGGGGGCGTCTTTTCATGGGGTACAGAAACAAATGATGTCTATTTGGTATATGTGATACTCAGCAAGCAAGTGATCAAAGAATAAAAGACATTGATTACATGTGAAACTTGAACAAAAGGAAGCATTGATTCTAAACAACATTCCACAAGTGGCAAATTTATAGGTTGCATGACTTTCCCAGCTGGGTGTGTATCTTGAATGTTGCCAGTGTATTCAAGGACCTTCAGAATACAGGATTCCTGAATAGTGCTGAGAAGACAAGTTCTCATATTTTAAAAGGGAACTTGTTAAAAGTGCTAATGTCACTTTTTAAAATGCTAATTATGAAGCTTAAAATAAAGTCTGGCTGCCACACGTGTGTGCGTGGTGGAACTTCTGCCTCTTCGTACAATAGGATACTATCTAGGGCAGGTAGTTTGGGGGGAGGGTGTTGCTAATGGGGCAAATCTGTTTCTTGCAATCTGAGGTTAAGAGTGAGAGGAGCAAAAGAAAAATCAGCCTTGCAAGGGAGTGGTTTCCTATTTTCCCTTGGTTGCCACAGCAATACTCTCAAAAGGAGGAGGAGATAAGGATATTTGGCTACTGTAAATAATGATGGAGCAGGGAAAGAATGCCTCAGCTGGGCAAATAATCGGCCAGGAGCCAAGGCTGCCTTAGTAGGGGAAGGTGAGCTGGACTAGGTAGGTTGGCCCAATTCACACGGAGGAAAGAGCTGCTCCAGGTAATCCCCATCTCTCTCTCTCTCTCACACACACACACACACACACACACACACACACTTCTGGCCACTGGATTTGGCTCCTAACAAGGCTCTGCCCTTGCAGGGTGAGGTGTGAGCATGTGACCTGAAGCCAAAACCCAGTTCTGCTGCACCTGTGGGTCCTCCCTCCTCCTGCGGCCAAGGGGTCATTGCTCTGAACCTGGCCTACAAGGTTGTTCCAAGCCTGGTGTGCAGCAGAAGCCTGGAGCTCCTGGAGTAGCAGCAGGATGGCTGCCTGCTGGAGGAGCAGCCCCCTGAGGGAAAAAGGAAAACTAGCGATGGTGCCTTGATCTGCTGAGAGAGATTTGGGGAATTTGTTCAGACGTGTCAAGCCATTATTTCTTTAACCATAATTTATTTAATAAACTGCAATTGGCTGGCTTCACAGAACACCTTTCAAACAAGAAGGAAAGCACGCAATGGCTTGTTTGAGCTCATTCTTACCCAGTAAACTCAGTTGTTGTTACACTTACTCTGATATAAGGAGGTGACGCACACAACCCATCCGGCTGCACAATCTCACAATGACTGTTTGACTTTGGCTGTTGACTTTAGCAGGCCATCCTGGGAACATCTCTGCTCCTCGAGCAGCTGCTGCCTCCATTTAACTGGTAACCGCTAGGAATTGCTGCCTCTATTTTCCTCAGCATGTCTGGACACCTTAGTTTCTCCACTATTTAAAGATCACCATGAAGCTGATGACTGAGCTAATGCATGCTAATTTAATTGGATAAAAGTGTTTATTTTTAATTAAGCCATTAATGCAGAGCCTGGAGATTCAATTGGGGCTGGGGGTGAAGTCATTGCTTCAAAGGGACCAATCTGCAGATCTAAAGGGCACTGAAGAGGGCATCTCTGCCCAGAGAGTGGAGATCTCTGGTTGATCACAATCGGCATTGCTGGATCACCCGTCCCCCAGAAGAGTGAGCCCAGCTCAAAGATCCCTTCCACTCCACTGAGTGCAGTTCAGCCTCCAGGGAAGGTCACTGACTAGGAAAGCCCCCACCCTCTGCTCTCCTGCATGGCCCAGCTTCAGGCCTCGCCAGATGGATTTGATCTGTTGCCAAACTCCCCTCTCCACAATTCTTGATGGGACAAGGAAGAAACTCTTTCAGCCCCTATAGAAAAAAGCCTCCCCTGGACTCCCTGGAATAGGGAAGGGAGGGCTGCTGTTCCTGGCTGGGCCTCAGATCAGAAAAGTGTGTGTGTGGGGGGGGGTGCCCACCAGAGTTCTAAAGCCTTCAGGTTGAATGGAAGCTGGGGTCTGACTCCAAATGCCCTACAGCAATGAAGCAAAAAGGACCTGTACTCTGGTGTGTGTGTATGTGAGAGAGAGAGATATGTAGAGAAGTAGCTTGGAAGGCTTTGTGCGAGGCCAGCAGAACACATCAAACGCCGGGCTAAAAATAATCCCTTACCAGATTTGCTGTGGTGCCACCTTAGAGACCCAGGCCTACATGTGGCATTTGCTGCTCATTTTGATTGTTGAACAGCCTAAGCATTCTGTTTCTCCAGATGCTGATAATAACATCAAAGCATCACTTCCCCCTCCAGTGCCGTGGTTAAAGGCAGAGTAAACACAGACCTCAAAAGATGCTTTTCCTCTTGTGCATTTTTAGAAAACATATGGCACTAACAGGTCATTCAATTATTGCAGTTCTCCGTTTTCTGCCAATCTAAGACTCCAAGCAGTCCTCCTCCTGTAAAATACAAAATAGTATTGACATATTTAATGTCAAAACATCTGAATACATTCTATGGTTGCAGTATGAAGCTGATTTAATATTGTAAACCACCCAGAGTTATCCTGTTATAAGATTGGTACCCAATACATTTAATAAATTAAAGAAATAGATAAATTAGTCTAGCTTTCTCCATCCTAGAAGCCCTTCTTGTGTGGGAGCAATGCAGTTGTAGTTCAACAATTGGGGGGGGAGCTCAGGATTTCCGGGGGAGGGGGGGAAGTTGTATTAAAACATTACAAGTGACAAGAGGCAAAGAACTGGGGGGGGATGACCACCTGATTTTGCCTCTATAACAACTGGTGGAGGGACTCCCAGGATCATTAAGGAGGAAGGCTGAGTGTTCCTCCTTTCTCTCCTCCAACTTCACTTGCCTGTTTCTTTCAGGTTGTGATTATGCCCCGTTTTCACCTCTCCCACTAATCAGTAGGAGGACTTTGTTTATTAACCTCCTCCTCCTCCTTGCTTAAGAAAACTCTTAGTAAGAGCAGCAGAGGGCCCTTGGCTTGGCCTTTGTGGGAAAACGTTTGATGGAACCATGCTTAGGTATGTGATGTTCAGAATTTGGTTCTGGGACCTTGAAAATCAGACTTTTTTAAAGTTTGCACTGAAAAAGAGATGTGTAATTTTCAAATATCTTGAGGACATAACTAGAACAAGTATGTAGTAGACAAGCTGGGGGCTTTGAAAGGCTACATCAACTCTTCTGGCCTTGAGTTTAAAAAGAACTGGTGTGGCTGCTGCATCTGTTTGTGTGTACACACTGCTGTTGCAGTTAACAGACGTTGCACCTTCCTAGCAACAACATGTAAATCCTGGAAAAGCAAGAGAATGAAAATGGACTCTCTCTGAGAGGGGAGGGGAGATCTCTGAACACATTGTTTGTTTTTTCTATGGGGGAGCAACTCATTTATGACTTATTATTACTGGGAGCAGCCAGGCGGGAGTTGAGTTTCTGAAGGGTTAGTCTATTTCCCTGCAGGTGTAGAAAATGTGGCTTAGAGTGAGTTTTTCCTGGAATGTGTTTTAAAGAACTAATAGGTCATGACTGATTGGTCCAAGATAGCTGCTCCTTCCCTCCATGGACTCTATGAAAAAACAGCCCCCAATTATTTGAAAAGGAAGGGGGGCAGGTCATGGCTGCTGGGGGAAACAGGCGCCCAAGGCGGTAAATCCCTGGGCCGCCCTGCAGGCTTTCAAATATTGTGTCTACTGGCCCTCCAGGCTCCCAGGTGGAGCTTGAAATCTAACCTGATGAGCCCCACCCTGGAAGAAGAGTTCTACGACCTAGTCTGAGCCGGAAGGCACGGGGCTTTGGCCCCAGAACCTGTTTTACAAGCGGAAGGTTGGTGCTTCAGAGCACATCCAGACTGCTTTCCCCCTTCTCACCTTTCCAGGCTAACATGTTTTACAAAAAGGCATCACAAAAAAAAAAATCCTTTTAATAAAAGGTGATAGTCTGCAAAGGTGGCACCAGAGATTCAGTTCTTTCTACTAAGTCCAGATACAGTTTGTTTAGTTTTGGTTTAGTGTCATCTGTGAATCCTTCCATGGGGAGCTGTGTATGAATGTGGCCAGTTGTCTCCCATTCTGTAAAAGGGTGGAAGGAAAGGGGCGACCTCAGCCGGCAGCTGCAGCCAGCCATGCCCCCCCCCAGAAAGTTAGACTTTCCTCCCCTCCCCCCTTAGATATTGCTGTGCCGTTGTTGGGGGTGTGGCGGTGTTGGTGATTTCACTCCCCACCTCCCCTAACTACGCCTGCTTTCCAGTGGCCTCCCACTCCGAAACCAGGCTTACTCAGAAGCAGGCGCCCCTGTGATGCTTACTCCAGAGTAAGTCCGGATGGGAGTGCCGGGGGCTCCTCGGTGAGCAGCGCTGCCTCTGTCCCGGCGGCTCTACCCGGCAGGTGCCGCCCACTTTCTTTCGCCCTCCGCCCTGGGTCCGGCAACGGCCGAAGCGGCTCGGCGGCGTTGGGCCTGGGCTGGCCTGGCTCCCTCGGGCGGGCGGTGCGGCTGGCGACCGGCTCAGCCTCCCTCCCCTCCCCTCCCCTCTCGTCTCCTCCCCCTCTCCTTCCCAGGTCGTCCGCCGGCGGCGGCAGCAGCAGCAGCAGGCAGAGCAGCAGGAGCAGCGAGGCCGCCGCCGCCGCCGCCGTCACCGCCATGGAGCCCGGCGCCGGGAGCCGCTGATGGAGCCGCGGCCATGGCGCGCGCCGGAGCAGCAGCCGCAGCCGCAGGGACCGGGCCGGGGGCCGCGGCGGGCGGGGGCGGCGCGGCGGGGGCCGCGGCGGAGGAGCTGTCCCTGGAGGAGGTGCTGAAGGCCTACGAGCAGCCCGTCAACGAGGAGCAGGCGTGGGCCGTCTGCTTCCAATGCTGCCGCGGGCTGCTCCAGCCCGACCCGCCGGGCGCCGAGGAAGGGCGGCGCCGCCGCAGGGGACCGGCCGGACGCCTCCGCGACACCGCCGATCTCCGCCTGCACAAGGACGGCGCCGTCTCCGCCCGCGGCGAGTTCGGCCAGGCCGGTGAGTGGGGAATAGCGCGCCGGGGGCCCCTCGGAAAGTCTGGGCTCGTCCACGGAAGGACACCGAAGGGACCGGCGCTGGGGAATCGTGGCTTGGACGGAGCGGGAGGTCGCGATCAGCCGCCTCCACCTGCGGGGTCCCCGACGCGGTCCCGAGCCAGAGGGTGGCCTGAATTCAGGGAGCCTAAAATCCTGCTCCGACCGCAGGAGGGTCTGGCGCATCTAAGAGCTTTTCCCCCTCTTTAGTGCTCCCCCCCGGCAGAATTTCAAGATGGGTTAGGAAATTGTCCCAGTTTGAGTACTTGAGGCTTTCCAAGGCAATTCCAGGAGCAGCTGCAGGAAGGCAGAAAGTCAGGGTGCCCCAAGCAATGAAAGGACTAGCAGGGGTGCCGATAGTTTCCCAGGAGGGGGAAGCAGCCTGCGGGGCTCTGTGTGATGCGACATCCCAGCGGTCCTTCTCTCGGGGAGCTTCCGGTTTTCCGGAAAACCACCTTTCTCTTGGCAATACTCCACATTTATCTGCCCCTTTGCCCCAGTGAACTGGGTGGGGTTGTTTGCCTTGAGTAATTTATTTATTGTGTGAGCACAGAGGTCAGAAGTGTCTCTTTCATCTCCTTGCCATGTGTCTGATGTGTGTAATTACACCAACTGTTGCCAAAGCAGGTGGTTTATGGTGGCCGTTTGGGGACTGAAGCACCTGCAGCCTTTTAGGGCCTCAGTCCTGTGGGCTTCCAAGAGGCAAGAGGGGCCTTGAGGAGGGTCTGCTCCAGAGGAGTGAAGTGGTATAATCCCAGAGGAAGAAGTGTGGGCAGGTAGCAAGTGGGCTGGGTCTTGGGTGGCATCCCAGAGTAGGAGGTAACCAAGCTTGGATGCTCACAGCTGCATGGTCGGGCAGGCAGGCAGTAGGTGAGGAGAGTCTGTGTCAAAGCAACATCCATGATGGGGCCTTCCCAGCCTCTCTGAAAGGCAGCAGGGAAACATCCTCAACAGCAACATTTGCGCCTGATGATCCCCATGTGATTTTAGGACTTGGGACAGGAAGGGAGAACTGCTGAGAACATCCTGTGGGGATTGATGGGGCCTTAACGTTACAGAGGTTTTAATGGCAAAACAGTGTTACAACCAGAACACTTTTTCAAGATAAGGATCTATTACTTGGGGCGGGAGTGAAAAAAACTGTCCTTAAATGTACGATCTTTTTGGAGAAAGGGCCACCCAAGTGGTATAGCCATCAATCAGCAGGACCTTTGCATGCAGGCCACTGCATTCACACGCCAGAAGGTCACCTGCTGAAGAACCAGCACAGGTGGTCGTATGTCCTCCTCTTGATGGCATCAACTCAACGGGAGAGTTATGACTCTTGCCTGAACAGGCCTGACTTTTCAGAGTAGAATCCCAGGGCTGGAAGGGACCATGAAGGTCTTCTAGTCCAACCTCCCACCTAAGGCAGGAATCCAGAGTGTTCCGTTCATACAGTCAAGGAAGGAAGGTGTCTTCCTTCCTTGACTCGTGTATCCGCTTTCCTCTCCCATGACTGCCACCTGTTCTTCCTATTGCTAAATTGGGTTTTGCTGCTTAGTTGCCTCTCTGATTCCTTCCTCTTGGGCTTAGTCCTAGTTTAGCCAGCCTTCAGTCCTGCATCTGCCTTTCAGTGCCTCCCTGCTGCCAAGCAAATGCTTTCATTTCATGGTTTTATTTCAGTGTATCAGTCTTGAAGTTAAGAGGTAATTGCTGCTTGTCCCTCTGTTCTAATTGCTTATGAACAGCGCAAAGTCAAATGCGAGTTGCAGTGAGGGGCGCACAGCTGGGGTGGCAGAGAGGCCAGCAGTCTTGCTCCTTAGGCAGCTGTTTGCTTCTGTCCTTGTCTGGGATGCAGCTTCTTGTAGGGAGCCTTTACCAGGGAAGCTGCAGCTGCTTCTGCTAATATTGACTTAGAAGTGCAGCCCAGCCCTGTCATCAGAACTGGTCCAGCCAGTTCTCCACTCTACCAAAGCCCAGCTGATGAGTTATGGCCAAGGCTGGCGCTGAGGGTCACTAACCTGGTGGCTTCCTGGCTGTACGTTTGACTCATTCCAGCCCAGAACTCCCTGCCTGCAGGCAGCCTAGATCTCTCAGTGGGGAGGAGCCAAACAGCATCAGTTTGAGGGTTCCTCCAGCAGCAGTGAGAGGGGATTTTTGCTGCTGCAGACAAAGGACCTCTGTTCCAGGCATGGCTGCTCCTGGCTCCCCAGCCTGATATCAGGTGTATTCATGGATCAAAATGCAGGCAGCACATCAGCAGCAATGGGCAAAGGCACTCAGTTTAGAGTTTTGCAAATACTGCTTTTTTTTCCTCTTAAATCTGCACAAAAATGTATCTATTTTCTCCAAAGATGTGTGCTTTTCTTTCAGTTTTGCCTAATGCATCGTTTTTGAAAAGCAAATTCTCCCAATTTAATGCACATGTGCATTTTGTACAACTTTCCTCTTCAGATACCTTTTTGGTAAAGTGAATGGTAAGATTCCAGGAACCATTCCGTTACCATTCCAAAGGGTAACTTGGATAAGAATGTGAATCAAACCAGGGAAGAGAAAGTCCAGTGTGCAAAAGCCCCCTCCCCCCATGCCTATGAAGGGCATTTCTCCCAGGTTCTCCAGACCACGGAGCTGTGCAAGATCTTGCTGATGCCACCTGCCCCCCATCTGAGGGCTGGGGAAACAAACTGAAAGGGAATTGCATTGGAGGTGCCAAGTATGTCACAACAGTTCAGCAGAGTCAGCTTCTAGAAAGGCCAGCTTTAGGGTAGGGAGTTCCACTGCTTCCCATCGGCCTCCATGGCAGGAAGGAAGGAACCAGGGCAGAGGCTGCCGCAGAAGAGTTGCTCACAAGGCTTCAAGGACTGCGCTGTGCCTCCCTCCCCCAGCCTTGGCTCTGTGTGATATCAGGCAGTGGAAGGGGAGGTAAACTAGCTGGAGTTGGCTCTGCTTACACTGCTGCTGCTGCTGCATTAAGTGGTTCTCTGCTTTCTCCTAATGGCCTAATTCTCCTTTCTTTCTTTCTTTCTTTTTGCCAAACTTCATTTTATTGATTACAGTTCATGTAATTCTCTCTGGAGAAAGTGACCCCTAGAATCTTCTTTCAGTGTCCTTTCCCATTGTCTCCTGGTCCAGAAATGAGACAGCAGTTACAGAGAAGAGCTGGGTTCCCTTGGAGAGGGAGAGAAGAGGGAGAGGTCTCCCTAGGCACGAACACATCTATGCACCAGGAAAGTTGCTTTTACCAGCATCTTACAAGTTTTGTTTTTAGAAATCCTTTACACAAGGAGATACTCTTTTCATAGTACTTGCTACAATCTTTTTTTTCTTCTTCCATTTGTAATTCTGGCCTTTTGCATTTTTCTATTCACTCGTGGACAAAGCAACACCTGCATGTGTGACCCCAACATGCCACTTGCCTTAATTCATTTGCACACCCAGGCACACTCGTTTTGTGAGTAGTTGGCCTCTATGCACCAAACCCAACGTAGGGTGAAACATTCCCCATTTAACCAGCCAAAGTAAACTCTACCCATTTGCCATCTCTGCCCTTTTACCAAAAGAAGAGACGTCAGTGTGGAACCTGCTTGGTTCTGGCCTGGCTCTCAGGTCCAGGATGGGCTCAGATACGTAGGTGGGTATATAAATCCACCTAGAGCTGACAACGCCTGGCACTCTTGGTCTCTCTGAGACTGGCATCTTCTAACAGTGTCATCTTCCCTTTGCAGAGCTTCCACTGACCTTGGCACCTGCAGCAGAAGCACAGGTAGGTGGCCGAGGGCCCTATGGAAAGCTCATCTTCTCTTCTTGCAGGCCTTGGGAACTGGATAAATCTGGTAACCACTCAACAGTCTCTTCGAAAGCTAATTATTGAAGTCCCTCATGTCACTTTCACTAGCAAAGCATTGGCAAGTATGGAAAACTTCAGCTTGCGCAGATCAGATGGCCCATTTTGTCACCTCTCCCCAAAGCTGCCAAGGTCTGAGCACCCTGGCACACCCTGGCTTCGGCACAGCTACTTGGCATTGCCGCTCCAGCCATCCTCCGAAGACACCACACTGGCAGGTTCTCCCTGACCCTGATCTCTGGGAAGGGGTCTTAAGTTTGCCCTGGGCAGGTGTGGATGGGAATTATTTCATCAGCACTTGAAACAAACAGGATATCAACCAAGCCATGTCTTTCCCTCTTCTGCTAATTTGCCCCCCTTTCCTCCCCTGCAGATGGTGCAGTCCCTGGGCTTTGTCATCTACCGAGCGCTCGACTGGGGCCTGGAGGAGAACGAAGAACGTGAGCTGAGCCCCGAATTGGAGCGGCTGATCGACCTGATGACCAATGGGGACTCCGAGGACAGCGGCAATGGCAGCAGCACCGCAGACGAAGGCTACAGTGGGCAGGAGGAAGAGGAGGAGGCAGTGGCCAAGGGGACCCTGAGCGCAGTCCGCATGTTCAGCCAAGTGATGCAGCTCTGCGCTGCCCGCCTCTCCCAGCCACAGGAGGCCCACGCTCACTACCAGGCGGTGTGCCGGGCCCTGTTCCTCGAGACGGTGGAGCTGAAGGCCTTTCTGGCCAAGATCCGGGATGCCAAGGAAGTGAGTGGGGCTTGCTTGGGTTGTTGATCATCTGCAGATGCCACTCCTGAAGTGCTGCCCTCGGGGGGCAAATGGGCATTAGGCTGCGCCTGGATATGTGTCTGTCCTGGGGCTGGGAGCCTTGCATCTCTCAGCACCTGCCAAGAAGTTACCCAATTCCCCTGGAAAGGGAGAGCCTCGGCATCTCTACAGCAGCTGCCCAGCTGTTAAAAAGGCACTTTTGTGTCCCAGATAGTTGCTTGGCTGAGGCCCATGTGCTGGGCTGCTTGGCTTCTGCAGGTAACTGCAAATTGGATTTATCTTGTTTAGTGGCATTTCTAAACTATCCCAGTCCCACAGGACTCTGGATGGAGTACAGACCTCTCAGCAGCAAGGAACAGAGATAAAATAACCAAGATGGCTAAAATGACCCCAGGGAGAAGAGCTGGCCAAGGACTGGTGGGAGGAATACTGATTTTAATTGGGTACCAAGGGTCAGGGGTGAGAGGCTGCCCCTGCCTCTTGGGAAAGAGCATTTCAGAAAAAGGTGGCATCACATAGAAGGCCCCTCCTGTTCTCCTTCCTCTAGCTGGGAAGAAGAATTAGATCCAGATAGCCAGATTCAGTCCGTTAGATTCTTTGGCCTGGGACGTCTGCTGCAGGCGCCAGGGAGATGGGCAGCTCTTGACCTGCCCAGCTGAGCCAGGGCAATGTGCCATTCAGGCTCTGCGGGTGCTGTAGGAACTCCACCTTCTTCTGGTAGCTGAGCAGCAACATGCCCCATCTTGGCAAGCCCCCAGCCCTGTTGTTCCTGCCCTCCCATCTGTAAGAAAACTGGGGAGGGGTCTCTGCTGTCTCCCTGAAGTTCTCACCTCTAGAACTGTGCACCTGGTCAGGGTCCTCCTCCCTGCACAGCTGGTGCAACTAAGAGCTGGGAGGGGGGAAGGGGAAGCACCCCCACCCACTTCTTTGCCAGGATGCCTCCCTGGCATAGGTGGGGCTCAGCTCTCCCTTTTCCTACGGAGAGAACTCCTGAGATGGAGGTAGGCTGGGGTGCTGCCTGAGGAAGCCATCCTCTCAGTGGGCTTGTGCTTTGCATCTCTTGGGAGAAACCCTAAGTAGCTAATGAGAGCTGGTAATTAGGGACTCTCCAACCCAACCCTCTCCAGGGAGAGGCACTGTTTTCCTGTGGAAAAGAGTTCACGGAGAAGTCATTTCCACACACCCCCTCCTGAAATAGTCACTCGGGCAGGGGATTCTATTCTGAAACCTCATCGTGGAAGTGAGAAAGGCCGAGGGACAGAAAGAGTGATCAACATTAGAGATGGGAGTGTAGCGCTGGTGCCCTCGGCTTCCTCTCTCTTTGCAAGGAGACCTTGAACGGAGCGCCAGAAGGTGAGGAATTGAATGCATCCACACGTACAATGACTGGCTTTTCCCAGACCGGTGCGTGAACTGGAAGGCCAGCAGGCCGAGATTCAGGGATGCAGCTACGTTAAGCAATTACAAACTGTAAGACTTGAGCTATTCACGGAGGAGAGTCAACCTGCCACCTTCTTCTCCCACCTGGGCATCCTGAGGGCTGAGAGCCACCCGTGTTTTGATAGCTGTGGCTTGTTCTCAAAAGAGCTGCTCGGCTCTTCCCCTGCCCTTTGCTTCTAGTCCAGGGGTCTGCAACCTTAAACACTCAAAGAGCCATTTGGACCCGTTTCCCACAGAAAACCTGGGTGGGCCTGGCCAACGCAATATCATTCATTTCCATCAGTCACATGACCCCCCTAGCCACACCTACCCAGCTGGTCATTAGGGCAGAGAACCGGTTGTTAAAAAACACCGGGAACCACAAAATGCTTTTGACATTTCTCTCTCCCTCCTTCCCTCCCCCCCGTCTCTCTCCCCCTCTCTCTGTATCTCTCTGCCCCGCCTGCTTCTCCATCCCCCGCCATCGCCCTTACCTTCTCAGGCCAGGCGAGGAGTGGCTGGGAGGGGAGGGTGAGGGGTGGGGCCAGCCAATGGTGAGATCACTCAACAGGGCCCCAAAAGCTGCATGCGGCTCCGGAGCCACAGGTTGCTGACACCCGTTCTAGTCCCTTGTGTGGAGTATTACAGCTCCCAGACAGGCCCTCATTTGGAGAAGTTGTGCCCTGTCTCCCCCACACCATGCTAAAGCTGGTTCTTGTCCCAGTTCCTTGTTTGCACAGAAGATCCAGCTGAATAAGGACTTAATCCCTTCCCCCCCAGCACCCTGGAGTAAGCTTTGGGTGCCCCTTCCTTGCCCTTTCCAGTTCATCCCAGTCCAATCTGTAACTTCTATGCCACCATGAATGCAATGGAAATGGGAAAGGCTAAGCTGCTTCTGGCTCTTGGGTGTGCAGATGCTGGTGAAACTGAAGGATGAGGAGCTGAGGGACCAATCGGCAGCAGAGCTGGACAACCTGAGGAACACGGACTGGGTACGGAGCAGGCTGGGACAAGGAGAAAGAGAGTTGGTGCTGGGCTTCTGTAAAGTTCTCTGGGTGGGGCTGGGTATAAATATTCTACATAGAGAACTGCTCCCCCTCAAGAAGAATGGAGGGGAGAGCTCTCCCCTTGGTGCTGTAGGCGCACCTGACGTGAACTTTTTGCTCGATAATAATATTTATTTTCTTAAAACACTCATCTGCAACCCCAGGTTCTCCCTACAGACCCATTTGCAAGAAAGGGTCGGGCTAGGCTGAGTAATGCCGTGTCGTCATGGCTGTGGTTTGGCCTTCGGAACAGTCTCCCAGGGCTGCCCATAGCGAGACCTTCCCAGCACGTGGGAGGCGGTCTGCTTTGTCCCCCGGGTGAAGCACTGCTTGCCTCGGAGAAAGCTCGGAAGGAGGATTGGCTTCTCAGAGCAAGAGTCACCGAGAAGGCATCCCCAGCGCCTCTTCTGGCTCAAGCAGAGCTTGGGGGAAACCGACCGTGGTGGCTTTGTTGGTTTGTGACTTGCAGGCTCGGCTCTGGGTCCAGCTCATGCGAGAACTACGGAACGGCGTGAAGCTCAAGAAGGTCCAGCAGAAACAATTTGACCCCTTGCCTACAGAGTATCAGCTGACACCTTTTGAGATGCTGATGCAGGACATCCGAGCCCGCAACTATAAGCTCCGCAAGGTCATGGTGAGAGGAATGGGGACCGTCCCCTCCCTCTCTGGGGTCACCAGGCAACCTGTGCAGCTCGGCCACTCTCTGGCGCCTTCCTGTTCGTGTGGGTCTGGCCCTAGAGCACAGCGGGAGGTTCCACTTAAAATGGGGTGTCAGCCACTCTTCCCCCTGAACCTTATAGAAGCCAACCCAAAGGCAGACAAGATGGAGGGGACATTGGAAAGAAGCAGAAATTGCTACCTGTCCCAGGTAATGAGAGGAGCAGCTGTGGCTAATTTTTCTGTATGGATCTCCGTCAGGTGGACGGAGACATTCCGCCCAGGGTGAAGAAGGACGCCCATGAACTCATTTTGGATTTCATACGATCCCGTCCGCCTCTGAGACAGGTCAGCCCAGCTTCTGCTTTTCTGTACTTTACCGGGGTGGGGATGGAAAGGGCCTTTAGTCGGACTTTGGGGGTTACACTAACAATCACCTTAACTGCTTTTGCCACTCCTAAAACTCCATCATTTATTTGAGCCTGTCATTTGCCCGATAGGAAATTATTTTTTGGAAAAAAGCTGCTGGGGCTGCTTTCTGGATTGGACAAGGGATGTTCCGGCCAGCCAGAGCTGCGCTGTTTGCAATCTCAAGGGCAGCAGCTGGCCAGGGTGCTTTGCTCTGCTTCCCAACAAGTGAACGTTACAAAGGATGCAGCCCAGTATACATGCTAGCTTGGTTTACCGTCATTCGGTAACCTCTTGAAAGCCACGGATTGGGGACCTATTTTGGTGGCCTTAAGGTGCCCTTTCAGCTCCAATGGCTCTCTGGCTTCCAAACCCTATTGCAGGCTTCAGAGCGCAGGCTGCGCCCCCTGCCTCAGCAGCAGAGGACCCTCCATGAGAAGATCTTGGAGGAGATCAAGCAGGAACGGAAGCTCCGGCCGGTGGAATTGCAGCACCAGGACCAGAGAGGTGTGTCTGTCCTCAAAAAAAAAGGGGGGGCGGGGGTTGTTCCTGGAAGCTAGAGAATATCCGTTTGCTCCCTCCTGGATGAGACGGCAAAGGCAGGAGAGGAACTGCGGGGTCTTAGGGGAAACTTTCAAATCTGAGTCTAGTCCCACAGACATCGCAAGATGCTCTAGACTGAGAATGCAGCTGCACATCATCACCAAAAGTGGAGACTGAAACAGGAGGGAGCTTGAAAGTCTCTCTGAGGGAAGACAGTTCGAGTGTCCCATCCTTCAGCCCTGCAGCTCTGACCCACGTTGACATTTGGATGGGCGCCATGGTGCAGTGTCAGGCTGGGGAAAGCTGGGCTATTCTAAATGCCACTTTTTTAGAAGGGAGGCCAGGATGGAGTTTCCTAGGAGCCCAGCACAGAAGATAGCTGGTGCCACACCGTGCCCTCTCCTCTTGTCCTGCCAGGGTTTGGTTCCTTGCCCTGCTTGGTGAATGCCTGCTCCAGCAACATGAAATCGACCTCTTGCATCAACCTCTCCGTTTCAGAATCCGGTGCCCCACCTCAGCGCCAGAGGCCGAGGGTCCTGCTGAAGGCACCCACGCTGGCAGAGATGGAGGAGATGTTTGTTTCGGAAGTAAGAGCTGGGCTTTGTCTCCTGCTTTCTGGGCAAGAAGAGCACCTTGGCCTGCTGGAACGGGCACAGGCCATGAGCGGACTTTGCAGTCCAGTCCTGTTGGCCTCCTCTTCTTCTCCTTCCTTTGCCCCAAACCACCTGCTTTGGCAACCTCTGCCACCCTCTAGGGCCATGGGCACCATGCGCCCAAAGGCCTCCTTCTTGTCCGTGCATGCTCCGGCTCCAGTGTTCCTTCTCCTTGAGGGCAGAAATGCCGTCCTGCTCTGACCTCAGGGGCTGTGCCTGGGGAGGGGGTCTGAGTGCCGGCATTTCTGCAGGCGTGCTGAGTGTTCCCTTTTCTGCAGGAAGAAGACTCTCCCTGCTCAGAGGCGGTTCAGGAGCCGGGCCCCCTGATGCCCCTGAAGCGGGACCGCTCTTTCTCCGAGCAAGACTTGGCCCATTTTCGGGATGAAAGTGAGAGCAGTGAGCCTCACCTGGAGTACTTAAGGCCCAGCCTGTCAGACTCGAGGCCTCGCTCAGGTACCATGTCCTCTGCGTGGGCCAGCATGGAAAACATGGGCAAGTGGACCTCTTTTTGTGACCTAACCCCACTTTAGGACACCATTCTCTCTGCGTCCCCTCCTTTCCCAGCAGATACATTGCAGTTCAACTGTCTGAGGACTACTGCAAATCCAGAGAGAAAGAGCTTGGGAAGATGGGGTGGGGGGGAGAGACCCCTTTTTACCAGCTCTGCCTGGGTGTGAATGGGTTCATCTCCTGCACCTGGGAGGGCAACGGGTGCTGGAGGAGTTTTCCCTTTGTGAACGCTGGCTGGATGTGGCTGCTATTGATTTTCTGATTTGCCTCTTGCTTCAGCTACGCACCCCTTGTGTCTTCATGGGAAGCAAGAGGGCCTGTTCTCCCTGCTGGGCAGATTCTGACTTGCCGGTTCCCTTCTGTTCTCCTTCAGGTTCGGTTCCGGCTCGCTACCACCCTCGGGTCAGTTCGTGTCCTCGTAAACAAGACATCCTCGGTTCTGTGGAGGAGAATTTGGAGGCCAGCTCTGTTCCAGTCACAGACGCGAGTTTGAAATATTTGTGGCTGGTAAGCATCTTCGGTGGTCTGTGTTTTCACACACGCTTTGCGGCATGCCCTCTGATAAGTGAGGCTGGCTGGGCCAGGAACATGGCCCAGAGGGGATCGAGTCAGGAAATGGTAATATGGAAAAACGTTAATGGGAGGATTGCGAGCGCAATGGCTCCAATCCCACTGTCTTTCTGGCGTTAGAGCCCGAGTGTGTGGAACGTCTTCCTTTGGGCAATTTGACGTTTTGCTATTTGGGGCCAATTCTGCATGGATCTCTGTGCTTTGTTTTTTTTCCAAATGGAAGCCAGCCTCTCTCTGTATCTTGTGAGATTGTGGCTAGCCAGCTTTCCCTAGCTGTTGAAATCTGACCGGCTGAGGAAGGGGATGTAGTGTAAGGGCTGGTGTTTCTACTGGAGCCCTAACTGCCGTAGACCTGAACTGCCCTCTCTGCCTGGGCAGCTGGCCTGGCTGAGGGCAGCTCTGATCCCGTACTCTGCCCACCACAGCAGGAGTTCAGCCACCCCGTGGAAAGCCTGGCGCTGACGGTGGAGGAAATGATCAACGTGCGCCGGGTGCTGGTGAAGGCAGAGATGGAGAAGTTTCTTCAGAGCAAGGAGCTCTACACCAGCCTGAAGAAAGGGAAGGTGAGGCCAGAGGGGCTCCTGAGGCTGCAGTGGGGGGGTGGGGGCTCCCCCGGACAAGCTGTTGCTGACTGTCTCTCCTCTGGCTCAGAGCTGCTGCTGCTGCCGAACCAAGTTTACGCTCTTCTCCTGGCCCCCGACCTGCCTCTTCTGCAAGAGGTGAGTAAGCAGGCGCCCGGCTGGGGAGACCGTGGGATGAATGGGGCTCAGTTGAGCCTTTTCTGTCCTCCGTTGCTTTTAGGTCTGTCTGCAGTTCCTGCAGCCTGAAGGTAAGGGCTTTCCCCGACAGCCCAGGCAAAATCCCCCTTGGGGAGGTCTTCGGGGAGCTGGGTGGAGCAGCCCAGCCCTCCGCTGAGTCCCTCCTGCTTGCCCCTTCTAGATCAAGATGCCCTCGAAGAAGCTTGCCCACATCCCAGTCTACGCCCTGGGCTTCGAGACGCTGCATGGCTCTCTGGGAGCCAAGGGCCCCCCAGCCCGCCGGCAGGAGACATTCCAGTAGGTGGCGCTTCTTTTCCTTCTTCCCTTTCTGTTTCCTGCTCGGCTGTGCAGATCAGCAGCAAGAGAGTCCCGAGACCTTTTCTGCTCCAGTCATCTTGGGCAGCTGTCTCTGACTCCATTTCCAGACAGGTTGAGAGGTCAGCTAGTAGAACTTCAAACCAATTGAGTCAGCTGAAGGGGAATTCTGGGGGCTGCAATCCCAGCACAGGGTTAAGGAAGGCGCTTGCAGGCAGAGGGCCTCAACTCTCTGCAGTCTGAGATTCGAACCACAGCCTACGATTGTTGCATTTGCCCAGACATATTAAGACGCTAACCAACAATAGTTTTAACGTGGCCTCAGCTGCAGATCTGTCCCCATATCCTTTTCATTCATGGATAAGAGATTATTTGGCCTGAGAAATGGAAGGGATCCAAAGTCCGTGAAAGACCTCCTGGCTCATGGGTGCAGCTCCTGCAACCCCTTCAAGTCGCTGAAGGTTTGCAGAGGGCCAGGGATGATAGCTTAACAATTGTGCGATGCATAACCCTGATCTCCCTCAAGATTCAGACGGGAATAATAGTCGGGCAGGACATCCTGAAGCAGGTTTAAAGCTTCCCAAAAAGCAAGCCGTGTATCTCAGGGTGTTTTTCAGCAGGTTAGCCAGGGTGCTTCCTGATACTGGAGCCACAGACCTTTGAGCCAAGCAAAGCCTGTCAGCTGAGGTTGCTCTTGCCCAGCTCTTGGGGCGGGGCGGGGCGGGGGCAGCATCAGGCATTGCTGCCCCAGAGCAAGGACCCCAGTCAAGAGCACCCTGTTTTTGCCTTCCAGGTCCCTGCAGGGCACCCGTTGGCGCAGCGTGGAGGAAGAGTTCCCCTGCATCTATGCCCATGGGTCAGTGCTCAAGGACGTTTGCCGTGACTGCTCTGGCTTCGTCACGGACGTCGTCAGCTCCAGCCGCAAAAGCATGGACATTCTCAACACCAAGCCGGGCAGGAGCCGCAAAACCCAGTCCCTGTACATCTCATCCAGCTAGAGGCTGCCCCCCCCCCAATCTCTCCAGCTCCAGCATTCAACCTTCAAAGGCCAGGCAGCCACAAAACTCTGGCAGAGGAAACACAGCTTTGGTGTCTGCTGGCTCCCATTTTCCTTATCCAGCCCACCCCATCTCCCAGGGACGTCTGCCTGCTGCTTATGTACATATACATACAAACACACAAACACACATATCTATATATATATACACCCCCCCACACCCCCTTATAGATACTCTATATTTATACAGCAGATAAGTTGCTTTAGCTGACCAGCATGTCAACCCCCTTCATTGGCAAACGAGAACTTTGCTGAAACCACCCCAGCCTGGAGGTCAGCCAGAGGGAGCCTGGGCACCAGGGGTCCAGCTGCGCTGGCGGGCAGGAAGGCGGCCTGCCAGGCAGAGGCCAGCTTCTTTCCCCACAGGGCCTCCTCTGGAGAAGCTCTGTGCCCCTCGCTGATGTCTCCGAAGGAAACGTCCTTCCGGCCTTGGGCTTTCTTAAGAAAAGCGGGCTCTTTCACAGCCACGTGCCTCTGCTGCTGAACGCACCTTCCGGAGCTGCTGGCTGCTCCTGGTCATTTCTGTGGCTCTTGCTTGTCATCTTTCTCTCGATCAAGGAACGAGGCGGGTCTCCCACCCAGACTATGAAAAAGGGTGACATTTTCCTCTCATTTTCCCTCTACAGATTCAGGAATGTGTCTTATTTGTACAGCCAATAATAAAATACCTAATTTTGTAAGAATTTAGAGATAAAAAAAACTGTTCCCAGCTCCTGAGAGCCATTTGCATAGTGAGGACAGCCGACTGCATGGAGGGTGCCAGGATCTTTATGGAGGTGGAGGAGGCTTGGACTGTCCATGTCTGTAGAGGAAGAAATCTTGGTTCCTGCGTAAACGGGGCCATATTTACACATTGCACTAAGCTGTGTAAACTGGGTAAGCTGCAAACTAAACTGGCTACTTGGGTAGCAACTTAGCATGTAGTGGCTATTTTACAGTTTATTTAACCACCCAATTTGCGGGTGTCCTGCATGAGCTGGCCGAGGCTGGTTTCTGCTCTCTTTCCACTGATTTGAAATGAAGAGTAGAAGCCTGGAAGGGACTGAGGCCAGTTCCAGCTGGAGCCACCACCTCTGCCAGACCAAATCCCAGCATTTTGGGTAAAGCTGGCCCCATGCCAGGGAGTGAAGTGGGGGTTCTGCAGCTGCTGGAGAATGAGTAGCCAGACTTGGGGCAGCTGCAGGCTGGCCTGGTTAATCTGATTTAGTGGCTCTTTCTGGGAACCTGCCATCCCCGGGAAGTCTGCCAGAAGAATTTAAAAATTGGGTAATGATCCCAAATGCTGAGCTGGTGGGGGGGGAGGCATAATCAACCTGAAGGGGGAAAGATCTCCCCCCACCCCCTTCCTCTAGGTTTTCATTCCACCTTCCTCTTAATTCCTCTCTCCTGGCCTCACTGGCTGCCCACTTTATCCAACCCTGCCTTCAGTATTTATGGAACCTCCATCCTATTTGTGCTTCCCAGCTGCACAAGAATAAGATCAGAGCCCTGCTCTTCCTTCTGAGCTTTATGTAATTCTGATAGAGCTTTTTGGACCGGGAACTCCGCTGAGTTTGCAAGGTGGGCCTTTGGTGCAGGAAAGCCTATGCCACAGGCCCTCAGCCTTTTATGGTCTTGGAACACAACGAAGAATGCCTCAATGTCACTCTGCTGATCTTCTCCTTCATGCTCAGGCCTTAGGCTGGTCTGCTGTGCTCTTTTTTCCTCAAATGAAAGGGACTCGCCAGTGCCCTTTGGGTTTTGTCAAGAGCCTCCAAACCTGTTTCTGCATGCCGCCATCCCCTCCCTTGCTCCCCTGTAGCCTGTTTTGGAAGAAGCCTCCATCTTGTGCCAGTTTTGTGCCTAGCATCACAGGGCTCAACTGAGTTGAGAGCCACTCTGGCATTGTTAAGGTGCTGACCTAGAATCAGGGATCCGAGTTCTTCATGCCTTAGTCATGAAAGTCAGCTGAGTGACTGTGAGCCAGTCACTCAGCCCAACCCACCTCACAGGGTTGTGAGGAAAAGGGGAGGTAGGAGTATTAAGTTATGTTTGCTGCCTCGCGTTATATATAAAAAAGGGGGCCTAGAAATCTAATAATTCAACATGCCCAGTTTTGCAAAGTACACATGCCCATAGCTAACATGGCATGGGGGTACTTCATGCCAGAAATGCACACCTGTGTGCAGGTGGATGCACAAATAACTTGCATATAAACTGATCAGTGGCTGTGTGCAGTGTACATGGACAGTCCATAATCAAGAAGTTGCCTAGAACTAAGAACGTGGTCAGAAAGCAAAGCTCAAATGTGGAAGGGAGGTTTAGGGAGATGTTTGTAGAAGTTTGTAGAGGAAGGTTTCAAGAACAGAAGAGGAAGGTCAGCTGGTGTTCTAGGGGTCCCCCTCCTCCTGTCCTCTGTGCCAATCTGCTTGCTTGACATTTGACCTGACCTTTATGTGCTCCATTGATCCGCTCACTCTTCTTTGCAGTAACTACTGTGCTGTGACAAAGTGGGCTTCCTGTCCCCTTATCAGTCCTGCGTGCGCTTGTCCTCCTCTGCCAATGTTTTATATAAAGCGTGTACTTTAAAGAACTGTAAATAAAATTTAAAGTGAAACAGACCTAGTAATGTTCCTCTGTATATCCTGCTCCCGAGGCAGTAACAATTTCCCTGGTCAGCAGCAGTCATCTGAAGGGAAGACTCATCAAGCGGAGGGGAAATTTGAGGCTGATAAAAATGCTTCCAGATGGAAGACCTTGTCGGTATCTGTTTAGAGTAGAGCTCCGGTTTTTGCCCTCTGCCCACTTATTTTACTCTCTCAGCATAGATATAATGTAGGCTGCAAGGTTAATCCAAACAGATGGTTAAAGGAGCTTTGGAAGGTGTGCTTGCTTATTCCAGGGCTCCCCAGTTTGGCATTCCAGAGATCAGGAGTCACACAAAGCCTTTGATCAGATCTATGACAGCTCTTCTTATTCTCTTTCCAGAAGAAGAATGGGCAGAAGTTTCTCAATTTGAATAGATCCACAAGGATTGTTTAATAGGACTGCAACAAAATAATATCCTAAGTTCTACTCCTATAAAGAAGGGTTAGAGGTGACTGGAAATATTGAAGGTCTGGTTCATGAAGTTCTTAGTGTTTATAGTTACACAACAGCCCAAAATCTGCCAACTCAGCTCCTGAATATAAGATTATGTAGAATATTTAATTCAGCCATATTTATTCCAATTCCACCCATCTCACATATAAGAGGATTGCAAACAGCTACATATAACACCACGAAGAATTCCATTTAAAAACATAATATAAAACAACCATCATAAAAGGCATAAAAGTCACGGCCGAGATAATCACATCCACCAAAATAGTACAGCCACTTAAGGGGTCCTACCGCAGGCCTGGGATCCTCAAGCTCACCGGCAAAAGCCAGGTTTCCAGGGCTTTGCAAAAAGCCAGCAGTCAGGACCGAGCTGATCTCCAAGGGGATGTTCTAATCTAATCCAGGGAGACCCCCTGGCTGACCGGGCCCACTGCACGACCCCCACCCCCTCCTGAGGCCTGGTGGGAGCGGGGCAGGGTCCAAGTGCTGGCCGGGAAACCAGGAGGCGGCGAGTCCCAGTCCCGCCTTAGGCACGAAAGCCGGCTGGGTGACTTTGGGTGGCTGCCTCTCTTGCAGCCAGACCCACCTCACAGGGCTGTTGTTGGGAGGCCAAGAGAGGCGGGGCGAGAGGAATAATCACTGCTGACAGCCGGGGAGAAAAGCTGCCTTCCGCCTTACAGTCAAAAGGAGGAAAACGGCGGCTGCCTGCCCGCAGCCATCCCAGCCTTCGCCACGCCTCTCGCCGGCCCGAACCGGCGGCCACACTCGCCCTCCACGAGGCACAGCCGGGCGGGCGGGCCGAGCCGCGCATGCGTGGGCGGCGCAGCGGAAGTGCGCCGGGCCGGTGCCTAGACGGGCCCCCTGCTCTCCTTCGGGTTGTCCCGCCGGCTTCCGGTCCGACGGCGTTCCCGGCGCGGGTGCTCCGGGTGGCGATGTCTCGCCGGGCTCTGCGGCGGCTGCGGGGCGAGTGGCGCGGGCAGGGGCTGCTGGGCGAGGAGACGCCCGTCGGCGGGCCGGAGGCGCGAGGCAGCGACGAGGACGAGGACGAGGAGGTCGCGGGGCACCAGCTGCCGCCCGTGTCCGGCGGCGGGAGGCGGCGGCGGGGCCCGCGGAGGGAGCCCTTGGAGCGCGTGGCGAACCCCTTCGAGCTGGTGAGGCTCTGCCGTGGCTCGGCCGGAGACCCTTAGCAGCCGGGCGGCGTCCCCCTGCCCTTCCCAGCAAGGGAAGCGCCCCCGGAGAGGCTGCCTTGGCCCCGGAATCGCGTCTGTCCCCAGGCTGTGGGGCTGTATAGAGGGGCCGGGGCCTCCCGGTGCCTTTCAAGGGGTTGGGGAGCAGCTCCAGCCCATTGCGGGTGGCCGCGATCAGTTGGTAGCACTGGGGGTATCTTCCCAAAGTTTGCTCCCAGGAGGAGTTCTCTGGCAGTTTCCTGCTGGTGGAAAAGAAACGGCGCTCTTGTTTGCTCTTCTAATCCTGTTCTCCTCTGTAACGTTAAGAGAAAGAGAAATCAAATGATGGTTATGTCTTATGCTTGCCTGTGCAGATAAACAGTGAAGGACTGGATGAGGACCTGGTGTCTAAAGAGGAGACTGATGACTCCCGACTGCAAGAAGGAGGCAACCCAACAACTGAAGAGGCCGAACCTGAAGGGCTAGAGAGCAACAAGAGGGAGGATGGGGGAGAGTTGGAACAGCTGGACCAAATGGCAAGTATCCTGTAAAAAACAACGGTGCCTATTTTGCTTAAAACTGATTTTCTCATCAATGAGAAACAAAGCAACATAGAACAGGTTATGAAAAACAATTATACAAAAAACTGCATACAAACAGATCAGCTCATGACAATAATAGCAACAAACTACAATCAGTAATTTGGCAAATGTAACACCCCTGCTTCGGGGTCTGCACTGGTAGCTAGATGCAATTCAAGATGTTCTTTGTCACCATTAAAGTCCTTCGTGGTTTGGTTATCTGAAGGATTGTCTACTCCCAGTTGTTTATACCCATCCAGTCCAGTCTGGCAGGATGGGCAAACTCCTGGTCCCATTGACTAAGGAATGGTGGGGAGCAGGAGGCTTGCCTTTTCTTTCATAGTGCCTTTCCGCTGGATCATCTCTCCTGAGTTTACAAAGGCCCAACTTGGTTGGCCTTCCAAAAGGTTTTGCTGTGCCCCCGGGTCTGGGGTCCTGGGTGTGTGAAGGGCTCCATTTCCTGCTATGTTGACATGATGGAGTATAATATTACTTGGCTGCTATTTGCATTTTTATCTGCTGGCACATCTTTTGGGTATTTGTGAGTATAGCCTCTAAACAGAAACTTAGTCATTTTCCTGGGTTAGATAACCTGTTTGAAATTCATACTTTTCATGTCATGCTTCACTATATTCATCTTTCAACCTTTTATTTTTATTTTTAAAAGTCTACTGCAAACAACAAATCACGAAAGAAAAAGAAGAAAAGAAAGAATAAGAAGAATCCTTCAAGCGAGGCTCTGGTAAATTGAATTAGGTTTGGGGATTAAGCACTTGTATGGAAGTGCTGAATGAATTAACCCAGTTGAGGCATGTGGAAAAAGTCATGGTTATTCCCTTTGCTGCCAGGAATTTGAGACTTGATGTGGGATTAGAACATTAAAATATGATGCTACCCTTACAAAATCATAACTACAGCACTACAGAATCTTGACTATTTAGTCACTAGAAAGAGCTTGTAATTCAAGGAACAAAGACAGGTAAAACCTGTGCAAGACCAAACTCAAGCAGAATCCAAGGGTTGAAACGGGCCCTGGAGGTGTTGTGGCCCGCCAGCAGCCAGCAGAGCTGGCAGCAGATTCAAACAGTGAGGAGATTGGTGAGGAACGTGGGCCAGTCCTGGAGTCTGGGGAAGGCTTGGACAATGGCTCTGAGTTGGAGGCAGAGAGGGGGCCAAGGCCATCTGGTAGGTCTTCGCTGCCTCTGAAGTCTCCGGAGTCTGACATCAGCAAGGCAGAAGAACAGCGTGAGCCTGTTCCCAGTATGTGCAATGGCAGAGCTGCCAGGAGACAGGAACAATTAAGGAAACAGGGTTGACTTGGGAGTAAGGCTTGGAGATGATTGGCCCTCCCATAAGACATAAAAGAGGAGCGAATGGGACGTGAGCTTTTGCAGAAAGCAGTTAGTTCATCTGGCCGATTCAAGATTTGAAAATTCTGTTTGTGACACTGTGCCAAGTTTGGCCTTGCCCTGCATCTGGAAATTAGCTCTTTGGCAGCGTTCCACGTGAGATATGTGGGTGTTGATAACCTTCCTCTGAAAGACTGTTTATCAAGCCTTGCAGACTGTAAATGAAAATAATTTACAGCCGTATGAATTAAAGAGGTTTTCCGGGACTAAGTTTGTATTGTTTAATTTCTAAGGAAGCCTAGGTCAGAACAGGAGGCCTTCAACCCCTGTCTGGGGCAGATTCTCAGACAATTCTGGACAAATGGCTGTCCTATGTTCAGTGATGGGGCAGCTATGATTCCAGAAAGTGTTGGTCGTATTAAAAGGAAGGGGACTGTTAAGGAGGGTGCCTGCAAGAGAGCATTGAGACTTGCCTTTACATGGATTTTGTCTGAGAAGAGTGAAGCCCTTTTGCTCATTTTGTTGCTTTTCAACAGTTCCTTGGAGATGATGACCAAGTGGAAAATATTGAAAGCATTTTGCTGAGCATTGAGAGTTCCAGTGGGCCCCCATGCCAGAGCCAGAGCAGGCTGGTCACAGATAATCGGCCTCTTCTTTACATCGAACACAGGTAAGAGACCGTCGGTGGTGGGGGAGCCCTCTCTTGTGTGCTGTAGATAAAATGACCAATTTGAGGCTATACATCAGTGCTGAGGCTCTAGACATCTTAAATTAAGGGAGAGCTCAAAAGGAACAACATGTGTGTTATTTTCTTATATTTGCTATCAAACCTATGAGATGCCCCTTGCACATATGAACGTCTTAAAGTGTCCCTGTGACAAAACATTTAAAGGAAACTGAATTGACCTTGAGTGGTGACAAGGAAAAGAATCAGGAACCTGTGGCCTGGTAAACCAAATTTCTTTTATTCACCGGTCAAATCTCAGAGAGACATTATGGCTGGCACGCTGACCTAGTGGGAAGAATAAATATTAATGCGACCCACGTGGCTTTACCTTCCAACATCGGGCTGTAATTTCTGCTGCGTCTGCCTTTTTCCTTTGTCTTGCCTTTGCAATGTAGGGGGCCAAAGGGGTAGAAGTGGTTGACACTGTGGTTCTGCTTTTTGCTCACGGCCATTCAGCACAGGGCAAAGCTTGGCTGAGAGGCCAGTAGACAATTGCTGCTTGCATACAAATAAAAGCACATTGTATCTTGAGTTTGATGGCTTTAAGTGAGCAAGGTTTTGGACACAATAGCATGTTCTCTGCATCGAATAGGAAGTAGGCATTAAATGACAGGCAAGATTTGTGTTCCCAACTTTCCAGGAGCTTGAATCCAGAGACGGAGCTGAAGAGATACTTCGGGGCCCGGGCGGTTCTGGGAGATCAGAGGTGAGATCCAGTGTTGTGAGATAGAAACCTGTCTCTGGATTATGTGGGAAAGCAAAACATCTGGCCACACCAGTCACAATCTGGGGTAACATTGTGGTGAGAATGCCATTTGCTAGACTGTGCCTGGGACAAGGACTGCCCCACCTTGTCTAGGTGTGGTGGAAGGAAGGGAAATGGTATATTCTCAGTCCATAAGTCTCCTCCAGGGAAGGATCAGTTTGGGATCTCTCTGAGCCGCTCCAGGACCATGGTAGTTCTGGATGGAGAGTTTTCATTGACAGTTCAGATGTGGCTGAGACAGAAGGGGCCTTGATCCATTCTTGTGCCACTCTTTACCTTCGCAGGCGGCTGCTTGCCCTGAGGAAGGTCCAGCACACAGCCCTGCACCAGGATGCAGGCGCCACACTGTGGGTTCCCCAGTGTCTTGCTGGGGAGAAATCAGTTGGTCCCGGTTCCTTTGATGGACTCGGACAGAGACTTGAATCCATCTTTCTCACAGACGTTGCGTGCATGTGAGGACAAGCACATGCCTTGATGTTAGATGTGGTTATTCCCTCTTCTCTTACATCTGTTTAATCTTTGTGCTCATCGGGAGGTGGTGCTGTAAGATGCTCACTTCAGCACTTCCTGGCTGGAGAACAGAGACAGTTGCATTTTCCCAGTAAGGAAGCCCATATTCTCTCACTCTAAAAACAAGGCTGTACTTATTTTAACGTCTGGTGATCGCCTGGAGTGCGGGGTGTGTGTGTCAGGATACATCAATAGGGCTTTGAAAACAACCGTGCCACCCATGTGGGCTTTGTTGCAGCTGCTTAGCAACTAGAATATAGATAAAGGCTTTGATGTATGAATTCACGTCTTAAAGCGAGCTTCTTTCCAGGCCAAGGCAGAGGCAGCGCCAGTATGTACGCAGCACATGGTTGACAGCACCCAAGGACACCTGGCCACGTCATAGCAAAACAGGTGAGAGGCCTTCCCAAAGCCTCTTACACCGCGGCTGACTTTGGGACTGGGAAAAGGCTCCTGTCTGTTCTGATGGCATGTTGGGTACTGAGTAGCAGAGCTGAGCAGCTGCCAAATGTATTGTGGCTGCAATACAAGCCACCAACTTCTCTTCCAATGCCAGTGAAAAGAGAGGCCTTATAGGGCACTAGTTGTTGTCTCACAATTGTAGGAATACTTCCTTCCTTAAGTACCTGCATTCTGGGCTGTTCATACTGTTGTTCTCCAACTTTG